CTTTTGGTCCCACGAACTGATCCCCCGCACTATCTTCGCATTCGCGAATCGCCGTCAGAAGGTCCATACGTCAAGGATTTGACAGAGGCTACCGCAAAGAACTACGCGGAATTGATGAATTTTATGCGAAAAGGTGACGTCTCACGAACCACGGCTAGCACAAAGATGAACGACACGTCGTCCCGATCTCACGCAGTCTTTACCATCACTTTAAAACAGATCCACCATGACTTGTCTACAGATGAAACGACTGAGCGTACTGCGCGGATTCGGTTGGTCGATCTGGCAGGTTCTGAGCGCGCTAAATCTACCGAAGCGACTGGCGCTCGACTTCGCGAAGGTGCAAACATCAACAAGTCTTTAACGACGCTAGGACGTGTCATTGCAGCGCTCGCAGATCCCAAGAAACTTCGTGGTCCACGAAAGAGCAAAGAACAGGTACCATACCGTGACTCGATCCTGACATGGCTGTTGAAGGACAGTCTCGGCGGCAACTCCAAGACTGCGATGATTGCCTGTATTGCACCTGCCGACTATGAAGAGACACTTTCGACTCTTCGTTATGCGGACCAGGCCAAAAATATTCGGACACGGGCACGGGTCAACCAAGATCAAATGTCGGCAGCTGAGCGTGATCGACAAATTGCGGAGATGACAGAAACAATCCGCACCCTTCAACTTAGTGTGAGCCAAGCAGCACTCAACCAGCGGGCCACTGAGGCCTCTGATGAACGTCTCGAAGAGTACCAGCAGAAAGTCGAGAAAATGCAACGTCTCATGGAGGAGAATAAGATGGTCAGTGAATGCAAGATTCGGCAACTGCAAACGGAAAACGACGCTTTGCGCATGCATCTGAAGCTAGCGGTTGAGAGTCTTAAGAACCCCATCCCACCCATCACCTTTGAGCAGCGCAAGCCTAGCATTACTTCCTTGCAAGATGAGGATCAAGCGCTCAATCTTGATCTAGAGGACTGCGAGGGCTCTCTTTTGATATCAGATGTCGAATCTGATATGGACTTCTGGGAAGATGATGACACTATCACCGAAGGTGTCACTGACCAAGAGGCCCAACAGATGCAAAATCACATGCATGATCTTCTTGGTGACTTGAGTGTCTTCAAGAGAAAGCTAGCCACGGATCATCAACGGTTCCGTCCGATCGAGGAACATGCAACTCGGAAGCGGCGTGCCTTGGGAATTCTGACCAGCAATCGTTAATTGTGGATAAGCCTTTTTTTCGTTTTTTCTTAGGGGGTCTTTGGGTGTACAAGGATTGAATGGTGTTGGCGGTGATATCTTTGTCGGCTCTTCTGTGATGCCCTTGAGTGTGTTTGAGGTCTTTGTTCGGACTGCCTTGTTTGGATTAGAATCAGACTAGTGTTGGCCTGTGTATTTATTTCTGTTCTGGCGAGGCCCTGCGATGAATAATGAGACTCTTGATGTTATGGATGTTTCAATGTCAACTCTCCCATCCATTGGGTATCATACGTTTCTTTCAGGCTGCACCCTTATATGGAGACCATGCCATTTTATCAGCGGTAGCAAAGTATTGCTGTTTGAAACTATGTGCTCAACTGAAAAGAAGGCCAGAGTTATTCAAGATCAATTCATCAAGTAATTATACACATTGTTCATTATACTGCGCGATGAACCACAAGTTAGGGCTGCGCCGCTCAGTGGGCCGCTTATGGCATCATTTCTTTTTCCGTGAGTCAACCCTCCCTCCCTCTCCCCACCATCTTCGCAGATCCACCCTCACACGAGAATTAATTCACAGACAAGATGGTGGAATCCTCCAATCTAGCGCCGACAGCGCAAGTCTCAACACCTGTTACATCGGCGCCAGAGCAAGCTCAACCCGCGACCAAAAACTCTCCGCAGACTCTCCCGATTCGCGACTCAAAACCCACCAAACCTACCGGAGATGCGCCCGCGTCCACAGACGGCGCCACAGACAAGCCGCTTAGCCCAGCCGAGTTGAAGAAGAAAGCCAAGGCTGATAAGGCTGCCCGACGCATCCGAGAGAAACTTGAGAAGGACGGAGGTGCCGTCGGCGGTACCATTCCCGCTCCGAGCATCGCCGCTCAGGCTCGTCCACCAACTACACCGAAGAAAGATGCTGCTAGTACTGGCTCTGCACAGAAAGGACCGCGAGCACAGCCCCCCCGCCGCGGCTCAGGTCCTCTGGCGCAAACCGGGTCCGTTCTCGTGGAGCAAAAGAAAAAGAAAGACGACAAGAAGGTTGCTGTCTTTGGGCACTTGTACGGACAACAACGTCGCGTCACTGTCGCCGGTGCCACAAAGGAGGTTCACCCTGCCATTCTGGCCTTGGGCATGCAACTGATGGACTACACGATCTGCGGCAGCAGCGCGCGCTGTGTGGCCACGTTGATTGCTTTTAAACGAGTATGTTGTTCTCGTATCTCATATCAACAAGACATGGCAATGACCATGTGTGCTGACAAGATGCTTTCTAAAGGTCATTGAATCTTATGCAACCCCTATGGGTACCTCGCTGGCTCGCCACCTGACCACACACCTCTCGGCCCAAATCACCTACCTCTCAACATGCCGACCCCTCTCCATCAGTCAGGGAAATGCCATCCGTGCTTTGAAGCTCTTCATTGCCGGGATCGATCCCTCTACCCCCGAGGCGAGTGCCAAGGTTTCACTCTGCGAATACATCGATAGCTTCATCCGTGAGAAGATCACCGTCGCCGACCAGGTGATTGCAGACAGTGCAGCACAGAAAGTCCAAGACGGTGACGTGATTGTGACGTTTGCCGGCAGCAGCATCGTTAAGCAGACCCTTTTGTTAGCACACAACCAAGGCAAGCGATTCCGCGTCTCAATTATCGACTCAAGGCCCCTTTTCGAAGGCAAAAGCCTCGCCCGCGATCTCGCCAAGAGCGGGCTCGACGTCCAATACTCCCTCGTCCACGCCATCACCCACGCCATCAAGGATGCCACGAAGGTCTTCCTCGGTGCTCATGCAATGACCAGTAACGGTGGCTTGTACTCCCGTGTCGGCACCGCCCTTGTCGCCATGTCCGCCAAGGAACGTGCCAGCGGCGTCGAAATCCCTGTCATTGTCTGCTGTGAGACTATCAAGTTCACTGACCGGGTTGCCCTTGACAGCATCGTCGTCAATGAGATTGCCGATGCCAACGAGCTGTTACCTATGAACACCCCTGTCTCCCTCGTTGTCCGCGACCCGGCAGACGCATATGTCCCCCCTCCGCCTGACAACAAGAAGGGTGGAAACCGCACCCTGGCTCCCGAGCCTCCCGTTCTCCCACACAAGAGCTCTTCGTCGCCTCTTGCGAACTGGCACAACACTCCCAACCTACAGTTGTTGAACATCATGTATGATGTTACGCCTGCGGAATACGTCGACATGGTTATCACTGAGATGGGCAGTCTCCCTCCCAGTGCTGTCCCGATTGTCCACCGGATGGTCACAAACCTGTGATGAATTCAAATTTCCCCGGCTTTTTCAGCAACCCGGTCATGGATCTGGAGCGTATCAACCCTGTAATCTAAATTCAAAGCAATGAAATTGGTTCTGACTGCCTCGGCGTCGTGACTTCCAGATATTTTTTCACTTTCTTCTTCATACCCGTCTTTGCCAGATTACGTAGGTCTTTTGTCTTTTTCCCTTGTTGTACCTGTTTGAATCCATTGGATTTTAATTCGTGATGCACTTGATCAAGCCAAGACTTGTAAGTGTCCAAACATGAATCATAAAGACAGTAGTTCTCAAGTACATAAAGCACGGATTTTGGAATTGGTAATTTCGTTCTCTCTCACTTGTAAACACCCCTATAGCACAGGGCTACTTGTACACAACATCCACCATCATAGTGCTAACTCAAAGCTTACGAACTTCTCAACCTCTTGTCAAAAGCATATCTCTCTGGTCTAATGCCAGCTTAAACCTGTTTTTGTCCAAGTATAATACGATTCATATTTGAATCAACAATAATTGCGCATGACGATGTTGGAGTGGATGAACAGTGCCCCAGAAAGGGACGCTTCTCTACACAGACTCAAAGGCGCCACAAAATGATTGCTATCACCAACCGATAATGAATTGGCCACAAAGGAACTGCGAGTCATGATAATGACTTTGCAAAAGAAACAATAGGAGAGCTCGCCTGCTAAGCGAGTCCGTTTGCACACTGGAGGACACCGTTTTCCCCCGGATAAAACATTACTTCCCGGATTATATATCACCCACAATCTGGGGTAGAAAGAGGTCCCGCTACTTGCAGTGGGTCTCTTTCTTTCTCCAGTGTAATATTCTGTTCTTTGAAGGGTTTATCATTAATTTTCAGATCTTATGGCTTGACTATACTTCTGTACAGGCATGCTGCACTTTATCACTGGGCTTACACCACCCCCAGATGATGCGACTACCTTTCATCAACTATTCGGCTTGTCCGAGCGCTTGGAGAAGAGTGGGTTGTGTTGTACTAGTCTTTGCAGCCTGGAGCAACGCGTCCTCCAGCTTGTTCATAAAGGACTTCTTTTCCCTTGATACAGAGTGTCTCGGAAAATCAAAACTTCCTTCTAAATCGCGTCTACGTCTACCAAAGTCGTCTCTTGGCTTGTGCTCGTCTTCTGACTACTTCTACCTTGATGGGGTTGACCTCGAACTTGATAAATCGAGGGAATAATTCAAACCCTGCATATGGCCTGGCAGCCCAGCCCACCACTGGTAACTGGGACTCAGGCATCACAGCTGGATCGATGTCACCAGAACCGGATTGAAGCTCTAGAGTGAAGGTCTTGACTTCCTACTTGATTTCGACTATTTTGCTAGGGCCTATCGGATACCGATAAGTAGTCCGATGCATGGTATTGTGTTGTAGCCGAGAGCGCCAGATACACATCTTCGCTGTGCTACGTCTTAAAGGGCAAGGTGACCTCGTCTACTGTTGTAAATCATGTCCATGATTGTGTCTGGTTGGCAAGGTGCATGGTAGCTTGGCAGGTTTATGAAAGAGGTCAATTGCGAAAGGTCTCAACCCGGTCAAACCGTCATTGAAAGCGTACGCCACTTTTGCCTACAACTAGGAAACGAGCGAGCTGTTCTCACACAGTTCCCAGGTTGTAGCCCGTTTTTGCGTCCGTTGCTCGACAAAATTATTGAGCCCAGAGATCACCAGCCATCGTCCTGAAAGACCTGGATGACATTCATATCTGACGAGATCGAGTGGTTATTACCCAGAAATGAGGTTCATCTGACGGATTGAAGCTTGTGCAAGGCATCATTTTCAGTAGCCAATATCTTGTCATGCGAGGAAGAGAAGGGAGGTGACAAAGACTGAATCAATTGTTCTGTCACCTTGGTTGGCTTAACGCCCGCAATAGCTTTCTGTATGTGGAAGCCCGCTGAGGGTTCAGCGAGACAATGCTTAGTACTTCAATGCTCACTCATTCGTGTCACATCTCTTGTCGATTTGATCTGTATCTGGTTGCAAGATTTTTCTAAGCACATGTGACTGTATTAGATCCTTGGCGTCGATAAGAAGATTGTCGCATTCACGACATGCATGTTGTGTCCATTCACCGGATCTGAGCGGTGTACCCCCATGGTCATTCTGCCGTCACCATCAACACGACAAGATCAAGCCCATTGACAAAAAGATTCTCACATCCCGCAAGCTCTCGAGAAAGAGATTACAATTCCTCAAAATGGTACATACCCAAACCGGGATCTTCTTCTAGAAGACCAAATCCTGAGCTAACAAACCACCAGAGCAAAGACTCCTCCGCCTCATACCTACATATGCACCAACCGCGGCTAGCAGACCTCTTCGAAGAATTTACACGCCCACACACCTCAACAGCCACCAACTCAACAACCGACCCACACAATGCCAACAGCGTCTCAGCCGCAAATCGCGAGGCAGCCAGTACAGCCGCAAACGCCCTACAATATGGCCCGACCTCTCCCTCTACAATCCCCTCATTCCTACCAATCGAGGACATCTACGTGGCACCACAATACCAGCCCCCGAACCCTGAAGACGAGGACGATGTCGTTCCAGATCAGCATGCGGCATTCGGTATTACCCGCGCTATGGAGCGGAGACGGGATGCGGTGTGGCGGGATCTTGGTCTTGAGGCGCTTGTCAATGGCGAGGGGCATGGGCCTGATGCTGGACCTTTGACAGGCCCTGGAGGTGCTGGTGTTGCTGGGGCTGCGACTTCTGGGCCTGGTGCTACGCTGCGGGGTAGTAGGGGTGGCGCGGCGGCTGCTGGGGCGCCGGTTATTAGGGTCCGGGACTCAGGGCGGAAGATGGGTGGGCGTAGGGTTGTTGGGTTGCGGTAATGGAGATCAGTGTTTACTGAGATGTTGGCGGGCTCGTCCTTTTTTTTTTTACTGGAGGTGGTGCCGCGAACGCTTTCTATCTACCTGTATAAGCAGGTAAATGGGTGTCTTGTGTTGCAATTCTGATTAAGTGCATTTGTTTTCAGGCTGGATAGCCTCGTTATGATACCCCACGTTGGATGTATCCTTCTGGCATGATACATCTCATAGATCATTGATTCGTTTCCATTTGCGATTTTGTGCCAAGAACCGCCAATATCAAATGGCTGCAGACATAGCTCAGTCTGAGCCTAAACGCCGCGCGTAATGCGATGTGATTATATGTGTCCCTAGATACGATTGATGTCGACTCGAGCTCGCTCATACAGCTTATGGCTCAGCTGTTTCTGTTCGCGCTCGTCCTCTGCCACCAGTCGGGGGTGGATGGCCATTTGGGCGTATGAGCCCGCAGCACGACGTTTTGACAGAGTGCCTGGGTTGATGACTAGCACACTGTCGACGACCTGCGGAAAGAACAAGGTTAGTACCGTTGATGGAAGTTGAGAACGAGAAGTCTCGGCTAGGGACCACATACCTTTACAAAAGGCGGCAGCATGCTAGGCACAATTAAGATGTCAGGCCGAACGTTCCACCATTCGCCCAGTTTCATGTAGGGCAGATCCACCATGGCGCCTGTAGCCATGCCACCTTCGAACCCGGGCTTTGGAAGATTTGACCGTGCGGTTGGGGGGAGCAAGGGAAAGAAGTGGCGTTGCTCGACGAGATACTTGGGCAAACGGGTGAGCAGGTTTCCCTCTGCGGGCCGGCCATGCAAGACCTCCTCACGGCGAAGCTCTGAGAGCACATCGTGTGAGCACATTCCAAAAACACATTCGTTGAATGATAAGGTGACGGGATTCGAGACCATGCGGACCTGCTTGGGTAGACCCAAGTCCTTCTTGGGGAGCTGCTCCTGGGGCCAGGAGACGTGTCGGCTGAGTGCATCGCGCACAGACGGAACCATCACGATCGTAATGCTTGGGACGGCCGCTGCAAGCCGTGCCAGTGGCGCTGAGATACAGTGCCGGAACATTATAGACAGTGTAGCTGTATCCGGGTCGAGGCCCTTGATGTCTGGCAGGTCGAAATCGCCCGATGCAAGAAGAGGGTGCTCAATATCTAGGAACGGTCCCATCAGCACCAGACTATCGGCGTAGTTTTCGGCTGCCTTTTGACATAATTCTTGCAACGGCTCAAAGTCCAGGTTGTCGTCTGCTGTGTAGGGCCCGGCTGCAATCATAACGTTAAGTGGTGGGTTCGCATCTCCATCAAGTCGCTCGTTGATGTTGTCCAGTGCCACAGCTGAAGATGCGGCTGGTGGCAACAGGGGAATCGGAAGCACTTCCTTTACAGTGAAGTATTCACCAGACGGATTGATTCCTCGGAGAGCCACGATTTGGCCTGGGAAGAAGTTCACTGAGGGCACAGAATCCACCTTCAGGGGGACTCGTCTGCCGGCTCCCGTCCGGCGCGAAGTCTCAAGTACGAGGGAAGCTGGGTTCAATTTCCCCTCAAGACTATCGGAAGCGATCCTTCCAACAGCAACAATCTCGCTTGTGCTTTGGATGGCTGCACTCCCGAATGTCACATCGTCTGAATTGAATTCTGCCTGGAAGATAGTCGCGAACTCGTCGATGCGATCATCTAAAATCTCCGATGCTTCTGACAACTTCATGCCCATGGGTTTGTAGCCAAATTTTTTGAGGTCCGTATTCGCGGTTGGCTTAATGCGCGCCTCGGAAAATGGCGCCATTAGGGTTTCTGGCAATGATAGGTGCGCATTGAGGGTTTCCACCGTCTGGCCAGGATTCGGTCGTTCGGAAAACGAAACTGTTCTGTTCTTGACGTTAACACCTTCAATTTATCATATACACTTGAAAAAATACACACTGCATTCCATCGCTAGGTGTTCCAGTGGGTGTTTTTGTGCCCGCTTGTGATCCAAACTTTTCGAACTTGCTGACCCTTGGTGTAGCGGGCGAGGTAAATTCGGACTTGCGTTTAGCGGATCCAAATCCATTTCCAGTTCGACTATTTGAGGCATTCGGTGTCAACTGATCGAACATCCCAAACACATCGCCGCCAGCTGTGGCCGCGCCTCGCGGGGTTGCCGTGTTTGCGCTGCGTTTTTCTGTGTGCCGGCTAGCTTTGTCACGACTTTCGCGCTCCAAAGCTTCTTGAACATCTTGTTTAAAGCCTCGTACTGTTTGCATGGTCAAGGTCACCCCCTCGCCCATTTTTATGCTGTATGATTCCCATTTGTAGAAGAGCTCCTCCGCAGGGATCGAATGCACCCGTAGCATGGAGAGGAGCTCGGCAAGGATGTCTTTGGGAATTCCATCGGGGAATGAGCCCGCAAACAACTCGTTGAGTTCTCTCTCGGCGTCCATTGTGGTGAGAGATGTATCGTGGAAAGGCATTGGACAGTGAAAGTGCAGACACGCGCACGCGCAAGACCGTGTCGCTGACCTAATCGGCCCAAAGCAGTAATATTATTCGAGCATATGATGAGAGTGGACCTGTCGATCGGAAGGATTAGTGAAATAATGATTGCCCCTAAATTTATTCCTCGTTCCCTAGATTTCCACGTGTCGTTGCATCGTCTATAAATATACATAAATTATCAAAAGAATGTCGAACTCCGAACAAGGTGCCCCCACCAATGGTGATACTGTGGCAGACACGAACGTGCAGGAATCGGCCGATTCAGCACCCGTGGACGCCCCGGTCAAGCTTGCTTCAACCACGAAGCCAATTGACCTCGAGCTTCCCACATCCGCCGCAGACGGTCTCATCCAGAAGCCTTTCGCTAAGCCGCTGGACACAGCCAAGCCAATTGCACCCGCGGAACTTACTCCTGACCAACAATCCAAGTACGAGGCTGTGTTGAAGTCTGCCTCATCATGGACGACAGTCGCCACCAAGGCGGAGAAGAATGCCCCGACGTCTCCCATAACTGAGGATGAGAGGATGTGGTTGACCCGTGAATGTCTCCTGCGATATCTACGTGCGACCAAGTGGGACGTCTCCGATGCGGAGACACGGCTCCAGAGCACTCTCACATGGCGCCGCGAGTATAACCTGAAGAAGTTGACCCCTGAGTATATTTCAATTGAGAATGAAACGGGCAAACAGCTCATTTTGGGCTATGACATCAACGCCCGGCCCTGTCTATATCTCTTGCCCTCCAACCAGAACACGGAGAGGAGTGATCGCCAGCTTGAGCATCTTGTCTTCATGCTGGAGCGGGCCATTGATCTCACGGGACCTGGCCAGGATACTCTTGCCCTAATTGTTAACTTCAAAGAGACAAAGTCTGGCCAGAACGCAAGCCTGGCTCAGGCTAAGCAGACGCTCAACTTCCTGCAAAACCACTACCCTGAGAGACTTGGTCGGGCTCTGGTTATCAACGGTCAGTGATTTTATATCCCAGGCAAATCCTATGAAAAAGGTACTGATTTTCTATCCTAGTGCCTTTCGTTATCTGGGGATTCTTCAAATTGATTACACCCTTGATTGACCCGAACACTCGACAGAAGCTCAAGTTCAATGAGGACATGCGTCAACACGTCCCGCCTAGCCAGCTTATGAAGTCTGTGGGTGGCGATGTCGAATTCCGCTACGACCATGCATCCTACTGGCCCACTTTGAACCAGTTGGCCGAACAGCGACGTGAGGCGTACCGTGAACGCTGGATTCAGGGTGGCAAGAAGGTTGGCGAGTCCGAAAACTACCTGAAGGGCGGGACCATTCCCAGCCTGTCTCAGACCCAGCTTGAGGCTAAGGCCAGCGAGCAAGCTTGAAATGGGAAAGCATATTGGTTTGCGACATTTTGGTCTATTTGTCATTTCCGTCGCATTTTTCCCTTTTTTTTTTTCTTTTGGTTACTCACCAGCATTTTCTCAACGTACTGGGGGGATTTTGTTGGTTTCTTCAACATAACGCTCTGCTTCGACACGCCTTTTCATAGACATGTCAATATTTATCAATACTTAAGCGATAGAGTACACAAATTAATTATTGACACTAGGACTTTCTTCAATCTTGCCTTTTCATCTCTCATACGTACGCCCGTCCCAGATCTTTGGGAGGGAGAATGGAAAAGAAAAAGTTGCTGTTATGCTCAAGACCACACACCTATGTTGAAGATCAGGCAACCGCTAACAAATACGGAAAAAGTAAAGCTCAGCAAGAAAATCCTAACTAAACAATCCAACGAATCAATGATCTATACCAAGCCATCAATAGACCTATGATGGCCGCAGCGCTCTTGCACGTATCAAGATACCAGATGTATGCAAAACACCAAAAGATAGACATCGTGCGAAGAAAAAAGCCTTGCGGACGATGTATGTTACGTGAAAACCTACACTTTTGGAATGATTAATAGTTGAAGACAGACTACGAGGTAGAATTAGTAGGGACGTAAAATATCTGGATTATTGTAATGGCAGAACGCTAAAATAAAGCAGGAATAGCAGTCCATATCTCTAGAGACTTGGATAGCTTCCAGTCTCATCATCTCTTCTTTCTTTTCTTCTCTTTCACCAGATACAATTTTTTCAAACTAACCAAGCCTCAAAGATTTGGCGCTAAGTCCTTTGGGTATAGGAGATCACCATTCGAATTCCTGCATTGCAATCTTAGTCAAGTTTCTTTGTCATCTCACACTCTTGTTGGCTTACCTCAGTGTAGAGTGTTATTGATGGGCCTCCTTTGAGCAAATCATCGTTAACCGCTTTCCTTGTTGTACTCATAAGCTCGCTAGGACCACAAGCTCCAACAATGATGCGGTCTTCTAAGTTACCGCTTCCAGCAGCAGCGGCCGCAATCAAGTTGCCAATATTTGGGCGCCCTTGCAAGATCTGGTTGGTCGAAGAAGAAATACTGTCTGTAGACTCTTGTGCAACGCCTTTCTCGGGGTCATTTGTTGAAAAGACGGAAGAGGGTTCTGTGAGAATTATATCGTCCTTTGCAGCTACTTTTTCAGACAAAGAGCCTGGCGATGTGGGTGACGATGTGTCAGACAGGTCAGCCTGACGGGTGACGTAAATGAAGACATTGACTTCTGGATGCGATTGAAGTTGTTTGAGCTCTTGGGCAAACCATTCGAGGCTCTCTATTGGACAGAGTAAGTTGATGAGTTTATCAACAATGTTTCCTCGTAAACCGTAAACGTACCTTTATGTCTCACTATCCAGATAAAGTCAATCGCCTTCACGACTTTTTTGGACGCCTCGATCAGGTCTAGTGCAATAGCAAAAGTGAAGCTAGCACCGCTGCCACCGGCGACAAGGACGACCTTGTCAAACACTTTGAAGTTAGGGACTTGACCATATGCACCGTCCACAGAACAGCGTAGAGATCTCCCTGGCGCTTCTTGGGCGGCTTTATACAGATCCCGCGTGAAGCCATCATACACTCTAACAACAAACTCGGGCGGATTCGAAGATACTAGAGTGAACGGATGGCTTTCAACCCAGCGGATGGCAGGAACCCACAACAAGGCATGGGAACCTGGAGTGGAGTGCATGCGACGGCTGAGTTTTACCCGAATGGCATTGTTGGGCAAAGCTGTGACAGTGAGGGAATTTCCGAAGAAGTTCCAGACTATCTTTGCGCTGCGGATGATGCGGTCCATGGCCCAAAGAGAGGCAGTGAAAATGACAATAATAAGCGTTGAGGTTGAAAATTTCGGACGGTGCATTCCGACTGTGATCATAATCAAAATGAACATGATTATGTGCAACATGTAGAAGACTGTAAACGTTAGAAGTGTAATTGATAGATGTATATGAAGGAATGACCCACGTTCATAGTACCTCCGCATGAAATATGTGATAGTTGAAATTCCAATGATCAGCATGGCACAGCATGCGATTGCGCCAGTGTAGTTGTTCACTTCTTTCATTTCGTGCAGGTTCCCAATCTTTGACCAGGCAGATAGGTACACTATGCCATGCAAGACGCTTGCGAAGATACAAGTATAACCGGCAACCTTGTGTAGCGGGCGGAGCTTTTCGTAGGACGTAGCTGTCAAGGGCGCGAGGGGTGTATTCTTCAAGGCCAAGAAGACCAAAAGTACCAAATTTGCGACTGAAATCCTGATTGTTGATACTTGTCAATTTCAATGTCATAGGAGTAGAAAGTGTCAAGAACACATACCAGCCCAATCGTTTGGAAATCTAGGATCATGTGAGTTTTAAAAGCACACCAAAGCTAGAGAATGAACGAAAGCGACCCACAAAGATGATATCTGAAATTTCATTATTGGTTAAAAGGAGAATCAAGTTGATAGCCCAGTAGATGATATAGAGAATAGACCGGTCTGTCCTTAACCCCATCGTTGTACTCGAAAGAAAGCATCGGACTTGTCTGTTACATCGAGATGATCAGCAATATCCTTGGCCTGAACTAGCAAAAAAACATACCTATACTTCCGAGTCAATGTGGGATGGCTCGTCCTTCGACCATAATGAAAGTGAATTACACCTAACCAGTGGTATATGGCGAAAAGAACCATGATTGCCCCAATGGCGATGGCAAAATACTTATTGCTCCACACATTGTGAGACAGACGCAATTTCTTTTGAGCAGCCTTTGCAGCAGCCTTTGCAGATTTGGTGTCACTCATCCTAACTGTTGCAGCCAGAGTCAATGTGGAAGCTTGAAAGGAAAATCTTCAAGTTCAACACAACTTGACCGGGGAGGTCAGTTATTAATTTCACTTCCAAGCATTAGATTTACACCGGAGAAATTGGTGCCAAGAAGGTGATTGAGACTCCACTGTCTTCCAGGATGCGTATTCAGCTTACTCCGTACTTCTGCATCTCATAGGCTGAAAACTTCGTCAAACGGAGCATTACCTAGATCGTCATGCCCCGAGAACCGTTTTCCCACGCTTATTTAGGAAATAGAACCAGAATATCACCTGTGTATATATGTAGATACTGAAAGCGATTGGACGGGCTGTGTTCTGGTTCTAACCTGAAACAATCTTACCAAGCCATTTAATGACAGTTCTTCAGGCAGATACTTAGCGGTGGCTCAACGGCCGTCCAGTTGCAGGTAACTTGTTGCATAGTAGGTCTGTCCATAAGACCAATGGCCCATCAATAGTTGCTACACCTTCAGCGGTTGTCAAAAATTTCAGAATCCCTACTCCCCTTGTTATGCATGTAGTAACTGTTCTCAGATTCTGATAGGACCGGGATGGAAGATACGCTTCGGCCATTAGGCAATCGTCAAGGCTTGGCATTTTGCATGATCTTGTCAACCAAACGACCCATATTGGAAGTAAAATCCGCGAAAGGATCTTGTCGCGTGCTCCCTGGAAATAGTGGGGGTGTCCATGGCTGTGAAAAAGTCAAAACTCATCTAATCAATCAGATAAACCTTGGGAAGCCATCCTGAATCCGATTGAAATTTGGTACAAAAATTTGGTTACCTATCTTCCCATGGATATTTCGGTGGCGTTAATTGTGGAACACAGAGTTGAAGATATCGGCGGTGAGAATAAGGACAGAGTAGGCTCCATCTGGTTACACAAATTGTGGAACAACAGAGTCGGGGGATGATGTCCTGATACAAAGTAGTGGAGTGGCCCATGATCCCCTGTGTATTTTTTATGAAAGCTCGGGTGTACAGATTAATCCAGTGCTTTCCAATAAAGGGTCCAAGGTTGACAAAGTTTTCTCATTCGTTTTCGCATTGGCAGGTCAGCAGGCACAGCCACCGTATTACGATAAGATTATCAATCAGTTTAACGTTCGATGGATTTGGCTGTACTAGTCCAAAGTATGGTACCGGTGCGGGACAGAATGTGCTAGGGCATTCATTTCCTGTACCGGGTAGCCCTGTAGATGCTTCGGACCTCTCACTGAATGAGGGATTTCGACCGGGCTAGTCAAGTCATGAGAGGAATTCAGATTGTTTGTTCCCACAGTGTGTATGGAGTAGAGAGAGACTATCTGCTCCTAAGAGGCCTTGAACTAGAGAAAAGATCCCGACAATCTTTTGAACCCATGGAACCGAAGCACCCTGTGGATTTGAGGCAGTGCTCAGGTGGGGAAGTACGTTCGAGACACCAAGACTCTCTAAGACTCCGGGAGACCCTGCATGGAAGCTTAGCGCCGCTCGGCAGAAACGGTAAATTACCAGTTTACATTTGAAAATACACTTTCAATGTACAAATTGAACCTTACAAGCTCCTCATTTTCTCCGGCTTTCTCGCCCAATGATCCTGCTTTCGCCCACTGGCCCCCGGTGAAGGACTCTCTCTCGCCCAAATTATCCCGAGATTGAAACCAACCGATCCGTCTCAACACATTAAATCTAAAGAGCCAAAACACCAGTCCCTGCATGCTTATCCGAGACCGGAACTGTAGTCTCAACGGGGGTAATTGGATCTTCATAGGGACGGCGCAGAATAAAGGCTCTGGCTCTGGCCTTGGCTCTGATGACGCTGTTCAAAGCCGGGTCAATGACAGGAATAGCTCCACGCTTCTCACGGTAGAACATCAACCCGTAGCCAATCATGACACAGATCCAAAATAAGTTGTAGGCGATCACAGAGCCATAGTCGGCGGAGTTGGTCCAGCCAAGAAGTGCATTGAAGATACCCCAACCACCGCCACCTCCTAGCTCTGGGTTGCAACAATTCACGTGCCAGACACTCTTTCGGATGTCGTAGGATCCGGGACCAGAGCCAGTCTCTGACGCGTCGCCTCCGATAATCTTGTTCCAGGCATTGTTCTCCAAGTACCAGACACCACGCGAGAAAAGACCGGCGGCAACGAGGTAGAGGAAGCAAGTGGAAATAATCAAGAAAATCTGCAACGAAGTCTGTCGTCCACCTCTGTCGGTTTGTTAGCCCCGTATCTTCCTTGAGGTTGCTTGAATCGACATACCGGTAGATAACATAGCCCACTAAGATACCGGCCAAAAGGCCGCAAACAACGGCCAAGGGGAAGGAAGTGGCTGGGAGCCCTAATCCAACGCCACCGACATAGACAACGGCCTCGAGACCCTCACGAAGAACCGTGATAAATGGCAGAATGAACATAGCGTATTTCTCCAACCATCTCTTGACGCGACCCTTCTTGGTCTCGTTGGGATCGTGATCCTTTTGGAGAGCCTTGGCGAGCTTGACACGCCATTTGTCTTGCAGTTTAGACACGCGCAGAAGGGCCGCTCCCATGATCGTGATGATGATCGAGGCGATAATTCCCAGAACACCCTCCCAAATATCCTCGGTGCTGGAGAACGAGTCTGTTCCGAGGCCATAGAAACCACCGATCATGCCTGCGCCGACTGCGAGACAAATGAATAGACCTAAAGCACATCCTAGCCAGACCTGTTTCCTTTAGCCTACGAACTTGCGTAGCATTGTAAGAGCCGGTCACGTACTTGTTTCACCAGCCTTTTGTACGTCGGGCGATCACTCTCGTAGAGCGACTGCTTCAAGAAAGCCAGTAGAACCGACACAACCACCGTTGTCTCGAGACATTCTCGAAAGCAAATGAAAAACACTGGTTGAATTGAGTCAATTAACAATGATTTCCAAGAAGGAGGACATGAACTATACCGGTGACGGCAAAAACCCGATTACTACCCATGATGGTCGAAATGCACGACTTTGGCAATTGCTCAAGGTTCAAAGGAGAAGAAATTCAAAGAACAAAGTCATTGAAAACCTTGAAAGCCAAGGAGGGTCTGATAAGGTCCCTTGTAGCGCAATTACCAAAGGTACAGTTGGAAATTGGAAATTCCAAAATTTCAAAATTACACGGGCCATGACATTCCGAACAAGCGTTTAACGATCCACTTGGTAATTATCTTCAGCTTGGTGGGGGTTTTTTTTGGACTCGTATCCGTCTCGGAATCCTTTCTTGAGTATCTGCCTCCGTGATTGGCAGAGGTGGATATGTCTTAAAACACATGCGATCACACGTTCTAGGGTCCAGCCACTCAAGTCATGTTGAACTGCAAAAATACCCGACTAGAAGCGATGTCGGTGGTGCCATGTCTCCCCAATTCGGCAGGTGAGCACAAGTATGTGACGATTTGATTCGCCTGCGATTGATAAAATGAACCGCATTCTGCCCTACAACTATCCCCACCATGGTACGCCTGGAACTGAACCTATGAAAAGTTGACAACGTCCCACGTTCCCACCTGTATTTGCGCTAAACTTGCGCTAAGCTCGCAGGCCAAATCTGATTAGGTCGAAAACCCTTCCTAGGTTCCCAAGGTTCCCAAAGGTTAGAAGAAGATTTGATCAAGATAATCGGGAAGGATAAACTTTCCACTTATCAATCTTGTACTGCGCTAGGATTGTTACAAGCTTCCGTTCCGAAGCTCCCAGTCTTTTTGTCTGCCCTCGTTTTTTTTCCATTTGGAATCAGGAAATTATTCTCCTACTTCCTCCCTGGCGAGACATCAAAGCATGGCAATTCTTCGTGGGATGCTGTTCCATCTTACGGCAGTACTACTTCTTGTGCAGTACTGTCAGGCGAAGACGGTCCATCTGGATTTCAACGTCACTTGGGTCAATGCGAACCCTGATGGCCTCTATGAGCGCAAGGTGGTGGGCATCAACGGCCAATGGCCGCTACCTGTCATTGAGGTGGACAAAGGCGATCGCCTGATTGTCAATATGTATAACGGGCTTGGGGACAAGGAGACTTCCATCCATTGGCATGGCATGTTCCAAAATGGCACCAACAATATGGATGGTCCGTCGATGGTTACCCAATGCCCAGTTGCTCCTGGGGCCTCAATTACCTACAACTTCACCATCCCCCAAAATGGTACCTACTGGTATCATTGTCATACCGAAGCCTGCTACCCGGATGGCTATCGACAGGCTCTAATCGTGCATGATAATCAGGCATACTTCAACGATATGTATGATCATGAAGTTACCGTTACGATGAGTGATTGGTATCATGAGCTTGTTGAGGACATTCCATTCATTCGTGTTGAAAACCCGACGGGAGCTGAGCCTGTTCCGGATTCCTTCCTCTTCAATGACACTTTGAACACCAACATTCCCGTCGAAGCTGGAAAGACCTATTTGATGCGATTAATCAACATTGGTGCATTTGTCGCCCAGTACTTCTACATTGAAGATCACACTTTCCGCATTGTTGAAATCGATGGAGTATACGTGGACGCGCAAGAGGCCGATACTCTTTATATTGCCGTCGCACAACGTTATTCTATCTTGGTCACCATGAAAAACTCTACGGACAAAAATTATCCGATCGTAACGGTTGCCGACTCAGTTCTACTTGATGTTATCGAGCCTTCTCTCAAGCTCAATCAAACCAATTGGCTTGAGTACAACAGCAGTGCGGCGCACCCGCAGGCTGTGATGAAGGTGGATGTTGCCTCTGACCTTGTCCCGTACGATGACTTGAAGCTTGTTGCGCACGACCGAATGGAACTCCTCCCAGAACCCGATATGATTGTTGAGGTCGACGTTATCATGAACAATCTACGGAACGGTGCGGGTTATGCATTCTTCAACAATATCTCCTACACGAAGCCCAAGGTTCCGACATTATTCACGGCCCTGACGTCCGGGGAGTATGCCACAAACCCGGCGGTCTACGGAGAATACACACATCCGTTCGTTTTCGAGCACAACGCTGTCATCGAGGTCATCCTCAATAACCAGGACGCCGGTTCGCATCCCTTCCATTTGCACGGGCACAACTTCCAACTCGTCAGTCGCACTCCGTCATATGGTCCTCATTTCAACGACTACGCCGACGGTGACCCACTCGCGTACAATGCCACTGAGACTCCCTCCAGTAGCTTCCCGAAATACCCTGCTCGCCGTGATACCTTCGTCGCACCACCTCAGGGTAATTTCGTTATCCGCTTTGTCGCTGATAACCCCGGTGTTTGGTTGTTCCACTGCCACATCGACTGGCATATGTCCCAGGGCTTGGCGATGTCCTTCATTGAGGCTCCGAAGCAGATTCAACAGCAACTGTCGCTGACAGAGAGCGAAATTAACATCTGCAAGGCTGCCAACATTTCCTACGCGGGTAATGCTGCCGCTAATACGGAAGATTTGCTCGACCTTACCGGCGAGAACAAGCAGCTTCCGTGGATTCCTGCCGGATTCACGGCGAAAGGTATTGTCGCCATGGTTTTCTCTTGTGTGTCCGCTTTCCTTGGAATGGCGTTCATCTCCTTCTATGGCATCTCGGGTATCCCACCCAAGGAGGAGGCTGTCGTGGTGATGGGGCGTGATGATCTGTAAGGCTCTTCTAGTTTCTGCTGTACTTTAATGAATATTTCAATGTCTTAGTTAAGGGAATCAAAAGATTTGGGTATTTTCCTTGAAATTGATCAACTGTGGTTCTCAATTCTTACTTGCAACGTTTCAAGTTTCAAAACACACTGCGAACATATTTAGTGACTACCATACGATCCACTGCGTCAAGTTCTCTATACCGTCAGATAATCATCAGAATGATCCGGCCAAGCGAAAGCACGACGCTCAATCTCGTTCAACCACCGTTGCTGGACAACATATCAATCAATGGGAGTTTGTAGAACGAGCTTCGCCAAAACGATTGATGAGCCCTGCGCCATATCATGGTACCCTAATGGAAATACGTGTCTTGAATTTGTTATTCCCTACTCCTATATTCTCAACCCCTAATGCCCAGTTTGCGTTCTTTCGCACCTGGTTCGTTTTGTTGTAGCATATGGCCTTAGGCCGTAGTTTTATGTCTTAGGAACCCAGCACCTCCATAGCTAGACCGCCTGGCAGCTCGTTCTTTAACGGAATCAACTTTCTCCCTTCTCTCTTTCCGGCCCCTACGTTGTAGAGCCCCCAACGCGTCTCCCATCTGAGATTGAGCTAAATCATGACTTCCATAATGCACCCCTAGTCAAGCCTCTATTCTCCAAGACTCAAACAATGAGCTGGGTGTTCAGTACGAATGTCCTTTGAGTGAAAATTACATAGAGAAGATAGGAGAAGATATCTGGCCATAGTCAAGAAAACTTCTCTCTGTCTCTGACATCGGCTCACAAAATTGCACCTAGAAAGCAAAGATTGAGATGCTTTAAAAAAATTTACAGTGCCTAGATCTAGGTAATGGGAGGAAAATTAACAGCTTTAAGTGAAAGCGGGTTCCATAGATGCACTGCACAAGTCGTATAGAACATTTGAACCTTGAAATTTTAACAGATACCCCACAATGGGGGGTAAAATAGATTAAACCCTGAAGCCTGAAACAACGCTACATTTAAAGCTGTTATCTATGATTAATAGCTTGAAAATAGCCTACCGCAGCCTCCAAGGTTCCAAGATTGCATCCACATTTTCACTTTGATAGCAATGCAATGAGTACCTGGGTTGTCCCGTTTGACACTGGTGCCTCCTACAATCTGGGCGCCCGATTCGGTCCCAGTGGACTTAGACAAGATTCTCACCGTCTGATTCTCATACATGTGGTTTCCTTTCTTGATCGGAAGATCTGCACTACACAATGCGTGGAGAGGGACACAAAAGCTCACACAAATTGGGCTGCGGCGGTGGTTCCAATTTCTCTCTCGATGGCAAGATGGGGATTGCGGATTTTGGCGAAGTTCTGATGACTTCCTGCATTGCTGGATCTTGACTTGAGCCTCTCCTGGCGACGTCACTGCCGTCATCCACGGGACATGTGCCTTCTCTGCTGCTATAGAGGCCCTACCGAAAACCAGAGCCAGCATATACGTCCGTATCCGAACGACCATTTCTAGTCCACCTATGAGAATAATGGATCTTGCTGGCCCGAGATTGAAACAATCGAATCAGTCTGCTCTATACTACCTGTCAGCTCGATCGATTGATTATCTGCTCGCTTATGTGTATTCTTTGATCGGGAACGGAAGGTCGAAGCCTCTTTGTCGAGTGTTAATCGAATAGAACATGTCAGATTCCTTTCCTAGCTTTGGCTACTGGGACTCTGGAGACGGGAGGATAGTCCACACGCGATCTGAGGACGATCATCTGTGGCCTTGATGGACTGAACTTCATTGCGCGGAGTTGTCGATAATATGCGTGCGTTTTTTTGGGGGGTCCACCTATTTTAATAACTGGGTCAAACTGACTAACTTGTTTTCCTTAGAAGAGTTGTCGTAGATGCTTTGTCTAAGGAACTTGCCATAATGGCGAGAAAAAAATCCACTCTTTATTGGCGAGAAGTCTTGTATTTTGGCCCACAGGAGTGGACACGGACTTGAAAAATGGACGAAGAATTTAAAACACCGCATGTCCGGCTGTGAACAATCAAATTTGTTTGTCTAGATTGTTCTGGTCTCCATGGACAGGTATTAGGGTTCGGGTCCTAGCATATGCAATGCGCTGCAATAAATTTTATAAGCCCATATAGAAAAAAAAAAGCCATCGCTGATCCTTCAACGGTTCCTCTCATGATAGTGGACCTCGTGTGAATTCAATCCTGGAACCACAGTCCCAAAAACGTGACAGATCTGACTTTTTTTGTATCCCTTGTTTCAGCGCAATTTCCACTTGAATGAGAAAGTGGAAGACTCAATATCTCGGGATCGGGATGGATTTAGACCCAGTATAGAGCCTCAGCTAAATAATGGCTCCAAAGCTGAACCGGTCAAGTCCTTACTCCGTAGACCAGACGAAGTTGTTCGGAGTCCATTGACGAAGTAAAACCCGTTTCCCACAACGGGTTCCCGCGCCGGTGGACATCAAGCGATTCCTTGAATCTCGAAGCCCGACTCCGCATGGCAGTCAATTGAAGTGGATCCCGGGTTTAAGAGAACTACCGGATTGGTTTGGCTGGCCCGTCTCTAACACGATTAGGCTCCATCTGGAAGGGAACACGCTGCGATCGGCGCCCAGAAGGCTAAGAGATGGCCGATTGGGAAGATTCAAGGGAAAAATGAGCTCGGATGGTTTCGTTCCCCCCCTCCAATGTACCTTGTCAAAGCTAAAAAGCAAGCCTGAAACGGACGGACATGACGTGGAGGTTCGAGACACTCGGCTATTTTAATTTATTTTAAAAGTGGAGACAAGAGATTTGGAGGCATCTTTTTGCTAGTTCATGTCGGACGACCAATGTAAAGCATCTCACTACTGACCCATGTGCCCGGAGTATTTACATGAAAGAAGACATCCACCTGTGGTTTAATATATCGGACCGCCTAGATACCATGAGACCAAGGACGAACATCTAGTGGGATCTTCGTGAGGAGAAAGTCCTTCGTATGTTGTACATTGAACTCCCGAGACCCAGATGTCCAATTGCCCCTGAACCAAAAAAAAAGTATCCCCCTTTGGAAGACGAAAATGATCCTTCATCTTAATTCATCTTAATTATTCGCTAGTCTATTCTAAGCTGTGCACGGGTTCAATCTTTTCACCATCTTTCTGGCCATTTTGCCATTTTCTGCCTCCCTACTTTCTCTTGCACAAGAGTGACAGAGGGGACGAACAGGTACGCGCTTGAGTTGATGTGTTCTTATCGATACGGAGAGAAAAAAAAATAGATCAAGGGAGACTGACTCTGCTCCACATTCTAGACATCCCCTGATTCTACGCCTCATGACTACGCCCATCGATTAGCACTTCGAATTCCTTTTCTTTCTATTCCACCTGGTGTGGCTCTCCTGGGGAGAGAGAGATGACTGTCTCACCGCCAGTATCTCCCACTAGCGCACCCCCACGTCCCAATAACACCGCTATGCGCACTTCGCGTAGTACCAGTCGTTTAAGTATGAGCAGCAGGCAAGGTGGAAGTCGTGCATCCGATGAGGATGGCAAGACTGCGGTTAAAGTTGGTATGTGGATTCTTTGGAAGCTTCCCCTGATCGCCCTCATTCATTCCACGGTTATCCGAAACCTACATAGAAAATACAACATCAGCCGGCAACTAAATAAGTTACTGACCTCACGCAGCCGTCCGTGTACGACCACCGCTGAAACCAACCGATCCTGGTTATGAATTGATTCCTCAGCGATTTCAGAAATCCACGGTCCAGGTCACTGCGCCAACCAGTTTGGCCGTTGATGTGTCCGCTGGGCGCAAACTCTTTGTGTTTGATCGCGTGTTTCCTGAAACTACCGAACAGGAAGGGATCTGGGAATATGTCAGTGATAGTGTCGACTCATTTGTTGAGGGATACAATGTCTCGATTATGGCCTATGGCCAGTCCGGCGCGGGAAAGTCCTTCACAATGGGGACCTCCGGTCCTATTGGGCAGCATAACATGCACGATATGGGTGAGTTTGAAAGATACTTATTTACCAATCCACTTGGGGACTAACCGTGTGTGCGTGTGTGTTCATCTTGATTTAGGCATCATCCCCCGTGCTGCGCAGGTTTTGTTTGATAAATTAGATGGCCCCTCGAAACATAATCGGAATAGCTCACACTCGAATTCGGGCCTCCGAACGCCACAAAGATATTCACTAAGTTCCGCCGCAAATTTTGGGAAGTTGAATCAGGAAAAAGAAAAGACCTGGCAGCTGAAGGCTACATATGTGGAGGTGCGCTTTTTTTCTTTTTGAAGTTTAGGAAACTGCTCGCTCGCATTACCTTGTTCTGACCATTGTCTCACAGATCTATAATGAACACCTGAGAGATTTGCTCCTTCCCGAATCGACAATTGCAAACGATCGCAGCAACGTGACAATTCGTGAAGATACCAAGGGCCGCATTATTCTGACTGGGTTGCACCAAGTCAACGTTAACTCATTTGAAGATCTGATCGGTGCCCTGAACTTCGGCTCGACCATCCGTCAAACAGACTCCACGGCAATTAACGCCAAATCATCCCGGTCGCATGCCGTGTTTAGCTTAAACCTTGTGCAGCGCAAATCTTCATCAAATCACGCGACTCCGAGCCCCATGAAGGAGAAGCGCATGTCGATTCCATCCGACACATTCCACGCTGGGGAGTCAGTAACTGTTGATAGTAAATTGCACTTTGTGGATCTGGCGGGAAGTGAGCGGCTGAAAAATACCGGTGCATCTGGAGAACGCGCGAGGGAGGGAATCTCGATTAATGCCGGTTTGGCCGCACTGGGCAAAGTCATTTCACAACTCTCCTCGCGCCAACAGGGCTCTCACGTCTCCTACCGGGATTCAAAGCTTACCCGACTGCTCCAGGATTCACTCGGTGGAAACGCTTACACGTACATGATTGCTTGTGTGACTCCCGCCGAATTCCACCTCAGCGAGACTTTGAACACGATTTCATATGCCCAGCGGGCCAGAGCTATTCAGAGCAAACCTCACATCCAGCAAATTGCAGACGACGGCGACAAGCAGGCTTTGATTGAGCGACTCAAGTCCGAGATATCTTTCTTGCGCCTGCAGATTCACAACTCTGAAGGATCCGAGCGACGTGAAGGAGGATCCACCGAACGAAGCGAACGGAAGAACGATCGTGAAAAGCACTTGCAGAATCAGTTGTTGGACATCCAGGAAAACTACAATTCTCTCAGCCAACGTCACGCTAAGCTGATTTCGAATATGGCTAACGATTCGCATTCACATACCACTAATGGCGATTTGGACGACGCGACCTCTGAGATTGGGAAGAACTCGGTCGAGAGAATGCAACGGTCCAAGTCCTTTGCCGAGTCGGTGGAGCAGATGGTTTTGGAGTACGAAAAGACGATTCAAAGCCTGGAGTCTTCACTCTCTGAAACACGCGCCTCCCTTTCGATCACGGAGAGTGATCTACTTGAACGTGAGACCAAGTGCGCCTATATTGAGACTATCAAGGAACAGCTTCAGACCCGCGTCCAGAAGTTGACGGACCGGGAACTCAGCACCGAGAACTACCTCCACGAATTGGAGTCCAAGCTTGATGGCCACTCTACAGGCGAAGAGAAGCACGCTGCCATTGTTGCCGAATTGCGGAAAGAATTGAGCCGGGCTCGCGAAAGCGAAGCCAGCTGCGAGGAATACATCTCGACACTTGAAGAACGACTTGCGGAGAGTGATCAGGACATGGAACTTATGCAGCGCGAGGTGGTACGTTTGGAACATGTCATTGAGCGCCAGCGAGGCCTTGGGCAGCTAGACCGCCTACTCGGCGAGATGGACCAACCGGATGGTGGAGATAGACACAATGGTGCCAGCGGCATTAACTACTCCCACTATCACCAGCCTAGGGGTATGCACCCCTCTCATAGACATGCGCCCTCTCTGGATGTTCTCAATGAAGCAGTTGAGACGGCCATTCCGGAATCAGATGAGGATTCTGTCGAGCCGACTGTAGAAGCCGAACTGGAGTCCATTGGAGAATCAGAGCGCGAGACAGGTGAGGACTTGAAGGTCCTGGAAAGCGTGACCAGCAGGCTGGGCAAGCTGGAGGCACGTCGCTCGGAAGCTCTTCACGAGGAGCCCCTCGCAAGTCCCGCCCAGTCCAAGTTCGTTGCCGACAAGCTTGAGACTATCACGCAGGAGCTGTTCGATCTGCGTCTACAACACGAGAACACCATTGGTAACTATGAGAACCTTGAATCCAAGTACGAGCAGGCTCTCAAAGCCCTTGAAGAGCTTCGCCAAGATAAGATTGACGAAGCCCGCCACCCGGCACCCGACGTTCAAAACGAACTTTCGCCGCGCCCGGCGACTTTTTTAGGGAATGGAGGCACTCCGACTTCGAAGGCTGGACCACAACACTCATCCTCGCAATCACTCTCTTCGGAGTTATCCTCGGTCGGGGAGCAATCTACTTTGCGCGCATTGTCTGAGGACGGATCCAAGGCGGTTTCATCCGCGCCCTCAACCCCGCAGGTGCTGTCCGTTGCTAATGCAGACTCTGAAGAGTTCGAAAACATGCGCAAGATGCTTGCCGAGCATCAGGAGAGCGCGGAGCTCATGGCCGAGAAATATAATGAGTTGCAAAACGAGCATGATCAGATTCTTTTACTGGTTGAAAGGTTAAAGGTTGAGGCTCACCGCGCCAAGTCAAACTCGCCCCCTGCAACCCCCGGTTTTAAAATGCTCCGCCGCATGACTAGCCAGAACATACTGTCAGGTGTTGACCGTGCAACCCGAGCCCTTACTGGTCTACGTCTCCTTGCGTCCGAGGAGTTTGCTGGCAAGCCGGACGCTATGCTTAACTTCGACTACCATCTGGATCAAACCATGCACGAGTTGCAAAGCCGTATGGAGCGCCTCCAATCCCTTGAAGCTGAGAACCAGAGCGTGAAGAAAGAGATGGAAATGAAAGCGACTATTATCTCCGGCCTGACCAGAGAACGGTCGAGTTTACAGGGCTCCTCGCCTGTGGACATGGCTCTGGTGTCGCAACTGCGTGATCAGGTCATCTCCCAGGAAATACAGATCAACCGCCTTCGAGATGCTCATGAATCTCGCCAAAAAGAGCTGTTGAACGAGATCAATTCGTTGAAGGGTCTTTTAAAGTCTCAGGAAAGCGCTACCCGTGCAATGGATGCCGGTGCCGAGAAGCAGGACAAGAATATCGATGCTTTGAGGGGAGAACTTAGGGAGTGGAAAGGCAAACACAAGAGTGCTTTACAGTCCCTTCAATCCTCGGAGTCGCAGCTCACCACGACTCTTGCTGAGCTCGAGAGTGCTTTGGCTTTGGTAGCTGCTATGCGCTCTGAGCGCGCTGCCACCGATGCCGACTCTACTGGAAAAGAAGGCGCGGCTCGAGAGATTGAGGGTGGCCGCGCTGAACAGCAGGCGCTTGTCGACAGCTTGATGAAGAACATCGAGGACCACAAGTCTACTATTGCTACTCAGCTTGCTACAATTGCCACCTTGGAAAGGTCTCGCTCCGATGCCCGGGATCAACTGACTTTGCAGACCACTGTCCAGGAAGGAACCAATGCCAGCGCTGTTGACTTAGATATGTCTTCTCGGATGGCCGAGCTTGAGCAGCTAATTTCTACTCACAAGTCGGTCGTGGACTCTCACAAGCATGAGCTGGATACCCTCCAGAAATCTCACAAGCGCGAACTGGTCGAGTTGGAGGAGCGGACTAAGGCTGCTGCCCAGGCCGAGTGCGATGCTCGTCTCGCCAAGAAAGATGCTGAACATGAGCAATCCATGGCGACTTTACAGAATGAAATTGCCGAGTCTCGCGATGAGTTGGTTAAGCTACTCAAGGCTGTGTCGACTCTTCTCAACACCGAAGTATCGGCCGAGAACCTAACGGATCAAATCCAAAATGTTTTGGCTCAGAAGCAGCACTTCTCAGACAAGTATGCTGAGCTCATGGGCACTAATGAAGACCTTCGCAAGCAGCTGGATGCCAATGCAGACTCTGAGAGCCGTCTGGACGAGTTAACCAAGAAGAACAACATCCAGGACGCCAAGGTTAATGAGCTGGCTCTCTTGGTAGCTACGTTGGAGGACACTCTTCGCATGAAGGAGGAACAGATCAAGAAGAAGGAAGCCCTAATTGAGGAGATCACGGTTGAGAAGCAGAAGAGCGTGCGTCTTGTGGAGGAGCTAGAGGAGCAAATCACAAACAGCTTCGATCAGCATCACAATCGTTTGTCCATCATTCAGCAAGAGCGTGATCAGGCCCTGGAAGACGCCAAGGCCAAGATTGTCATCTACGAAGGTGACATCGAGACTTATCAAGTTCGGATCGAGCAGCTTGAGCTTCAAATCAAGAACACTGGAAACTCCGACGGCTCCCACGACCGCACCGGCTCTCCCACATCCAACCTCCGCAAGAGCTCTTCCGCTGCTACCCTTCCCTCGCCTCCACCGGCGATCCCTCTCCCTCCCCTTCCTACCATTGCCTCTCACCCAAACGGCACTTCAAGCGTGTCCCCGCCCAACTCTCGGCATGCCAGCAAAGAGCTATCCAACGCTCAGATGGTCGAGGATCAGGAAGCTCGAATCCGAACCATCGAGAAGCACCTGTACGCCGAGAAACAGCTGACCGCCACCTTGGAGGAAGCTCTCGGCGACCTTGAAGCCCAGAGCACCAAGATCAAAAGCGACTGCGAGGCCTGGAAGAAGAAGGCCTGGAGTTTCGAGGATGAACTTAACTCCCTCCGCAAGGAACGCAACTCTGCTCGTCTGTCCCTCCAGGCCGTTGAAGAGGAGCGTAGTGCCCGCCGTGAAGCCGAGGCCGCGCGCGCTCAACTTGAAGAGCGCATGCTCGCCCTTAACAAGAAAAAGAAGAAGAGCAGCCTCAACTGCTTTTAGGCGCTTTTGACCTCAATATTGCTTGAGCACTTGAGCTTTCCAGCATCAAAAACAATCGCATTCTCACCTGTCTCTATCGATTTCTCTGGCTGTACACTTTCACATTCTATGTCACTCTTCTTCTCTTCCTTTTTTTACATCTTTCTTCGGCTCTTGTTTCATACCCCTTTATTTTATTCGATTCCAATCAATTATTCGCCCATTTCCCTGTATCACGAACTTTCACGTTTTTGTCACTTTCCCCTGTCGATTCCGTCAACACCTTGTCCTATAGCCCTTACACACCCCTTTTCCCACCCCGTTCTTCTCATATTCCCTTTTTTTCCTACTCGCACTCATGAATCTCTCATGACCAGGTGGTAGATCTCTTTTGTCTTTTTTTTTTCGTCGCTACGCTGAATAACCTCAACATTGTACATTCTGTCGGCTGTTTCTGGACACATTTGCCCTGAATCTCTGTGTCGCAATCAGGGGAATCTTGTCAGCTCTCAATCGCTTTTTCTGCTTGAATTTCACAGCTCCTTGCTCGTTCATGTGGAGTTGCTTGTTTCGTACATCCTTGTCAATGAAGTTTCAAATGTCGGCTTATTTCTGTTTTGCTCAAGCTGTAGAGAAAACTTGATATGTTATAGTTTGATTCAGTCCTAAACTGTTGATTTTCCGCGATGCTGTTAGCATAGCCGCAGCTGGTATGTCGACCGATACTGGACAGCTGGTGCTGTAAAAAAAAAGAATTTGTCTCACGTTTGACCCACCCCTATACCACAGGATGTTGTTTTCAACTTTTGCATCTAGGGGTTCTTTGAAAGCCACAAGCACTACCTCAAAACGAAGAGAGATATATTGATGCTTCCATGATCACCTGCATTACTAGGAACTGAAGGGTTCAATTTAGTTTGCGAGATTACATAGTGGCACATTTGCGTCACATGACGCGCATACCCCACGTGTCTTTAAGCTTGTCGCAACAGCAGCCCCAATCTCCAAGCTCCAAAGTCAACTCATTATGGGCCTCCAACGGTCCAATGTGACAATAGTCCACCCGGATCTGGGTATCGGAGGTGCTGAGCGGTTAATTATCGATGTCGCACTAGCCCTTCAGAACCGAGGCCACCGCGTAACAATCTACACCTCCCACCGCGACAAGGCGCACTGCTTCGACGAAGCGCGCGATGGCACGCTGGACGTCCGCGTGCGCGGAAACACCCTATTCCCCGCCCATGTCTGCGGCCGACTTCATATCCTTATGGCTGCACTGCGCCAGCTACATCTTACCGTGTCACTACTGGGCGAGCTTGGGACAAGGGGGACACCGGAGACAGCGACCACAAACACCGACGACGAAGAGGACCGTGACGATATCTTCATTGTGGACCAGTTGCCGGCTTGTGTGCCATTTTTGAAGTCGTTCGGTCGTCCGCGCCAATCCCGACGGCAGCGCATCCTCTTCTACTGTCACTTCCCGGATCAATTACTTGCGCGCCGAGATGAGGGAGGCTCGCTTCTTCGCATGGCGAAGGGACTGTATCGGTTTCCGTTTGATTGGTTTGAAGGCTGGGCGATGAGCGCGTCGGATCGGGTTGTTGCGAACTCTAAATTCTCCCGTGGGGTTGTGCGTGATGTCTTTGGCTCCGACCGGTTGGGTGATGTGGAGGTCGTCTATCCGTGTGTCGATATGGATTCCGCGGTGACAGTTCCCGAGAAAGCGGAGGAAGACCCTCTCTGGGGTGGGAAGAAGATATTGCTCAGCATCAATCGCTTTGAGCGTAAGAAGGACATGGCGTTGGCGATTCGCGCTTATTATGGACTAGGAGCGGAGAAGAGGAAAGGGACGCGGCTGGTGATTGCTGGTAAGACCTTGTGCATGGATTTGCGATTTGCATAGATTCTAACACGTGCAGGCGGTTATGACAATCGTGTCCACGAGAATGTTCATTACCACCAAGAGCTGGATGAGCTCGCGACCAGTCTTGGGTTAAAGACCGCAACCTCCAAGACAGTCCTATCTGCACTTTCAATCCCCGATAACATTGATGTGCTCTTCCTTCTTTCTGTGCCTACTGCATTCAAAGATACCCTGTTGGCGCAATCGAAGCTCCTTCTCTACACACCGATCAATGAACACTTTGGAATTGTACCTGTCGAAGCAATGCGTGCTGGTCTCCCAGTGCTAGCATCTAATACTGGCGGTCCACTGGAGACTATTGTCGAGGGCGAAACTGGCTGGCTCCGGGACGCCCACGCAGACGAAGAGTGGACTGCTGTGATGGACAAGGCACTTTACGGATTGAGTCAGGAGGACCTTCAACACATGGCTCTTGCTGGCAAGAACAGGGCGCAGCAGGAATTCTCGCTCACTGCTATGGGTGATAGGCTAGAAGAAGAGATCTCCACCATGCTCAAAGCTGAAAGAAGACCATTCAATGGGTGGCAGCAGGTCTTTGTCATTCTCGCATTGGTTGGGGCGGTTCTTGCAGTGATGACTGCAATTTTACGTCAAGCACTATGATCTTTAGTTTATGGATTAAATCTATATTCTTTACATTAATCTACCATTTTTGTAATTTACACCAGTTCCTCTAACCGGCCCCTATATATCGACTACGCCGGTGATAGAAAGGTAGAAAATCACTTTTTATAACGACTACCTAGTAGCCGTAGGCTTAGCTCTATATAAGAGAAAGCTCTATATAACCATATTAATTACTTTAACTTGGTCGGAGTATTAATAAACCGCCGCTAAACTACTATCATAGCTAATTCAATTCTTAAAAAAGATAATTTTAACGAATCTGTACCACTACTATAAATTAGTGACCACTAGCCATAACGTTTTCTTAAACGTAACCTTACCTACTATATTAGGCGCTAGCGAGTAGACTGCGACAACGCCCATTAAAGCGGAGACACTTTTAGCGTCGCCAAGACATATGCGGGCACTCTTGGTAAAGTGGATGCTGCCAAGAACCAATCATGTACATAAAATAGCCTAATAGGGTAATTTTTGCATTATTTTTGCATAACAGGGGGCGATGGGCGTCAAATTGTAAAAGGCCCACGGGCCGTGGACACTTCCTAGTGCCCATGGACGGGCGATGTCGCAGTCTAGTAAGATATACTACTACATAAGATTCTATAAGGATCGTATAGTTTCTATTACGTATTGTTAGTTACCAGCTATATATAGGATAATTATATAAATACTGGGCCTTCGCTTACTCCAATAGAAACCCCCTTATTCTCTGTGGGCTTACAAAGTTCTAGCGGTTTTAACCCCGGCCGAGGCTAAGCACTTGTCCCAAGCGCCAAAATGCAGCTGCCTCAGGCACCGAGTGTATGCAAAGCCTGCAAACCACTCGGGAGCACATCGCGGTGACGTCGCGTTCGCCCTCTATCAAGTGATCTTTATCCTTAATCGCAGGCCCTAGTGGCGTTGGGGCCTCTCATCATGCCCGAAATAATAGACCTCCTATCATCTGATCCTCCCACTTCACCAAAGCCCCAGGCGTCAAAACTGCAACAGCCAGTTGAACTCCCGTCGCGACGTCCATCCCACCAGCTCAATTTAATTTCGTCGGACCCGTTCGATACATCCCTGTTCGACTTTGAAGAGGTCTTCGACATACCTGCCAAGAAACGGCGACTGAGCGATCAAAACACCTCTTACCTGCGACAAAGCATCACGGCTAATGCACCTGGAGCGGCGGAGCCCTGGTTCTCGATCTCCGATGATGATTTTGACCTGCCGCCAGCGAAAGCTGCGGTACAGAATAAACCATTCCAGTCGCGTGTTGAAGAGTCGGATCCAATTGACTTCAACTCTTCGGCCCCAGTCCTTTTACCAAAGCCCCCGTCGCGGAAACCGAATCTTTCAACCCGGGACATTATTGCGCTTGCTGACGATGACGTGTTGTCGGACCCTATGAAACTCCCGCCGTCAAGATTCCATGGGCATAGCGATATTGATGAATTCAGTGATCCGTTTACTCTGCCTGAATTTTCTGACCTATTGAAAACCCCGACTACCTCGAATCCTATCTTCTCCGAGTCGACTGCTCGCCTATTATCTCGCCTTGGCGACGGACGTACTTCAGACCCCAAAACAAGGCCTGGAACACGAAAGCTGAAAGGTACCAGCTTGCAATCTACAGCTGTGGGGAACCTCTCCGACGACGGAATTGATGAACTAGTAGCGCCCCGGAAAACAGCAAAGAAAACAAGCAAAGTCACTACTGCTGAAAAGGAAGCGAAGACCAAAGCACGTGAGGAAGCAAAGCTACAGCGAGAACGAGAACGCGAGCTTGAGAAAGAGCGCAAGTTGAAGCTCAAAGAGGAGAAAGCGAAAGAGAAACAACGAGCTGCCGACATCGCAAGCGTCAACAAGCTGAAAGTGAACAAAAAGGATTCAACACCAGAGATGATTGTCGACATGGCCACATCTCTCGAGGACAGCAGCGTCGGCACCCAAACCGTCGAGTTCATGAAACGACTCGGCGTCCAACACACATTCTTCACAAGCGCAATTCCCAACATAGTTAAATGGCGTCGCAAAATGAACGCAACATACAACAGAACCCTGCGCCACTGGGAACCGTGTCCATTCTTCATCCAAAATGAAGACCACGTGCTATGTCTGTTACCGGCGCCAGAGTTCATCAACATGATAACCCGACCGCGAGACGACGAAGAAAGAGAACGAGAAACCCTAGAAATCCACGTTCAGCGAATTAAAAGCGCCTACCCAGACTGCAAACCCATCTACCTAATCGAAGGGCTGACGGCTCTAATGCGCAAAAACACAAACGCACGCAACAGAGCCTTCCAAGCCGAAGTCCTGCGCCAACTCGCCGAAACAACCGCAACAGAAGAGCCAGAACGAACGACAAATCACAGAGCCCGAAAACCAAAGAAAAAGCCCGACACGACACCCCTCGTCGACGACGAGATTGTCGAGGACGCTCTGCTCGAACTGCAGGTCACGCATTCCTGTCTCATTCACCACACGACCGCGCCAGCCGATTCCGCGGAGTGGATAAAACATTTCACCGAGCACATCTCCACAGTGCCCTACCGCCGTGAACGACAGGAGGCACACAATGCTGCTTTTTGTATGGATACCGGACAGGTGAAGACGGGCGTCGATAAGCACGATACTTTTATCAAGATGATTCAGGAGGTCAATCGTGTGACAGCTCCTATGGCTTATGGGATTGCGGGACAGTATCCCTGCGTTGCAGACTTGACTCGTGGGATGCGGATGCATGGTGCTATGATGCTGGAGGATATCAAGGTAGGCTTTTCTTTCAATCTCCGTACTGGCGTTGTTTTTTTTTTTTCAAATGAAATCTCTTGCTGACTTCTATAGAAATCCGCGAACAAAAATGGCTCCCTGACGAATGCGCGTATTGGACCCGCTGCTAGTAGGCGGCTGTACAAAGTGTTCACTGGGCTCGATCCGAGTTCGACGGACGTTTAGGTTTGTTTTTTGCCTTCATGCTTAATTTTGGTTATCATTGCCATTCTTAGCTTGGGCTACTGCAGAGCTTAGCTTTGCATTCTGGATATTGTATCCGTTTGGTATGCCGGGTTATCCTGGTTGATTGCTATTTGGGCTTCTAATACCTAGCTTAGTCTCTCCTCTGGCTGGAAATTTTGGATGTAGCCAACCAAACGACACAGGTTTCCTGTTGTGTTGTGGGGAATACTGTTTTTAGCTGGATTTCAGTTGGTACAGGGTAATCCGAGTATGTCACCTCAAATACAGCGATTACCTCTTTTCAGCTCTGCACAAAGTTGTATTTGAAGATCAATGTGAGATGATGGAAAGCGTCGAAATAAGAAGAAACTGCCTAGCTATGTACAAATGCGAAACCCAGATCTATGTATAGAACCCAATATCAACGCCATCTCAAACGATATCAAACAAATGAGACATCTTGAACGCAAAACCGAAGATCAAACCAAACCCTGTCCTACTGAACAACTAAATAACAACCCCCCTCCTCTTCCACCCCCTCCAAGCAGCCAACCAGGCCAAAACAGCAACCCAGACGCTAATCGTGCAGCCAACAGCCCAGAACCCATAGCACCGCCATCCATAGCACTGACCATCGGACAAGCCATCACCGTCGCCGCGATCCATAGCATTTTGATAAGCGGCAGAGTAAACAATACCCCAGAGTGCGGCACCAGCCGCAGGCATCATGGCAACAATACCCCAGTTTGTGGCGAAGTTCTCTACACCCCAGACGACGGAGATGATGATGGGAGCAAGAGAGAAGGCGCTGCCGTACCCGAATCCGATTAGCGCGGTTGTCAGGTTGAAGACAGCTGGGTGCGCTAATGGTAGAGGGGACGCGAGGATGAGGTAGCCCAGGGAGAGGAGAATGGCCGAGGGGATGAGGAAGATCATGCGGGATAGAGTAGGGCGTGAGGATGACGGGGGTGTGGGGTGTCTGTGGTCGGCCCCTTCAGGAATCGGAGGGAAGAGGTGTGTTGCTTGAGGCGCGAAGAAATCAGAAAGTGAGCCTGTAAGGAGGCGGGCGATGGTTGAGGTTAGGGCAATGGTTGTGACGTGGGTTGAGGGGGATCCGGCTGGGGGTGATGCGCCTGTCGGATAGGATTGAGGTGTCAGGGTTGGGATGATTGTGCCCAGCTGATTTTCAATAAGGAGTCAGCTTGTGGTGTGGAAGTGAAATCTCAGATAAACTCACGTTGTTGATGTACGATTCGCCGGGGCCGGTGACCAAGAAGAAGCCAGCGGCCAGCCACCACATGGTGTTGTCTTGTAGGAACACGCGGGTTTCATAGTTGAGCAGCCAGTTCTTTTTCCGGCGCTCCTCTTCCTCGCGCTCCTTCTCTAGTCTTTGCTGCTCGCGCTCTTCATCGGACAGAGTCGATTGTTCCTCATCGAAGGCATCGGCAAACGTGCCGTACTCAACCGCTTGCCTGATATCATTCCGCGGCTGGAAGAAATCACTTTCCTCCAGCAGTCCACTGCGCTCTAGTTCTTCAACCGTCTCATCGATGTACTTGTCATCATCCTCCACGATGCGCAATGCAAAGGTACCGATGATCCCAATTCCTAGCAACAGTAGAGCCAGAAAGACGAAGTATTGGAAAACATCAAGATCACCGTGACTCCCATCCTCGAGACGTTCATAGAACAGATACGTCCCGAGCTGACTCTGCCACATACCACTGAGACCGAACGCCGCAATAGGGACAGCAAGCATGATACCCTTGTGTTTTCCCCTGCCGAAGTTCTTGGCACATGTCGCAACAGCTGCTAAATACATGCAGCTAGTCGCCATACCAATGGCGACAAACGCCACGATCATCACCCAGAACGGCCATCCAGAACCGCCAGCTTCACCAGGCGGGCCGCTCTTATACGTGAACGCAGCGAGGAGATATCCAATGCCGAAGATCAGCCCTGAGAATATAGCTAGTGCAGACGGGCTGTAGCGATCACACAAGTAGCCGAACAAGGGGACCGGAAGGTACATTGCGATTTCGGCGGCGATGGAAACGGCGTTCACCTGAAGCTGCGAGTAATGGAGTCGGGTAAGGAGTAGATGACCATACAAAGAGAAAGCAGTGATACTGCCAGCCCCCAAACTGCAAGACACGAATATAAGAGTCAATTTCTAGGGCCCCAAATTGAGATCTTCTGGTAGGCATGACAGCAAGGGAAAGGGTTTGCCATACCAAGTAACAACACCCCAGCCAAAGCTAAGCACTCGGATCACCTCCTTCTGCATCTTCCGTCTGTCTCGCTCAACAATCTCCTCGACGACATCGCTCAATAGCCCATCATCACTCCGACCGAGTTCGTGATTACCAGGGTTCCATGGATGTCGCCGGGATGGCTCTGCACTTCGATCGGTTGTATCTTGTTCAGCATCAATATGCTGAAGGAGCGATCGATTCGCGTCGAAATCGCGCTTATCGATCGTCATTGTGCTTTCTCCGCACCGGCTGCGCTAGGTTCTGTAACCGGCTCTTTACCGAGGGAAAGCGTAAGATAGGTCTGTATAGATAGGTATGGGAGACTGGAGGATGTTTGAGATCAAACGATGCTGCATTCACAATTTGGCAGCTCTGAGATGCGGAGCACGGTTGTCCGTGTGATGGAGCTTCAAGGGCGGGAGCGGTGTTAGCTGGGTGGATCCCGAGGTTGTGTTGTTCAACGCTACGTCATTGGAATTCAGCTTTTGATCATAGAGAGTTTAGTTCACTGCAATATCATGGAGATACGAGGTAACGTAGATGTTGGCTAAAAGGAGCCGTAGTGTTGAGTTGAAGAGCTCGAAAAGTGGAGATAGTTGGAGTCATTCCACGTGACTCCTTACATCCTACTCCGCACTTTACCCCGATCACGTCATTGCAAGATACATTTTTTTTTCAAGTAATGGAAGAGAAATAGGACGTCTAAAGACGAAAAAAGTATACTCATGTACAAGTAAGATCAAAGTAACAGCCCATGAAGGAGAGAGACCGAAAAAAGGATTTGGAGACATTGGGGGTATTATCAATATCAATAAAACAAAACTGAGAAATAGAAACTGATACACGCCCGAGATGAAAAGACAAAAAAAGGGTTCCGTGAAACAAAAAGTAGAAAAAGTAAAAAGAAAAGGGCAAAAATCAAAATCTCAAACGACTCAGAATGCATCCAAGCGTTGACGGGGATCATGGAAACACCCATTCAAGGGCTGGGTCGTTATTTCGTAGTGGAGATCAGGCGAGATCAGGCACTGGTGCATATGAATTCTGGCATTCCCATATGGAAGGCTCTATTCTCCGAACGCCACGTGTCGGCAGTGGGCCGAGTAGAAGATGAAACACAAAACAAAACAAAAAAAAAACTAGAAACTGACTTCGCCGGCATCGGTTTCCATCATAGTCTCATCCCAATATTGAGCAGAGGGCCGCTCACGAGCCGCAGGTTGAGACCCCAGCGCGATGGCTTCACCTTCGCCTCGTTCCACAAATTCGTCCAGACTGACCTCTTTCATGATCCGCTGGAAATACATCCGGAGTGTGCGCAGGCCACGTAGGTATCCACGATCAATGTCGTGGGGGTTGTGAGGTGGACATGGCGTATCTGGAGGAAGTTTGTCCTCGCCAGTGACGCAATTAGCGAAATCGACAATCTTCAGTTGAACATCCAGTCTGCTCTGGCCGTCTTTGGGGGTTCGTTGTTTGAAGGAGGTAGGTTCGCCAGAGCGAGGCAGTCCTTGCTCAGGGGAGGATTGTGGTTCTCCGTCATAAAGAATCAACAGACTGCTAGCATAAAGCCGGTACCTATCCAGCTGTCGAATCATGTGCTCTAACATAGCTAATTTCTCCAGAATGATAGGGATCTTTTTGGCAACGCTGGCATAGTTGACGCCGTCGTAAAGGAACCGAGTGAGCGCATCCTGGAACTCACGACCAGATTTCAAGTCGCGTCCAAAATACTTGTCTTCAAAGATGTACTCCTGCTTTTTGACATTCCAAGACTGCATGCCACAGAGCCGCACACCCAGCTGCTGCGAAGTAGTGGACTGGCATTTCCGTCGCTGAGACTTCTTCTTCTTCTCATTTGCCTCGATACCATACTGTCGGGTGCCCATCTTCAAATCCAGAACACATGGTTTATTCATACCGGCTGTTAGGTCCTCAAGGAGGAGAAAGAACTGTACTCGTTCGTCCTTTCTCAGCTGTGCCTCCTTAGGGTTGCTGGGCAAGATCGGGTTTATAGGCTGTTGTGGTCCAAGGCAGGCGGGATCGGACGTTCTACTAGAAGCAAAAGCTTCGGTTGCATGGTAGCCATTGGTCGAGTTACTTTCCGACGCTGGCGAAGCCGACTGTTTCGTGGTGGAAGGTGTATTCGACATTGAAGCATCGGCTTCCATGGAGAAAATGTCATCCTCCTTGTCGCCGCCATAACCATCGTCATCGAAGAACATGAGTTCTCCATTGTTGCGAGATCCCATGCTGCCACGTCTTCGGAGGCCACTCCCGGAATGCCGCCGTCTTGTGTGATGATTCCGAGAGACCGAGTTCGCTCGGTTAGGTTCCGCTTCAGTCCGGATCTTCTCTAGGCGATTTTGATTGGCGTCTAGGGCAGTTGATGCCGACGATGAAAGAGCAGGCGCTTCACTAGGGGGCGGGTTGATGTCAATCACTTCTGTCTGCAAAGCCGCGATTGGCCCAGGGACTGGTCGTCGATGGCTAGCTGTGCGGTCTTCTGACAAGTTCTCTCGGCGGTGGGCGGTGGCGGGCATGTCGGAATTAGCTCTTGGCAGATGGACATGACCACGAGCATGCCTTCGATGATGATGAATGGCAGGAGGGCTAAATACCTCGCGGAGAACCTGCTCCTGAAGCTTGAGATTGACGGTTGTGGCGCCCCAGATCTTGGCCCGCTTGCTCAGAGCCGATTTATCAGATTCCGCTGACATGCCCTGGAAGCAGTCAACGGATCGTGCGCGGTTTATTGAAGCATCTGCTGTCCGTGGTCGTTGCTGCTGCGTGAAAAGATCGGCAGGAATGATGTGGCGATTGTTTTCCAGAATGACCTTGGGGATGACCCCTGTGACTTGGGACTGGCTAACAATTCGCTGTGGCTTTTGTGACTCTGCTGCCTCGAGAAGCTGAGAACTGAGCGCTGAAGTTCCATTGGCAGGTGTCGTCTCTGGAATTGTTCCATCGGCAGAATCAACCTGATCCTTCCGTTTCGATGTTTTCGAGAAGGTGACGTTCAGCACCCCGATGTATCTGACCAGAAGATTAGTATTTGATAGGCTGAAAGCTGTCGGCTTTTCATGGAGTTGATTCTACGTACTTGGGAAGAAAGAGCAACATATCTGGGTGTCTCCGTTCAATGCGTTCATAGAACTCATTCTCTCGGTTGTTCAGTTGCTTGCATACAGCGCGTCGGGAAAAGCGGAAAACGGTCGTGTGCCCCCCAACCTGGTGACGATAGGGCTTTAATTCCACGGCACCAAGAGGTCCCGGATGCGGGGGTTTGGGGCGAGAAAGAAGCTGGGAACGCTGGGTCGGAGTGGCAGACAGTGTTTCCACCTCGTCAACAGAATGTATACTTTCATCGGCTGATTGGGGCTCGACTTCGGAATCGTAGATTGAATCGCCGGATTCAGAGATGGTACTCAACTTTTCTGGCACGTTCTCTCGTGGAGAATGGATATCGCCATATAGGATCTTACTTTCATTCTTAGATCGAAAGGATATATCCACATGGCTGATTTCCTTTTCGGGAGAATCGCTACGCTCTTGAGGTACTAACATTAGCTCATGACCTTTCTCCGCAGCCGGCAGTTGACCTGGCTGTACATCAAGAGGACCATCGGGAAATTGTTGTAGGTCATCAATCCCATCCGGCACCGTACGCTCGTGGGGGAAGTACACGGCAGAAGAGATCTGCTCATTTTCTTCCTCTTCAACCCCAAATTGCCCTGACCCACGCTCCCCTTCCTCGAACGAGTCCGACGGGGATACCTTGACGTGCGAATCCTTCTGGAAGTAGTCACGGCTGCGCTCGGAATATTGCGTTGGAATACTTTTCGAGAAAGACGATCCATGGCTACCGCCAGGTGTAAGATGAAAGTTCCGGATCTCCTCCAGCAAGTTGCGAGGTAACGCTGTGGGGCGACGCTTGGAGGGCTCATCGCCCTGTGTGGTCTGGAGCGTCTCCGCCGGAGATGGAGGTTGGAATGACGGAGCGTCGTCAAGTGCGGAGAGCGATGTGCTTTTACGAAGCGACGTTTCCTGTTCTGAACGATGTGCTTCTTGTTCATGATCCACGTTGCGATCCCTCAGGCCCAACGTCTCATCTTGTGGTCGGCAACGATCCTCCCGTCGTTTGCGATCCGGTGAAGAAGCGGTGTTTTCTTTGAAAAGACCCAGATAATGGCTGGACTTACGGCTGCGGACATTGGAAGCCGGCTCCGCATTGGTCAAATTGGCTTCAATTGAGCTGTCAACTCGGCCACGACGACCTCTGCTGGGGCTTCGTTCAACCGAAGTCTGAGGGATGTCTTCTTTCGGACTGTAGGATAAGAGATCCCGATTGGCCTGCGAGCCGTCGTGGCCAGAGGATGGAATGGTCAAAGAGTGGGTGGTACGAGAGACATCATCTAGTGTGGACGGGAAGGGATTCCGTTCAGGTAAAGTCCCTTGAAACCAACTGGTTTTCGTACCTGTGTTACTCAATGACACCTTGTACCGCTGAGATGCTCCCAAGTGAGCCTGCACGCCTGGCTCTACCTCCGTTTTATTTGCGTGATCAGTCGGTGAGGTCGATGCGCGCAGGAGAGACAGCCGGGGAAGATCGGTGGTTGAAAAGAGAGCAGAGGAACGCAATGGAGAGTTTCTGTTGACGTCAACTTCCATGCGGGAAGGGTCGACGCTCAAACGGTGGGGAGAGACCTTGGAGAATGCACTTGGAGACACGGATGCATCGTCGAGGCTAGGGATCAAGTTGACCTGGCGTTCATTGCCCAAGGCCTTTTCGGGGGGTAATTGTGGGGTATTTGCGGAACTTTCTGAGGGAAGGTAATGAGTAGCGAAAATGCTATCCCGTTCAGACAACTGAGGTCGGTAGACACTATCCGGATGCGCGATAGTGTCCGGAGGTGTGGTAGCGATTCTTTTCAAAGTAAATAGTCGGGATGCGGGCTGAGACCAGGAATGAGCGGTAGGGGATTCGGCGCGCGATGGTGAGAAACCCTCACTAGGCCCCTGAGACAGATGCTGCGCCCGTAAATGGTGACGTGGGGTACCTTCATGGACCGTATTGGAGCAATCATGTTGGGCAGGTGTAGCAGGTGTCACCAGGGGACTAGGCAAGGTATCTTCGGAAACGGACGGCGAGTTGGACATGGAGATGACATTGGTCAAATCCAGAACGAGATGGTATGGAATCGAAAACCGGAGGGGTTTTGGCGTAAGGAAAAAAGAATAAAAAAATAAAAGAAAAAAAAAAAAAACAAGAGGATTCAAGACTAAGATAGATGCCTAGAATTTGAGGACGAAAGATAGGCGTCAGAGGAATTCTATTACAATCAAGGGGTGGGGAAGGAGTGATGGGGGGCACGTTTAGGCAAAGAGAGATCTTACAGGCCAGGAAAAGGCCGCAAATTGGTCAAAGTGCCAAAGAGTTCAAGGAGCCCAAAAAGAAAATAAAAAAAAAAGGGGGGGAATGGGGAAGTTGGAGAGACACACCTTTGATCGTCACCGCCCGAGGATCCGATCAGCCAAAATGCATGAGAGGATCGGACGAAGTGATAAAACCTTCGAATACCACACTCATTTTTTTTTCCCTTCTTATGCCACGAGAGAAGATACAGCTACTACAAATACTACACTAGAAAAACGGGAGGATTTTCATCATTGTGCAACGTCTTACAGAGTTTGGGGTATCTTTTGGGCTAGGATTCCTCGAGGAGGGATCGGTAACCATTGAATCGTGGTGATCTCGGAATGATGGATGGATTTCCTGTTCTGATGAAATATTGATCATAGGCTTTCAAGATGAGATTTGTCAAGCGTGTGCTTCGAGTCGACAGATAACATATCTACAACCCAAGTATATCTCGTTTCCACTGTTGATACCTATCTTGGATCTACCAATCACCTGTCGCAATGCATAGTGTGCAGCCCTGTCGATCGCTAATAGGTGTCCTTCATTCACGACTTCTAGCATTTTTATCGGACCTATGGTGATAGGGACGACGGAGTAGTATCTGGATCTGAACACGGGTCCTGAATTAAGCTTACAGACTAAACTGAGCAACGCTTATAAAACCTTCATTCCATCAACTCAACTATGAATTGCCCCCACTTGGAACAGCCACGAAACTGGCCTTATCTCGAGTAGAGAGATCAAGTCGTCCATGTGTGGCCACGCAGATACGAGAACGAAAAGTCGTAAAGCTGCCAGGTGAGTACGTAAGAAAATGACCGTGGTGGAAATATCGGGGAAACGAAATCTTCTCAGCTGGAAGATGTAGTTGAGAGATATTTCGAGAATGAGGGTATTCAGTAAACCAGGTCCTATGGACCTCGTAAAAAACCAACGGCGCTCAAGTGTGATTGTGATGGGAGACAAGTAACGGGGAGCCGAGCGGGTCAGAACCCAACCAAAGACCTCAGCGAGGTGAAGCAGGCGAAGTAGATGCAGTAGAGGCCAACCAGGAACAACCAGGATCAACCAGGACCAACCAGGACCAACCGGGATGGGAGTTTCAACGAACCAGCTTCGCCGTAAAAGAAAAAAAAGAGAGGAGATCCCTGCAGAGCTGTGCCTTTTTGTACTCCCCGCTTACAAGGCTCCTATGGTCTTCCACTCCGTAGTTTAATGCCGGCTTCCTTCTACCATGCGCCTTCGTTCACGCTGGAGGCCTTGGAGGCACTTGCACCTTATATGTCGCAGTTGTCCACGGTTAATCGCACGATTCTTAGCAAGTGCTTCTTTTCCGCCTCCGTGTTGATCCCTGTGAGAGAACCGGTGAGTCGCGTGCCATTCCGCGAGATTCCCACTTCCAGTTCTTCGGTGATCAATCCAATCGACAATTTCGTAAATTCTCGATCAGAGATATATCACTCTACTTGACAGCAGGTTCACAAGGGAACCGGTGGGTTTGACGTCAAAATGAATCGCCTGAACGTGGACACTACAGTGGGAGGAAATCACCAAAGATATTCATTTATGGAAACACCACTCGAAATGCACCCATCATCCCAGCGGGATTTGTTATTGCCTCACCCAGTGGACCAGGGTGCGCACTCGCAGCATCCTGCAGGGGAAGATGTCGCAAACGAGAGACAACGAGCATGGTCATATGCGCCGAGTGAGAAGGAGCAGCTAAAGCATCAAGGAATCATCTCGGAGTATGCAAACTGTCCACCTCTCGAGCAGCACCCGGCCAACTATGCGCCTTTGGTTCAAAATCAGCAGCAGCAACAGCACCAACCACTACAGCACCAACCACTACAGCACCAACCACTACAGCAACAACAACCACAGCAACAACAACCACAGCAACAACAACCACAGCAAAATTATAACACTTCAATATCTCCTCAGACGTACGCGATCCCGCCCGGGCACCAGCAGCACGCCACTCAGGTGTACACCCAGCCTTATGTCAGCCAGTTGTACACAATGATGCCAGAGCAACCTCAACACCAATGGAACCAACATATTGACATGACCATATCTCCTCAGTATGCAAACGGACCAGAACAATGCCAGAACAGCACTCCGATGTCTCCCCACTCATATGCGAGTCCTCCGGCTGCGACACAGCCACAAAACCGCCGCCAGGAACAACGGCGCGGCATCGAAATTCCAACCCAGCAACTTGCCTCGTACACCGAACCCCCCAGCTCACCAACATCCAACTCACCAGGGCCACTGCCCCTGAAGGTAAACCCCGAAGTTCCATCCCGAAGCGAGACCATGCCCATTGTTCCGGACGAGAATCCTCTCCAGTCACCCAAGTCACCCTATTTCCCTCCACCTACCAGAACGATAACATCGCATACTCCCCAACAAGATGACTTGAGCGTATGCCACCAGCCCGGCCAAACCACCCATCCAAATCAGCAGGTGGAGGGAGGAGGATGGAGCAGCGGGCTGTGTGAATTTTCGAGTTTCGGTATCTGCTGTCTGGGACTGTTCTGTCCGTGCAGTTTGTATGGAAGAACACAATACCGACTATCGATGAAATCAAGAAAGGAGGACCCGACAAATATGCTCGGCTATGAGACCTGCAACGGGTCATGCACGGGGATGGGACTGCTCTGCGGATGTCAATGTAAGTCCAAGCCCGGTTCCACGCTTGTGTGATATCTGAAACGTTACGACCGAATCCAAAGAACAAGCCCCACTCTAACACCAGCAAACCAGGGTTACTGGCCACGGTCCAACACACCAGAATGAGAAAGGCATATAAGATCCAGGGCAGTATCGCATCGGACTGTGTGCGGGCAACCTGCTGTACCTGCTGCACATTGATTCAGGACGAGAAGGAGATCCAGAAGCGTGAGGAGAACCGATCTCGCGCGGTTAGGGAGCGGAACGCGACGTTGCTCTCGCCGTATACTGCTCCCGGGCCGATGTCGTATGGCCCACCACCCAGGTAATGCGTTCTACATACGGAGTAGCGAGGGAACAAAGGTCCACGGTGTGGAGTCTTGTGTGTATCATCTATGCATTGTGACGCAATAGCGTCTGTCATTTGATGTATTTCGAGATGTTTGATCGACTTTGTCGGGCACTTTTGTCGGCAATGTGGAGCACTCTATTGCCTGTCAAGAAATTGCCATTTAGTTTCATAGGCCTGAGAGGAAGACACTAATTTTCAAGATCAGGGCTGTCACGTAAATCCACTAGTTTGGTTAACTAAATCACTAGTTGACTACGGAGTATCTACGGAGTACTCCGTAGTTAGTTGATGTTGCAGATCCCTCTGCGCCGGTGGTGAAATATGATTTATCATATTGCCACCTGCACTGGAAGCAGGGCTAGGTGAGAGGTCAGATCGGGTTTAATAGCTTAGTCGAGACCGATTAAGATCAAAATAGCCCAGGAGGAGTAAGAAATGACTAATTCTAGTGAATCAGCGAGAAAATCCAAATGACATCTGTTTATCTCCAAGGTTTATCTCCAAGCGCCTGTTTTACCCAACATCGAACCCCATCGCTAGATCCACCCAACTTTCAAGGTTGTTGGGGCAATTCGTTAACCCTTTCGACTTTACTGTATAAGTGCCCATCCAAGTGTGATACCACTTACCTTCAAATTAAAAAAAAAGCAATGGTTTCGCCCATCAAATGTCAAGACAAGACGCACGGGAATACGCGAGACCCTCCGGTGGGTCGATGCGCCATGATGATCCACCAAGTGGCTCACCATTTTCCTCTGAAGAGTCAATGGCCCCGGGGAGGCCTCCGTACTGCATGCTCACCGATGCCGCAGCCCCGGCTATCGAAACTTGCCATGGCAATATGCAAGGCGTTACACTGACGGGGTGCATGGACCGTAGATGTTCACGCTGCAAGTCCACGATGGCTGATGAATCGATTGGGATCAGATTTGGGACTATTCCTAGAGGCTGGCTGAGGTGAGAAAATGTCTTCCCTGGAAATGTTGACTGTCAATGCCTCTGTTGTTCTCACATAGGGGGTTGACTAGTCAGAGATCACGGACGTTGACCAACTTATATGTAAGGGTGGGATATATCGATCCAGTAGCCACTGCTGTGGGGGAGCAGGCATTTGTTTTAAGGTGATACTTACTCGAACGATTAGAGTTAAAATAATGTGAGACCGGTTCAGCTCCTTCTTTAGGGGGGTTTGCTGCTTCGCCTCTTTGTACATATTGGGTCTGGGAATCCTGCATCCTGGTTATATCGGTGCTTCCACTCATTTGAGAAGTCAATCTCCCTTCGTCGTTAAAGGGTGCACTATGGCAGATTCAGTGGCCCAGAACATCCATGGGTACGACCATGATAACTTGCGCCATGTGGTAATCACTTCAACTTGTTTTGCCTTCATCTTGTCTACTGCTGCAGTCGGCTTCCGTATTATCTCGAGAGCCATCAACGGCAGCGGTCTTTTTCTAGATGACTGGCTCATTATCCTTGCGTTGGTGGGAAGCACTCTCCGAGTGTTCATATGTCGAGGCTAAGCTTTCTAAACAGATCTTCGAATACGGTATATCGATCGCAGGAGTTGTGTGTACGTTGAGATCATTCACACCTGAGCCAGTTGTTATCTAACGAACGGAAGTACTGTACAATGGACTCGGAACACATATAGTTGAGCTCTCCCCCGAACAAGTCGTTACCTACCTGAAGGTATGGTGTTTCATTCGCATCGCGTTGCATCACACGTGTAGGTAATCTGCTGATTGACCTGCAGACACTGTTTACAGGCTCAATTCTCTACACCGGCTGCATTGCAAGCATCAAGCTATCCATTCTGATGCTTTACCGTCGACTGTTCCCCGTAAAGACCATGAAATTCGCAGTCCATGTTGTCTCTCTGATTGTAACCATATGGGCTTCCTGCGGTATTCTCGCAGGCTGCTTTGCTTGCATCCCAACCGAGAAGCTGTGGCACCCCATGCTAGAAGGTGGTTGCATAGATTTGTCAAAGTTCTACTACGGTCTTCAGGTTCCCAACATTGCAACAGATGCAATCATTCTCCTGATGCCGATGCATATCGTGTGGAATCTCCCCATCGCCAAAGCCCAGAAGCTCGGTCTTTCTGGGATTTTCATCCTGGGATTCTTGTAAGCTTTGCCCGCTGTCACTATGCTAAGTTTATCTCTTGACACGATTTAGAGCTCTCATTTTCGACATCATTCGCCTGGTCGTCCTGATCCAGCTTTCCACCCAGGGAGAGGACATTACCTGTACGCTGAATTCCTTCCCAACCTATATCTACGAGGAACAATCACTAAATTTTTTTTTTAAAAAAAAACAGACAATCAAGTGCCAGCAAGCGTGTGGACGTGCATCGAGCCCGCTGTCGGAATCGTTGCAGCCTGTCTGTCAAATATGCGGCCTTTGTTTAAGGTCATGCACACTAAGGTCTGGTCTAGGCTTTCCGGCCGATGTGCCCCAAGCACGAGCAATAACAGCGATTCAAAGATCAACGAGAAGAGAAACTGGCTACGACAAACGCTTAGTCCTACTAGCGGAGGGGGTCTTTTCCCCAGTTCTAGTGGGGACTTGAATCAGCCACCGACTCACAACCAGTCTACTGTGTAAAGCAAAGGCCAGAACTATAAACACTTTTACGAATTCTGGATTTTCCTATGTCAGTCGATGAAGGGAGAAGATTTTTTTTTAACTCATCTTCGCTTTCGTCATTCCTTGCCTACGACAAGGAAGCTAGGATCGCTTTGTTGGCATCTCCTCTATCAATATTGAGAGGTGAACGAAACTAAAAAATAGAAAAAATGCTATCGTCTCATCATGACTTGGTAAATCCCAGCCCATCGAAATAGGCATTGACTCAGTGCAACTTAGAGTACCGGAGACGTGAAAGAACGACCAGCCAGAAGAGATATGGACGACTACAAAACAATGGCTTTAATAGCCTTAGCACCGTTCTTTCTCTAATATGAGACCTTCAACCAATCGCTAGGTAAAAACCAGGCGAACATAAGAAATAGGTCCTGTTCCAGCATGTCGCCGAATAAGTAACCAAGCATCCCACATTTTAATCTCCAAGAACAAGGCACAAGTCCCTCAAACTCTCTTTCTTTTCAGTTCAATCGATTCCAAATCATTAGAATGAAGACCTGGGTAAATCCCAAATGCACCATCTTTTTTACTCTCCCAAGTTCCTTTCCTAGGAAAAGAATGTCTAACCGCGAGCCAACACGCTCGCTGTACCAGAAAAGCTTCCAAAAGGAATGTCGAGCCTTTGTGACATATGCAGAGGCTATATCTGAATGCGCCAGGACACACCCGAACAATAATGCACCTGACCCTAACAGCAAAGTTTCTAGAGGGCTAATGAATTTATTGTCTAAAATTGCGCGAGTGAAAGACACCGGACTTGAAATGGTTGCGGAAACCCCCAGATGTTCTCTCGTTCGCAGGCAACGCAGCTATTAGTTTATCCAAAACCCAGCAGATCAGACCGAGTTTGAAGACGAATGCGATGATGTAGAGGCCCGGCTAGAGGGACTGGCACGAATGGTTGAACTCCACAAGTTAGAGAACCTCTGGGTTGCTGGATTCATTGAGTCCTTGGCTTTCCATATCCAGGATGTGTTTGATGTATCAATAGTTGTCAATGGAGGTGAAATATCTTGTTCGATCTTGTATGTAAATTTCTAGTACGGAGCCAGCCACGATAAAGTATTCAGGGCTTGATAGTTGTCTTTGAAATCATCAAAGATCTTCGTGATCCTGGGTTGGTGTTCCGCATCGTGAAGATCCAAGTCGATGCCCTCTTTCACACCACATGGAGCCCAAGCCACAGTATCTTTCTATTTATCTGAGTACTTGTAAACACGCATCTATCTTCCAACGGGGGTAATACAGTAAATAGTGATCCGTTGGCTTTAGCGCGAGTCTTATGCGTAGCACTTGGATGCTAACGTGACTACTTAGCCCCCTTCTCGCTAGATAGATTCTCGTGTCCTCTTAAGCCATTTCTCTTACACTGAGTAAGTAAGAGCATATCGCCTCTGGGTCTTTGAATTAGTAAAAGACATACAAATCAGAACATCCTTTCTAACGCACTTGCGAGGTTTAACTCTCTTAAGGTCTTATGTTACAGCCGTTAGAACAATGTCGCATTCCACACGCTATTAGCAATGCTCAGGGCCAGCTCTATTGATGCGCTCCATCTCCCTTTGAATGTGATGAACTTTGGAAGACTAACAAGAGTTAGCTAACTTGAAGTAGATTAATCGTAATTTGATTTACCTGCGGGATCAAAGGAGCATTTGTTCAAGAAAGTCTAGGAATCACAACGCAAATGATCTCTATGGATACCAACAGGAGGAGAGAGGTGAGAGGATAGGGTTTAATTTAAGAAAAAAAAATTTAAGAACAGACATTTGGAAAGACATTAGAGTGCTGCCTTAATCTTGCGTCTCTTAAATCACCCTGACCCAGATAGATCAGATTGACAAAGTTCTGTCGTCAAGAAAAGAGGGCGACAAACTCGGCTCTTATAGGGGCAATGTTTAGGTAAGAATAGGTAGTGAGCATCTGTAGCCTTACAGCCCAAAAAAAAAACGAAGCACATTAGCCGAAAACGAGAAGGATTCCAAGTGTTTCGTTGAACTTGTAGCAAAGCCAAAGCACTATAATTCAAAACACGTCTATTCAATCCAAAGTACCAGTCCAAAACCCCCGTGGAATGTTCACTAGACTTCACTCTGACTCTGGTCCTGAAAATAAAAGGAAAGTCGTCGTGTAGTTCAAGTACACCAATATCACTTTATAGACCTTTCAATTAAGGTCTAAACATATCACACCAACATTGCTCTGGCTTTATAATTATTCACGACCATGTCAACTCAAAACTACGTTCATCGTCAGTCTACCCATACACAACGAACCCTGATTAGCCTCTGAATGACCGCCTAAATTGCGTTCTATGTGGGATGGAGATTTTCGGGATGATTTACTCCCAAGTCGCAAATCCAACCCGTTCTGCTGTCTTGTTCAGAGAAACCAAAGTGGAAGCACCTTGAAAAGGCCAAACTGGAACATGTCATGGTTCCATTAAAGAAGGCAGAGGACGCAGATTTCCCCACGTTCCTCAGCATGTGTCCAAGCATGTGTCGAGCCAACGAGTCTTTGAAAGGCGTCCTAGGTTCAGTTCATTCAAACGGACACAATGTTCAAAAGGTCTAACCTGTACGGCTGTGATATCTACAAGAGTTCTGTCAATAGTGCCCGAGGTCCAAAAAGCAGTCGAAAAAGCAATTGAAAGCAAAAAAATGACCAAGGTAAAAAAGTACCCATCTTCACTGCTGTACCTGACCATTGGAAGTTGTGATCATGATGGGCTTGCCCGATTGACTACTCACCAGCTGACGTGGAGAACACACCAAATATGCTTTCTGTATGGCAGTGGACAATGCCCGATTGGGTTCGGAAGAGAAGGCTGAAAGAGAATAGATTTGTTGAATTGATATCGATCAGGGAGGCCAATCATACCATCGCTTGTCAGGCCCTACGGCTTAATTTGATGGGTCTTCTGATCAGGAATGGTATGCTAAAAGAAGTTTGGCAAGTCGCAAGCGACTTCTTGGCTTTATCACTGGTACTAAGTCGTATTTTCTCGAAATGGCATGCGGATGCAAATGATTGCCTCAGGACTTGCTAGATCACCGTATTGATGGGATATGAGCCACCATTTTGGTGTGCCGGACGGATCTCACTATGGAACAGACTAGCTACATCTCCTAAATCCGATACACAAACTAGCCGTTTTGAAGTTCGAACACTGCCTTAACACTCAGACAGAGAGACCTCCATTGTCCCCATCGGCGTGATTACAGTGGAGTGCACCTAAACTCTTATAGCGGATTGCATAGATCCAACTGCAGCAAGGCGCCAATATAGCCTAATCGTATCCCCGCGCGCTAACCCACAAGGCCCACGTGGTCTGCAAAATTCTATAAGACCATCCCTTAAGAGGCGTATTCGCCCTTCTTTTGGCTTTTGTCTGAATTTGCTTTCTTGTGCTTTACAGGCCTCATGGGCTACACTGTAAATCCAACATGCACGGTCTCGACGAAAGCACTGGCAAGTGCGACATGCGTAGGAAGGCTTTGTCACTTTTACCGCGGGGGATCAAGATTTCGAGGCTGTCTTGGGCTGGGTGTTAGTCCACTCTCTTGCATAGTTATACCGCAACAACCAAGGTGTTCGAAAACCACCTTGCTAACATCTAGAAAGATAGCTAATGTAGTCACCGAAGTAGTCACATCTTTCGTAGCTGACACGGTTCTGCCGGTTGTCTATCTACTGTTATCTCTAAATCGAAAATTCGGATCAGAAGTTCGCTGTTTTCTCCAAGGGTCCGAATTTCGATTAGCAGGGTGGGTATGGTCCCCTCCATCAAGCGAGGGAAGATGGCACACTGGTTCTGGCAGATGGGCATATGAACCTACCCCAGCTACTAATGGAAGTTGTTCCATATGCCATTTTGAACACAAGGCTTCGTTTGGAGCTGGCTAATACTGAGCCAAGCTTTGCTGGGGAAATTCCATAGGTTGGAGCAGACAACGGTGAGTTTTTGTGACATACCGACACAGTGATTTGGAGGCAGTTTTTGTTTGCAATTTTGGCAGTTGTCTCCAAGCTAGCGAGTCAAAATATACCCAAGTGGATAATCTGATATCTTGTTGGTAATTGAGATCTTATTGGCAATGAAGGAATGGTTGATGTATCACAGATGAATTGGGATTTGAATTTAATGCACAAAACGCTCTATTTTAAAGACACCAAGAATGCGAAAATCAAGTCTAAATGTCTATACATCTATATCGACCACCATTCGAATTCAGTCATATCCTGTACCGGCAAAGTGTGTTGCTTGCGGCGCCACGTCCTGCGGGCATGCTTGGTGAACGCCTCTGGAGGAGACCAGGCTGCCTCCCAGGTCTGAGGTTGCCGCAGGGTAGTTTTAGATTGTAGAATGCCGAAGCGGAAATCGAGTCCGTCGACAGTGCCTGCAGGAGACGGCAATCGCATGTAGTAACGAACGCTGTCAGGAATCTCCTCTGCCACATGGCTAGTCATGATCAAGGCTTGATCCTCAGTAAGACCAGTCCAGCGGAATTGGGCCTCCTCTAGAGAACGGGGATTGACGTTGGGGGCACGGCGTTTGGGCCTTTCGCCGATTTCTAAGAATTGCAAGCACCTGTTACGCTGTGCCGCAGATAGACCCGAGAACGCTTCATCGAGGATGACAATGTCCGGCCTGGCGACAATTGCCCGGAGGAAGAGCACAATCCGTTGTTGTGCGGTCGTGAGCTCACCAAAGAGAATTTCATCCGCGTACCCAACAACGTGATCCATGAGTGCATATGGCTCTAGCCTAACGTGAGTGCGCTTCGTCATGGGCGGGAGCCGAGCAGTTGAGATTTTTGGCACCTTGCTCGTGATGTAATTTGGATCCAGTTGGGGCTTGAAGAAATGCAGGACTGCAGATATGTCTTGATCTCGTTCAATGTTCAGCTTCGGCTTTGACAGGAAAGTCTCAGCGAAGGCAGTCTCAAGCGCTTCACGGATGGATAATTGACGTGGGAAGAATGCATGGATCTCCGGTGATGAGTGTCCAATGCGGGATTGCAATTCAAAGATTGAAATTCCGGGTTTGCCAGCCTCTGGAAGTCTGGATCGTCCGAAAAGTTTGATAGGCTGCGCATATGTCTGCGGATGGTCCGATGTAATCATGGATAGCAAAGTTGTCTTGCCTGATCCATTGGGGCCGAGAATCGCCCAGCGTTGCCCCCGACGGACTCGCCAGTGTAGCCCATCCTTTATTTCGTCATTCACCTTCTGCTGCCAATTACCGAGTACTACCTTATCCCCATACTGGACATGAACTCCTTCCATATCAATGACTGGCTCTCCGCCCAATGGCGCCTGGACTTCGGAGGACTTTATAGCATGTGTATGTGCCACCAAATCACCAAGGAGCTCTGTGTCCAAGATGCCAGCCTTCAAGTCTGCTTTACATTTATTCAATATTTGTGTTTGCTGTTCGGGTAGAGAGTCCGGCTTCGACTTATTTGCAATGTAGCTCCAAACATTGAGCGTGTCCTCGATAGCCACCCTTGGCCCTTGGAGAAGAACCTTACGGGAATTGCCCAAAACCATAATATGTGTGATCCAGTCCGGCACCTTGTCCTGGGGGCGCAGAGCTAGAACAAGTCGAGGGGCATTTTTCTTCGCTAGCTCGTGAAGGAGTTTAGATATCTTTCTTACTGCCACCGGGTCCAACCCCACTAATTAGAGGTTAGAATGTCATAGCCATGAAGTTTGAATTCGAAACACTCACTGAACGGCTCATCAAGAAGTAGCAGCTCTGGCTTGCCTAGAATCGCCTTTGCAATTCGCGCTCGGCGGGTTTGACCATTGCTCAGACTCGAGACCGGCAAGGTGAGCAGGTTCCCTAGTTCAAGACTGCTAATGGTCCGCTGGAGGAATTCTTCATCGTGTAACGTGCCTTCCTCCTCACCCTCCATCGGGTTCAAGGAGGTCTGGCCACGCAAGTATTGTAGCACGCTCCAGTCGGTTTCCTCCCGATAACTCTCATAGCGAGCACTGAGATATGCGCCACGAACTCCCCCAATGGCCCCCGAGCCTTCGCCACTGAATCCAACATATTGAACTGCATTTTGCACTACGCGCAACCGTGGGTCCTTGTCGGCAATTTCGTCTGTGAGGAGGTATGGATATGAGCGTGCGTTGGGCGGAATACTGATGTGTTCGCCGCGGAGGATGTGGAGGAAGTCGGTTCGGTCAGAAGGGCCAATTATAGCCCAATGTTGCAGAGGTGCCACCTTCGATGAGCTGGAAGCCTGAATAGCGGGTAGAGTGAAATTCAAATTTGGGAAGAGAGGTGCATTGGACCGGTCTTCGGCGGTTGGGTATTTCTTGTAAAATGTTCCATCTTGAATGCGAATGAATGGGATTTCAGACTTGAAACGCGCCGGACAATATGCTGTGAGCCGCCATACCCTGGGCCGCAGCTTGGTTCGGAGTAGCATCGTCGTCTACGAAGAAAAGTCGCAATGATGCGGAGATTGGAGATTCGGGGTTACCAATATCGATGCCACGTGACTGCACGGAGCATTCGAGAGGGATGGTACCGGACCTGAAGACATCCATGAATTGCTACAGGAAATTTAGTTTGGACCAAGATCCCAGACGCAGTATTCTTTACGGCTAGCACTACTCCGTAGGGGTGACATAACTGGGACTGGTATTTATATAAAGTGTGACCTGACCAAAGTCCACTTTTCTGCCTCATCCCACAGGAGGATCAGTCAAACGAAATGCCACTACCAAGAAGCGAAATAATCTTCATTTGAAAATGGTCTACGTCAACTTTTAAGCATATGCGTATATTCTCTTGAACCGCCTGAATTCCTCGCGTGACTGTTCCGATCTAATCGCATCCGATCCCGTCGCCGGATAGCTCTCTTTTTCGGATCTGCATTGTGCAGGGGTGCAGCTTGACAGTTCGACGTATTTTATGTCAACAATCTATTGCAATCATTTGACGCTGCAAGTCGTAAATAGGAGTGCTTGGAAATCCTTGAAACAAGAGCAGTGCATCTTTTTAAGATGTCTCGCCAAGTGGTAAATTCCATAGATGAAAGCCGACGGCTAATGAGGCGGGTGTGACCACCCGACGGCCAAACTCTCGGGACCCGATTATCAGAGGTCGTCATGGACCTTTATATAGCCGGCCTGCTCTTAATTCAATTTCCTCTAACTAGGGACTCTCACGTTGCAACCACAACCCACCTTGAGTCGATGTCAAAAAGTATCACCGCGAATCTCCATTCGACCGACACTCAGTACAAGTATCTATCGACGCCGATAGAAAGAAGCGATATGACATACTCTCCAGTCCTTGAGACCAGCCGCATCTTCTCTGAGCTGTGCGAGCAGTCAGAACGCTTCGACTTACCACCAGAGGTCCTCGCAAACAAGGACCGCGTCTCATTCTCTACCAGTCATAATGAAATCTATTTTCCCATTCCCTTTAAAGAGACTGAAACTCTCGCCGCACTGAAGGGTATCGAAGGTTCTGTAGCCGCCGCCATTGCCGATTTGCGCTTTGGTGCTGGTGCGGAACCTCGGGGCATTCAAGTCAACCTCGAAGCTGCCACTGCATTCGGATGTCAAGCGTACATGGCCAAGGTGGATGGTCTGTCAAAGTTGGATCCCGCTGTGAAATCAAAGCTGAAGAGTATGTAATCCCGTATATATTGGTCTATCGAGCGACAAGACGATATTGACCGCGACAGATACGGATTTGCTGGCTGCCCAATCCAACGGCTACCGGCGTATGTCGGCAAATCTCTACAAGACTAAGAACCCAGATGAATACTTCCATATTCATGGCTCGCTAGAGGCTACAACAACCTTAAACATGATAGGACTTGAGGGTCAACGACCAGACTTGACTGACTATGAAGAAATCATCAAGGTCATCGAGAATAAGGTACAGCAATACACAGCTGCGGAGCTTGAAGAAATGAACAAGGAGAGACGTCAGGCTGGTGTGACCGCTTACAAACATGAGGAATTCATTAAAACTCCCCACGTATGTTCTTCAAGGTACTGTATCCAGCCGCAATAAGCAAGCTGATAATTTGACAGGGAAAACTTAACGTCGAAGAGCCTGCATGGAAAGTCAGCAAACTACCTGGTGACCTTCCTCCAACTCCTTTCCCGGCTGTACGTGACGGCAGCAAGAAAATTCTCGAGGGAATTAAGGTGCTAGAGATGTGCCGTATCATCGCAGGCCCAACTGTTACCCGCATTCTAGCCGAGTATGGTGCCGATGTATTGAAGATTACCAGCCCAAACCTTTCTGACGTGCCGTTCTTTCAAGTCGATGGTAACATGGGCAAGCTTGCAGCAGATCTTGATTTAAAGAGCGAGGCTGGACGAGAGCACTTTGAGAAGCTCCTGGATGATGTGGATGTTATCGTGGATGGCTACCGTCCCGGAGCACTGGATAAGCTTGGATATGGAGCAGAAGCCATGGCTGAGTTGGCCAAGAAGCGCGGCAAAGGCATCGTTTACGTGAATGAGAACTGCTTTGGATACGAAGGCGAGTGGGCGGGCCGCGCTGGATGGCAGCAGATTGCAGACTGCGTAAGCTTATAGGCCCACTTGTCAGACGACTCGACTCAGATCCAAACTAATCTTAACTACAGGTTACTGGAATTGCCTGGGCCCAAGGCCAGTTCATGGGCCTCTCAACACCCGTTGTACCTCCCTTCCCCATCTCCGACTACGGCACCGGCTGCATGGGCGCCATCGCCGCGCTGACTGGTCTCTACCACCGCGCGAAGAACGGCGGCTCATACCACGGCAAAGCCTCACTGATGCACTACGACCTTCTTCTCTTTGCAATGGGTCAATATCCCGCTGATGTGCAGAAAGAGCTTCGTGATGTGCAGCCGCCGGAGTTCTTCAAGTTGCGTCACTGCGACAGCGTTGACCGTATCTCGTCGACTGTGCTGAAGGGTATGAAAGAGCGGTTCCCGCACTTGTACATGCCTGCCGGTTCTGAGTCGGAAGGCTGCAAGCCATTGACCGAACTATGGTCATCACGCGCATATGGTGCGGATATCGAGATTGTGAAGCCAGTCGCGGTTATTGGCGGTGTGGATAACCAATTCGTGCGGTCCAGTCGTCCGAATGGATTTGATCGGGCAGCCTGGGAGGAGTTTAGGGTTGAGGAGACCGATGCGAAGAAATGTTAGTCGTTTCAGCACTGCCTTCATTCTGTTTCTTAGATGGAACAGGGTTATTGTTGATATGTAGAGATGAAGATAACCTCAATCTAGACCAGTCCATTTCTGATGAGCTCCCACGCACTAAGCCCCACCATGACAGCGAATTGGTTTCCCCCCAAAACAGGTTTATCTCGTTTTTTTTTCGTCGCCCCGTTTTTTTCTCTCTGATTTCGACTTCGTGGCTTTCTTATGTGGAAGTGACCAGCTGAAGATCAGCTGGCCCATCGAATATGGGTCAGCCGGTGGATGTCGAGCAGGAGAGAATCCGAGATCTATCCAAGTTTGTTGTTCCCCGCCTTGCGATTGTGATCTCCACTCACGCATTCCCCGATCTCAACAGATATTACTGTACATTTGATCCAGTCTCGAGAATTTCAGACCCCGAAATACGTGAGGAACAGGACACAGCCTCTCCTCGTCTTTCAAACGATACCACATTGACCGCGTTGACACAACTGGGGGTCTATCGATTTGGCTGCAATCGGTCTTTTGTTTCAATCATCGACGGAGAAAGTCAGCACATCATTTCAGAGGCAACCGCCTCGATCTCTCTTCGAAACAAAGATCTTCATCGCCCAGATGATGGCATCTTCTTGGGTGTCAGTACACTTGACCTGGAATGGGGAGTGTGTCCCCACGCCATTCGGCTTTTCACTGGACAAGATCCTTCCCGGATACTAGACACGGAGAACATAACGGCCAACCAAACTCGCAACATCATTCGCGATTTTACCAAGGATGATTTCTACAAAGATCGTCCTTATGTCCTTGGCTGGCCATTTTTTCGATTCTACGCCGAGGTGCCATTGTACAGCCCTTCCGGGTTCGTACTAGGCTCATATTGTGTGGTGGACAACAAGCCACGAACAAACTTTGGAGACGAAGATGTGGCTGCTCTTCGGGAGATTGCCGACTCGATTTCAAACCACCTTGAAAATGCGCGGATCGTTCAATATCATCGTCGTTCGGAGAACTTGGTCAAAGGGTTGACAAACTTCGTCAAAAGCCGTGCAAAATTTGACCCCATTGCTTCCTCCACTCAAGGTCAAATTGAAGCTTCTGCAAAGAAGCTCAATACTGAAGATTTGAGAGTAATAGCCACCCCAGGCGATGTAGGTGGAACGCTCGATCCTTTGCCCACGGCAAAGGATATTGATGTTTATTCACCCATTGATCAAAATTCGTCCACAAGTCTTCATGGAAAGGAGTCGTCTATTTTTTCTCGAAGCACACCTTCCGCGTCAAACTACACGCTGCCATCGTCGATTTCTCGAACCTCAGACCGAGCTGACCCTCTTTCCTCTTCCGTAGAGGGACCCCCGGAATCATCAGCGCTAGACAATGTGCCTATCACTGAACGCATAGCTGCGATCTTTTCCCGTGCTAGTCTTCTACTGAAAGATTCTCTGGATCTAGACGGTGTGGTCTTTCTTGATGCCCATCGAAATGACCCACACTTGTTAGTCACTTTTTCTTTGATTAAGTGAAAATTTCTAACTCTATTTTAGCGAACCTTCTGAACGGCAGGATGATTGGGATGACATCAAAAATCTTGAGACAGGTTCCCCAGCTGCTTCTGGCTCTGGCCCCTTGGGTCTTCCTAATTTCAATCACGGCAAGAACGAGGAAAATTATTGTGGCTCCTTGGGCCAGGCTATAAGCTACAGGCCAGCTAAGAGCAACACTGACTTAAGCCACGTCCGAGTGAAAGAAGAGTTACTGCATTCGTTGATCACGCACTTTCCAGATGGCCATATCTTCAACTTAGACAACACAAGTAGCTTGGACAGCTCCGTGGACTTTGAAAGCAGCAATCCTGACATTTCTGCTCCTAATCTTGAAATCATTCAGCAGATATCTCATAGTCTTGCACATCAGCTCCCTGAAGCAAAATGTGTACTTTTCTATCCTCTGTGGGATTGGAACAAAGCCCGATGGCTTGCAGGCACGCTGGTTTGGGTAAACGGAAGCCGTCGTCCGTTGGGCACAGAAGAACTGCACTACTTCAAAGCGTTTGGAGATTCGATGATTTCCGAAGTATCTCGAATACACTGGACTGCCAGTGAAAACTCGAAATTCGACTTCGTGACTTCTATAAGTCATGAGCTTCGCTCCCCACTACACGGGATTCTCGCGAGTGCGGAGTTGCTACATGATATTCCACTTCAGACTGCGCAGCGTGATATGGTTAAAATGATCTCAACGTCCGGACTGACCTTGTTGGACACGATAGATCACCTGTAGGCTCAATCCTCTGTTAATTGAGTGAGATTTTTGTGCTGACAAAGGGTCAGGCTGGAATACTGCAAAATCAACAACTTGGCAAACACGCAAGGTCTCAGCGTGGCAAACACTGAAGATTTCGGATCAACCCTTGTCTCTGACTTCAACCTTGCTTCCTTGGTTGAACAGGTCGCTGTGATACTCCACACTGGCCGGAAAGCACCTGGGCCGGCATCGTCTCTTGCAAGTGAAATCCCTCTTACTACTCCTTCCCCTCAAACCACATCTCGTGTTGCTCAAAGCGAGGGTGAATTGTCAGTGATAGTGAACATCGAACAATCCAGTTCTTGGAACATCCGATCAGTCGCTGGTGCCTGGAGGAGAATAGTCATGAATCTCCTTGGTAACGCAATGAAGTGGACGCAGACTGGCCTTATCGAGGTATCAGTATCACAAGCTGCAGCTCAAACCCAAGAAGAACCTCATCTTATCCTTCTTCGCGTTACAGACACGGGCCAAGGAATTTCTCAAGACTTTCTCAAGAGCTCGGCATTCTCTCCATTTGCGCAGGAAGACGCCCTGTCGGAGGGCGTTGGGCTTGGACTCAGCGTCGTGCACAAACTAGTGAATTTTCTGGGTGGTGATATCAAAATGAAAAGCGAAAGCGGGGTTGGTACCCAGGTCGATGTTTACGTTCCCATGCAGCGCCCCAAGGATTATGTCCCTGTCAGGTTATTCGACAATTCTTCCTCGCTAGGAATTCAAAGACGTGAAGAGGCTCTGAGGGCATGCCTTATTGGATTCAACGGCTATCCGGACTTGACGGAGACGCCCACTGGTATTTTGAGCTCTGACGCGAAGCGAAAACTTTCTATTCAAAGCACCCTTGCCAATATTTTTAGGGTACAACTGGGATGGCATATCGCACTGGCAGAGTCACTTGATAAAGGAGAGGGTGACATCGCGGTTATCGAGGAGGCCAAATTCACTCCTATGTTGAATGACCAATCACCCTCCACTATCACTGCTGGCCATCATTTTAGATTCTTCATTGTCTTGGGCAGCACGAAATCCTCGCTAGGCTACTCTCTTCCTATGAATGCCATCCTGATGTCACAGCCGTGCGTCCAGAGCTTCCCCCCCCCCCCCCCTTTTCCGCAAATGCTGGAGCTAACATTCGATGCAGATATGGACCTCAGAAAATCTGTGAAACCGCCCAAAAAATCATGGATCTGTGCAATTCCCAACCCCAGATCGGCGGCTTAGAAGCTCTAGTTGCCGTTCCGCCAACAAAGCATGAACTTATTCCGACCGAACCAAGCGCCCCGAGCCTGCCAGAAATACCGAATTGTCTTTCACCTGAGTCTCCAGTTGAATTGGCCTGTCCAAGTCCTCTTCTGGGGGGCTCCCCGATCCCGCCGAATAGTCAAATGACCGATATGCATGTCCTTATCGTGGATGACAATGACATAAATCTTAAGGTAATTTAACTCACTGTAAACTTGGTTATGCAAAAGTCGTCCTCAATTTCTCTCCTATCAGTTCCCTCGATTCAATCTGATAACCTGGCTTACAACCTTAAAATAGATTTTAGCTACGTTCATGCGAAAACTGGGCTGTAGTTACGACACGGCTTCTAACGGACTGATGGCACTGGAACAAGTTCAAACTTCAAGTCGAAGGTTTGACTTGATATTGATGGGTGAGTTTACAAGTTTGTAAAATCTTTCTTCTCGCCAATCTTACTAACTGCGTGGGTGTCAATTCTAGATTTATCCATGCCTGTCATGGATGGACTAGTTTCAACCAGCAAGATCCGACAACACGAAAAAGACCAAGGTCTCCAACCCTCCCGCATCATGGCTATTACAGGCGTCGCTTCTGATACCATGCAACAGGCGGCGGTGACAGCAGGTGTCAATGACTATTTAGTCAAACCTCTCTCTCTCCGTAAGCTGAAGACGCTTATAGATCCCACAATCTAAATGGGCACGCTGTTCTGTGAATGTAACAGTTTCCTCCAGCAATTTTTGAAAAGTGGCTGTTTGAAAGCTCGCATTCTAAGTTAACCTCCTCGTGATACCATATGTAGCATACCCCCAAGAGCAAGGAAACGAACGGCTCTATGCCATTCACCCCTAACTATCCAAGCACACAATCACGTTCGCAGCCCCATCTCATCAATATCATGGACCAAAGCTCTAGCAACACTTTTAAACACCCTCAATGCTGTCTTGTTTCTGCTTGTGTATAGATAGCACTCACGCGCGAGCGACAAATTTTGCAAAAAACTTTTGCAAAAAGCCCTATTCAGAGGCTGATTGGAATCCCCCAGCAACCGCGTGAGCAAGAGCACATCCCGAGCAGCCGTAGAGACATCCTACCCCGTATGAGACGACCTAACATGTGCCGCATTTCCGAGGAAAATCCACCGGCCATCATACCAGCACCCATCAAGCAGGAGCCTATAGGTAGAGCAAAACTTGACAACACTACCCCACTAACCGCAAACGTTCTCAACAATGTACAGTATAGAGTTCTATAACCGCTCAATCCCAGCCTTGCGATTCTCCCCAAATTCATCACGACTGTCCCTAGAGTCCCTCCGCTAAGGCAAGCTCCCGCGAGAACCCCACGCAACCCCACCCTCATTCGCCATGCGAAGATTCACCCCAACCAATCCTCTCCCTAGCCCAGCCCACGAGATTCCACTCGCCAACATTACACCACCCGGTCAACAAATGCTGCATCAGCTGCATCCCACCACACCCACGGCCTCGGAGCTCGTCTTACGCACTCAGACAGTCGACCAGCCGTATGCCGTTAGAATTGGCCCCACCCGTGTGGCCGAGTGGTCAGCTCTGTGCGCAGCTCATGCACCATGCAGGTGAGACTGTTGGGCTCGTGCAGGCGCAACGCCGTTTCAAGACTGGCTAGTCTAGCGCCGGTCAACTGTATTGGTGCCGGTGTGGCAGGTTTCGTTAGTGGGATTTTGCTGTGTTGCGGTGGCAGTCACATTCATAGTCTTATATGGGTGATCCATTTAATCTTGGGACACGCTAATGCACCTGTGTGGCAAAAGAGCATTTGGACATGGGTGTGATATATATATGGGCGGCTAGGCTGGTTGAGGCTGCGTGTACCTAGCGTGGTTCGGACATTGGTGGGTTTCGTGTGACATTCGAGGTCGGAGAAGTTTTTCATTTTCGATGATTAGGAAAATTGGGGATTGAGAATTGGAAATTTGAGCATTGGGTTTATTCCTTCTTTTGGTGACGTATGCATATATTTAAATGTTTAGCCTTGCATGTCAAACCTCAAATATGGCCCCCCTAGGCCATAAACAGAAACCTTGGTTTTTGTTATGGTCTAGTGGAAAAGGACGCTGTATTTCGTTCAACATTGCATACTCGCAATATACGCCTGTGCTCCGCGGTTAGTGTTCCTAATTCGGCAAAACTCGCCGCTGTAATTAGATGTACACATCCTTGATCATGACGGACTATTCATCATCGAGGTCTTGTGAGGGATTTATTTCTACATGCGAGAACATGCAAAAAATCTAAATCAAGTCAGATTACATGAAATATCAAACTTGACACGCGAAGATCGACCCAAACATAGGCAGATTGAAACATACAATGTGCGTGATGTATGTTCCAGCACATATCACCACACCAGCCACTTCAATTGGCCCTCAAGCCCTGGAGTGGAGAAGGTTCGTTTATATTTGGAATTGTACGGCCATCAACTATCTAAAGATTGTCTTTCAGTCTTTCAAAGGGGGCTGAATTTGTCATGCATTCTATAGACTTATTAAGAAGATACCTTACGGATACCAGCAGGGTCATAGCGCGTGATTCTAATTTCCCCCAGGAAGCACTGACATTTGTACAAACAGCCTCCCCCCCCCTCCTGAATAGGAGTCTTTGCAACTCAATATCCCTTCGAAAATGTCAAAAAAAAGGGGTACCGCCAATTAACGCCACGAGCCGGAGAGGATATATGGCACGATGCTGGAAAGACACAAACTCCCAAATGAGAACAAAGACAAGGAACCCAGAAAACGAAGAAGTGAACAACAGGTTTGTACGATCCAAGGACCATCAAATAAACAAAATTACAAATTAGGAATCAAAAATGGGACCAAAAGCCGGGGTCCCTCGGCATTCCAGCTCATAGACGATTCGCGCTGTCAGCACAGGGTTACTGATAACGCACACCGCTTCAGCCTTGAAGTCCCTAACCTGCTGCAAGATGATAGGCACCATGTCCATACGCCCACATTTGTCGGTGTCCAGGATTATGGGGGCTGAATCCATCGTATGGACCAGATGCATCACCCCATCACCGTAGGTCTTATGAGGCGCACGGGTTTGCCAAAGCACTCGCAGTGCGGGTCGGTTATCATCACCGAGGAACGAGAGACAAGGTCCGATGCCCGATCCGGTAGTGACGACTATCACTCTCTTGAAAACGCGCATGGCATATGCGAAGCCATAGATCAACACACCACGCTTCCAAAGATGGGTAGGTGGATTCTGGATCGTATCTGCGGTCCAGTCGCCAGCTTTGGATACCAAGGAAGAGAAGCTTGGGTTGCCATGGACGCCTGCGGGAGCAGGGTCGGGGAAAGTGGCAAAACCATGCCAGTCACGAAGTGGGTGCTTGGCTAGTTGGATGCCTTTTCCAAAAGTGGTAATAGCATGGTCGAAGTGCAAGCGGGTTGCGTGGGTCGAGAGTGGTTCGGCCCGCACCGCGACCTTGCGGAGGAATAGCCAAGGCTGGATGATGGCCGCTACTGTAAACACCAGGAACCAGAATGCTGGTAGTTCGACGAGGAAGGCTCCAAGCGATTGGCCCATGGACTTGCTAGCACCTCGGGAGAAGACGAGTAACAAGGTGACAAATAAGGTCACGACAAGCCACCCCGAAAAACGGTGGGTGAGTTCGAAATAATCATGCCGTTTCATCCGGAAGGCGGGGTGGGCCACCACGATTATCGCCAACAACAGAACCAAGATGACATAAGCTAAGGCAACTGGTGCTGCTGAGATGCCGATTTCCGAACCATCTGCTGATGGTTTCCAATACTGGTGGGATAGCACGCCGACGAATCCCACGTACCACACGAGAGAAGCGACTCCACAGCCGCTATGGACACCACCGTAGTGGTAAACCTTTGCGGCGATTCGACGGAGGGGTAGCGGCGCTGAGCGCGGCATCGAGCATACGATCACAAAGATAGCATTGACCACCAACGGCTGGCGAGCCAGACCGCAGGTCAGCAAATTGGCAGCGGTGGCATTAACCAGGGCCAACAGTTTTTGTTCCGTGCTCATGACATATACGAAGACGGCCACGTTGGCGCAGAAGACTAGCGTGAACAGACGTCGGTATAGTGTGAGAATGGCATATCGGGTGGATGCAAACACCTTGGGCTTGCGTTGGTTCTGTTGGATCTGTGCTTCTAAATCGATCTCTTTGTCGAGGTCGAGATATAAGGATTCGGATTTCCTGGAGTAGGATGTCTCATTGAATTTGCCTCCATTGGTAAGAGTGGCCTCGCTCGCAGTGGCTGTGTGCCGCGCAAGAACCACCTTTGGCGGCATAGTGATGGGGCTTTTCTCTGACATAACTATGATGGGTTCTCATGCACATATAAAAAAAAAAGAGGTCCCACGATGACCCGAAGTGATGGAACTAATCACAGGGATTCCCTTGAGATGAGGAAATAGTTGACAATCCAGCTAGGAGTCTTCCATTTTTGAAGTGAAGTATGTCCAAGACATTTATATTTTGTTTTTCCAAAACTCCACCAAGATCAGCCTCACATCTCCCTTCTGCATGGTTCCTGCCTTTGCATCCTTCTTTCCCGATCGAGTCTCGTCTTTCCCTTTTAGGCGTTGCCGGCCATCATCAACACGAATGCTCACGCCGTTTCCCACATGTCGCTTCTATTCGCCCGGTCTCTTTTTTTTTTAGGCTCTGAGAATCTGGAATGCATTGCATATGATATTCGCTTGCCATCATTTTTGACCCTATTCAGGTTCCCTTTCAGATGTCGTATGTATGACACTATCACCTCCGGTTCCAGACTTCACGCTATTGCAAGTCATACTTGCCAATCAGCAACCAGAGAACCTTCCTACTCCCTTGCTTTCAGCTGCTTTCAGCTGCTTTCAGTTACTTTCAGTTCTTCACACCCTCGGGGAAGTATCTGACGCAATCCCTGACCCACACTGTAGCCTGTCAAAACTTTGTCTGATCCTCTATCCAAGAGGGAGCGGAATTTCCTTTCGGGGATGAACCGGAAAGGGAGATCAATGAATGCATTCATTGAAGTCTGATTGCTACCTGATTACCGTCGAGATCTCCACAATAACCCATCGAGGCACCAGTCAAGGCGAGATGTGTCGGATTTACCATCACGGACCAAATACAACCCGACCAGGGTCAACTTTGACTCGGCCTGATGGGATGCAAGCGGATGATCCTACTGCCAAGGGAAGTTTTCCTAAAAGAATTAAAAAAAACAGCCGATCAGCATGCAGCCTAGGATGGCGTTTGACTGAGCACAAGTCCCCTCCACCTGGATGTGCACTCGAGGCGCTACATCAACAATGCTAATGTGGATCTATGGGAGGCGTGGCGGAATTGTGCCATGAGTTAATGCAATAGGCCGCCGGATAATAAAACAGTTCATGTTTGGTTTGGGGGGGGGGGGGGTTGCTTTTTTTTTTTTCCGAATTTTGTTTTCTTTCAAACGTTCCGCGGTTGATCGTCAAGACGCAGCTGAGTACCATTGCGCTATGTCCAATTTCCGGCCCCTCTCTTACCTCCTCAAGGCGAAGCTTTACGCTAACTTCCACCCAACACCGAGGTACTGGCAACCAGCATGAGTGTAGTACCCTAACCTGGGAAGTGGAGCATGGCTTTGGTCAGTCGATCCTTCGTTAGTTCGATCTGAATTTGGATCCGGGAGATGGAGCCGCTCTTAGATTCAGACTATATGGCTCCACCGGAGCAACAACGACGTCTCCACTAAGTAACAGCTGCCAGTTTGGGGTGTTTATCGGGGAATTTGGGTCCCTAACAACCAGTGAAAATGGAAGGAGAAGTGCATTCCGGACAGGACTGACAGGAATGACAGGAATGTCCGGCATGAATGATAGTGGGGAAAGATCCACGTCTGTTGTGGCCAGGGTACAATTGCCCCGGGAGTTTTTTAGGTCTGCCTCCGAGATGGAGCACTCTTGTCTAGACTCTTGGGAGCACCAAAAGAAAATGACCGAACTTTTGGGGATTATATGCAATGAAGTTTGGAGCATCTCTGATGGGCCCCCATCTGGCGAACTCTATCTCACAGGGAAGAGAACCCTAACAATGTGGCTCAGCTCTTCCGGGGAGGCGGGATTAGTCAGAGCCAGATAAAATTGGAATTTTAGGGATTTCCAAACCCACCACTTTGGATGGCGCTAAGGGCTTTTAGTGTTGAACATTTGTGGAGACCAGTAGACCAGTACTCCGGTATCCCCAGATGACAGAGCAATCATTTTGTTCTCTCCTCATTTTTGTTGAGGTCCTTTTTTTTTTCCTTTTTCTTTTCCTTTTTCGTTTTCTTTTTCGTTTTTCCATTTTCCCCTTGCTCGTAAAGTTTGAGTTCAGCTTTCAGCGCCTTGATTTCGGTGTCTTTGAGTTTATTGCTTCGCTTGTAAAGTGTAAAGTATAAGGGTTGATACCGCCTGATGCAGAACGAGTGGCATTACCTAAGCAAGTATTCCAAATCCTGCAACAGGAACAGGCCCGGAGCAGATGTAAGGTCAAAATCAAATAGGGAAAGCAAAATGGAACGGACATTTTTGCCTATGTAACCCCCCCCCCCCTCCCCTCCCATCCAGTGGGTAAGAGGCGTGGTCTTATGCTTATATATGACATTCCCACTCCACCCCTTTTAAATCTCTAAAATACAATGGGTTGGAAGACAACTATGTCTTCAAACAAAATGCTCTCCCAGGAAGTCTACTCGGACTTGCTGAGTTTCACATTCGATGGCCCAAAGCCTTACAACCAAAATCAACCACTGTTCATTGATGCAGAGGATCCTTCTCGATCATTTACCGCTGTTCAATTCCGACAGCTGGTTCGAACTCTGATCGCTGGTTTAAAAGCCCACAATGTTCAGCCTGGAGATTGTGTATTGTTACACTTGGGAAATAGTGTAAGTGAACGAGAATAGAAAAGACGAAAAAGGTCTTGAGATCAAACATGTCATATCGGCAATTATTGGATCCAGGGTTCTCGGACATTTCTTTTTAAAAAAAAATTCAATACTAATTCGGGCCTGTCATATACATAGATACTATATCCTGCACTCTTCTTCGGTATCATCGGCGCCGGCGGTGTCTACATGGGATCCAACCCCCGAAGCCACTCCCAAGAACTCGATCACATCATCAGCCTCGCCGAGCCAAAACTCATCCTCACGACACACGAGGCTCTCCCCGCCGTCCTCGATGTCTCCGCTGCCCGCGGCATGCACCCAGCACAGGTCTGCCTCGTGGATGAGCGATCCATCGACCACTGCGCAAAACTATTCCTGTGGCAGGAACATGGATATTCATCGACCGGAGAAATCCGCGCAGTGAATGTCGGCAACCGTCACAATCATTTCGCCAACCTAATCCGCTACGGCGAAAGCGACTGGCTAAAATTCTCCGACCCTGTCGTCGCACAAGCCACACCTGCAGCCATGTACCCAACCAGCGGTACCGGTGGGCTACCCAAAGCAGCAATCCTGTCCCACCATGCGCTTGTTTCCCAGCATCGCATCATTTACTATGACGTGCCGCATCCAGTCAGTCGGCTCATCTCGCTGCCCATGTTCCATCTCTTTGGTGCGCTTTGGACGCATCTCTTCCCTGTCCGCTACGGACATCCGCTGTTCGTCATGGCACGCTTCGAGATCAATGATTTTCTGGCTGCTGTCCACAAGTACCAGATCACAGAAACTTACCTCGTCCCGGCTGTCATTCACTCTATCAACCAGTCCACGGTCCCCATCGGGGAGATGTTGTCATCGCTGCGCTACGTGGGTGTTGCCGGCGCTCCTATTGATGGTCACTCCATGCAGCAGTTCCGCAGCTATATCAACCCGATGGGATACGCTGGTCAGATCTGGGGAATGACCGAGGTTGGTGTGACGTTCCAGACTCGTTGGGGCCAGCAAGGTGACCCGGGAAGTATAGGCACCTGCCTTGCGGGATACGAGGCCCGCCTGGTGAAATCGGATGGTGAAATCGTGCGGGGCGATTGCTATTCGGGTGAGCTGTACGTCCGCGGGCCCGGTCTCCTCAGTGCGTACAAGGGCCGCACAGATGCATTGGAGCATGGATGGTTCCGAACGGGAGATGTGGCGTACGTCAAGCAAGGCCAATATTACATTGTCGGACGGACCAAGGAGCTTATCAAAGTACGAGGGTAAGTTCATCCTCAAGCCTCATCGACTCGACAACGATGGCTAAGATTTTATCATAGATGGCAAGTCGCTCCAGCTGAAATCGAACATGTCCTCCTGCAACACCCGGGAATTTTGGATGCCGCCGTGATCGGCGTGAACACGGATGGTGTGGGCGAGGTCCCACGCGCCTTCATCGTGCGCTCTCGCGACCCATCCATACACCGGCTCACCGGCCAGGAAGTTTACAACTACGCACGCCTGCAATTGGCTACATACAAAGCTCTCGATGGAGGTGTCGTATTCGTAGAAGAGATCCCTCGCACTGCCAGTGGAAAGATCCAGCGCTTTCGACTTTCCCAGATGAACTCCTACCGTGAGATGGTGGCGTCCCTACTGTCCCGATTCGACGGTGACGGATCGGCTCTAGCCACCGCAGCTCGACATGAACTCCCCGCTGCGGCTGAGCGGACGCATGTCAGCATCATCCCCGAAGGACGGGTTGCAGTCTAAAGTAAGAAAGTGGGGCGGTCTTTTTGCACTATCTCCGGAGTACAACGCATATGAGTTGTATCCCACTCATTCAGCGGTGAACTGGTGAAATGGTGCGGCGAATGGAACCGGGGATGGCGGTTACAGCCTGGCGTTGTCGGACATTTGGTTTTGGCATGTTATTTTCTTTGGGTGGTCGGCTTTTCGTCATCGCCACTTTTGTTGTTTGTGATCTAGACGTCTGCCTCCTTCTGATGGTTTCCAAATGACTGTTAGTTCTTCATTCGCACTAGCACTACCTCCCGACCTGTAGTTCCTTCCCCGAGTAGTAGGACTCCCCCCTCTGTATTTGAACGGTGCAGATATTCCCACATCTACCGTTCGTGGTTCGATATTCATCTCCCATCCCCAAAGTAAACAACCCACACCCATCTACGGCGTACGGAGTACTCCGTACAGGTCCCCAACCCTCCGAGACCCCCTGACTCTCGGTATCCTGCAGTGAAACCCTCTCGGACCACGCACACCGCGCCTCCAGCCCCACTTCCCAATCCCATCCCAAGGCCCCGGTTCCCAATCTCGGATCTCGGCTTGCATCCGGAAACCCCGCCGACGAAATGTGAGGTAGGAACCGGCAGAAAAGCAACCCATGTTCTGGCGCCACGACACAATCCCGCTCGCATCATGCAGATGCGAGGTCCCACGCTCCCCAAAGTACGTGTGGGGGAATGAGTAACCGGAATCTGAATCCGAGAGCGATCTTGGAAAAATCCTACGACGAAGTGCATCCGCGCCAATATTGATGCGGGCGTGCGCGGGTGGAGACTTGTGGACGTTCCGATTTCCTGCAAGGGGCGGTCCTTTTCCCTTGATGTCGGAGTGGAGATCGACGGAGCTAAAGAGGTTAATCATCACTAGCCCCCTTAGGTAGAGTTGGCCGGCTTGGTCTTATGGGGGAATTGGGGGAACGAGTTTAAGGAAAATGCTAGGTCCTAAGTTCTAGGGACGGAGGACTCCGTATGTTGTACGGCGGGTCTCCTATTTGGTCTGGGTCGTGCCTCCGGTGCGGAGAGTGTCTTGCGGGCCACGCTGGTCAAAGGTTCGAGACTTTACATCGGCCCGGTGGGTGTTTTGCACGTTAGGATTTTGCACGTCAGGTTTTACCAGGTCTATGGGATTACCATGTTTGAGCTCAGAATCCTTGCTTTCCCTCGGTCGTGCCATGCCCCCGTTTTGGGGTAGGAGGAATATCAAGTCGCACCTTGCATGAGGCAAAGACAAGGATCCATAGAACCCCCAGGAAACGGATACATATAATTCCAAAGACTCTCTGATTTCGTATGGAATATCTTCCGAGTCACCAGGTCAGCTTCCTCGTTACAACATAGATAAATGACAGGGGGGTTTTTGTAGTAGAGTGCTACTAGTTGCATGTGAATTGAGTGAGCTCGACCATTTGCGTCAAGCTCAGCCCTAATCTCTACATGCAATGTCGAAGTAGCGATTTTAAAAAAAAAAATTTACCACGAAAATTCAAATTTCAGACACAAGTTAAATCGGATTTCGTTCTGTCCATGCACCTCTAAACTAGAAAACAACGATCACATGAAGAATATCCCTGCCCCTGAATCCGTCCCCGGGCATGATGGGTAGTTCTAGGAGTCTATCGGACTGCCAGTCTCTCTGACCAAGGTTCGAATTGTGCAGATCGATATCAATTGTCCAGGTTTGCTTTTGCTCAGCCGAACGGTTTGCATCCGTAGGGAGATCTATCTAAATGAAGGTGTGTGGTTGACCAGGACGTGTCCTCTGGGAATGGCTCCACTACCTGTTGTGGCTGGCATAGTCGGGAAGGATCTGATGAAGATGAACGCCAAGCCCAAAAGACTGCCAACGCGACAAAGTTGCGGAGGGAGAGTGTCTATTGAGCGTGGTTTGCGTATAGTGAAAGTAGTTCCGACGATCTTTTGGATGGTGGTTGTATTGGTGCGTACGTTGTGGCAAAGCAGGGGATTATGGTGGCGTTCGGGACATTTGGATTTGATGGGAAGAGTTGAGGATTTTCCCTGCTCTTCTAGATCTGGTGGTTTATCGATGTATCCAAGGTCTTAAAGGAGCAAAGTCGCTTTGACACTTTCATACCGTTTAGACATGAAAAGGAGAAAAGGGGACAAAATATCGACTCAAAAAAGAGCAAATCGACTGAAAGCAGATGATCTGGAGATGCTCATTTAAAAAAAAAAAGACGACACAAGACCTGAAACGCGCTAGACTAATCTTGTTGGACATCAGTTGATATGCTAGACAGGGAGCTTTGTCTTTTTCCCTGTCATTGTGGTATATCCCTCCATGGTTGTTTCGGTGTGGTCTGCATTGCCAATCTTTGTTTCTACCAATTGGGGTGTCTTGATGAAGCCAATCTTGAGATTCTATCTCCGATCCTCATCAAAGCATTGAGAGGTCTTTTCCACTGCAACTCCCATCGCCACGACCATTCGATGTGGTAGATCCATACTATCTCTATCCCCAGCTCAAATAATGCCATACCCCATCCACCAAACTCCCCAAATCATAGGTCCCAACGCCCCAAGCACAGCCGCCCCAAAGGACAACTCTAGAATACACCAAATCCAAATAGTCCCAACAGCAGGCGCCTTCTTCATGATCGCATAATACGGCTCTCCATTCGTGATAGCGATCAGATGCGCGCCCAGCACCGCAGCAAGAGGAAGAAAAACCAGAGTCTTCAGCGCAGGCGGGAAAACCAGCCGTCGGAGGAATGAAAAGGTCAGTTTGTCCCTTGTCAAGGGGAACACATTAAGAGGAGCAGGTTTTCCCTTCGAGCTGCGCTTCTTGAAGGAGAGGATATGACCGTGTGCGAGGTGGACGAATAAAGTAAGGAGAGGGAATACGGTTGTCACGGATTCTTTGAAGAGTTTTGGCAGATCGATTCTTTCGGCGTATTGATGTGCGGCGAGGTAGCCCAGGGTAAGGTGGAGGGTGGTAAGGGGCAGGGAAAGGAGGATTGTGTCGAGGAGTGGGGGGAGGGGTTTGTCGGGTTCGGATTCAGAGTCGGATGGCTTCAAAGTGGTGCCATTGGCACCCGGTGGACTTTTACGGGTCCCGTTTTGCGTGGGATTGGAGAGATGGCTGTTGATGTCGCCGTCGGTGTCGACCAATTCCCCGGATGCGTTGACCGTCACGAATCGCGTTCCCCCTGACTGCGGCGGTATACCCTGTGCTTCAACTGAAGCTGGAATAGCTCCCTTTGGATGCAGTCCGCTTTGTCGCTCTGCGATGATGTCATATAGTGTGCGCTCAACGGATGGTTTGTTTTGGGTCGGATCATTGCGTGGGGGGTGGGCCATGGCAATTTCGGGTTCGTCTTTGTTCGAGGAAGATCCAGCTGCCGCGCGGCGCTGTTTGCGATTCCGTGGGTTTTCCATTTTGCTGAGACTTCGTGTAGAAAAACGATGAGTGGCGGGAAACAAAGAAAGGAAACAATCATTGACGTGGGGAGATGAGGTTGAGAGCTCGGCGATAAGCTCCACCAACCGGGGTTAAGGACCAGTTGGCTCGTGGCTCTGGTAACAGTTACATCTATAGTTCTATCTCTCAGGTTTGGAATAGTGGTATGAAAACAGACTTTTAAAAATTCTCTGCGGCCCTTTTGACACTCCCAGTAAATACACGAGCCACTTATTCAACCAGCCTGGTACAAAGCGGGACCGGCAACCACATGCGGGTTCATCAAGCTCAGATTGAACGGGCTGACATATAGATCGCTGTCTGTGATTGCAATAAAAATGGTACCATTGAAGGCTGGGTTGCCTTGGTATGTTTCCAAGCTGGGCTGGGAAGTATATCCTCGAATGCTGTCAGTGGTACTATTAGTGCTGTTGTTGACGTCATTGACACCATTGGCACCGTTGTCGCCGCTGACAACGTGTAGTGGTGTGTAGGTAATGTTCAGTTGCGACACCCAAAGTACATACTTTGCACTACCAGCTTTTGTCTCTGTTGTGGTGATGTAGCTGTTGTTGGGACCGATTTTCTTCCCAGGAAGATCCCACTGCAACAGCACCTGACGACCAGGGGCCGTGAGAGGTATTAGGCGGATTTTACTAACAGAAGCGCTGCAGCCGTTACGTGAACTAGACGAGTTCAGTCTTCCGGAGCCTTTAGGTGACTTGGGGACACTGACGCCTGGCCCGACAGTATTATTGATTCCAGTGGTCTCATTGAAGATAAATCCCGCAGTCTGATTGAACCCGGAAGTTGCGTTGAGCCTCGAAATTTGATCCGCACTTGTGGTAAAATTATACTGCGTATGATTGTACCCATGGGAATTGTACGCAGCAGGATCATATCCGGTGGAATCATACCCTGCAGAACTGTACCCATTGTTTCGGTTATGCGCCAAGGAAAGATTGCGAGGAGTTCCCGAAATCCACGGATCGGGCTGGTTGACTACCATCAGCGTCGGGAAATTTTGCCAAATCAAGCGAGTCTGGTTTTCAGGACAAGAGCTGATGAAAGGTGCCAGCAGTGTCCAAGCCCAGGACTGCGGTATGCCTACTTCAAACCACTCGACCATCGGGAAGAGACCTTCAAACTGGCGGAAGATCATTTGCTGTCGTGCTTCCGTGGTGATGGACTGAGTCAAAAGAGTAGCCGCCTCGCGCGAGTCGAGATGAGCCAAAAATCCATTCACGCCAGCTTCTCCCCAGCGAGTCAGTTTCTGACAGAAGTCGACAAACTCCTTGACGTTCGTGTACGGGTAGATGTAGTTGCATTGCTGTGGGGCACGTGCTCCGAGGATATTGCTGAGCATGGTGGCGTGGCCAATTTCTTGCTGTGCCATGAATGCGATCAGCTCACGGTCTGAAGCGGTCATGCCGGCGGCTCGGAAGGCTGAATCGTTGAAGCGCTTCAGTCCGTCTTGGAACAGATCAAGCTCAATCCATTCCTGGTATAGAGCAAGGGCCTGTTGGTTGTGGGTTAGCTCTGGGCCACAGCAATGCTTTGTCAATTTTAGTGCGGATACATACCAAAGACTCATAGTCAAAATCGCTCTTCGCATTATATACGGGGGTGCTTCCGTTCGTTTCGACCCCACCTGCCGGGACATATGGAGCTGGTTCGGAATGGTGAAGATTTCCATCACCGGGATATGCTGTTGCCGCGGCTGCAACGCCTCCGCGAGAGATGCCCGTTCCAATGGAAGAAGCTTTCAGCGCACCTGTGGTAGTTGGAGCTCCAGTGAACGGTGTATGCTGCATGGAGCTATTGTAACTTCGAAGTGGTGGTGCTGAAGCCGATGCGTTTGCAGCTGGAAGTGGCAGATCAGTGGTTGTCAACGGGTCGTGTTTCTTTGGAGAAGCGGCCACCAAATACAGTGAGCTCAATAGGCTCAACAGAATGACACTTTTCCTGGACATCTTTGCTCGAGGTCGGAATCACTTTATCTCAAGACAGGAGAAGCTTTTTTTATCGCTGGTCATCAAAGCATTGGGTTAGATGTGTGATTCGAAAGCCTTCAGATAGGTACAGACCTTGCGTAGAGAACATATAGTGCTACTTTAGCCAATATCAGTAGGTAAACAACCACCAGTCAAGGCAATCCACAGTTGTGGTCGTTGTTCTTGATGTAAGAAAATCGCACAATGGTGAAGACGCCATCTTCAGGGCTAGGATGTGGGTAGCTTTGAACGGGGATGAATTCCGAACGGTGAAATTGCCACAAAGTAACGTTAAAGTTCCTTGGGTGTAATTTTAATGCCATTCTTTTGTCTTGTCAGAGGGGGCGTTCTTCATACATTTGGCTGATTGAATAGTTGCAATTCACTGCAATTCGCTCTAAGAGAACAAGCCCGGGATGCTTCGGCAGCAAATGACGTCGGAGTAGGCCTCCCCTGCCGACATTCCAGGGGCCTGAACAGATTAAAGTACAACTCGAGGTTTCTGTCGGGGTGGAAATCGAATCCGGTCGGACGATTCCGGATGTGTTTTGAGGGAACCAGGGGAAAGGCTAAACGAAATGTAGTTAAACTATCAGCATGGTACATGGCGATGAAAAGTAGCTAAATTTTCACAGAGTTGTAGTGATAAAACTGCTCTGTCGACGGAATCAATGGCGATGTTTCTCATGTAGAAGGCCTTGTAGCCGCAATATCAGAGTATACAACGCCAGGCACAGTTTATCAACACAACTCCATAGGCACCAGGCTTCACTGCGTCCGCCAGCCACCCTCTCCTGAAAAGTAACCATACTTGTCACAATGGGGCACATTGGCAGTGATCCTCACACCGTTAGACCAGAGAATCTCCAAAGTAGAGCCCATGATAGTCGCGGTGAAAGGCTCACGACTCTGCAGGGACTGGCGGATACTTTCGAGCTCCTTCCAAGGGATATTCACGACCGCAGGGGCCCGTTGAAATGAAGTCGCTGGTTGGCCACGGGCATTCTTTTCGAATACCCATGGCTCGCCGTTAATCATGAATACACCAGCCAGAGAATTGTCATTCTGGCTAGTCAGGGATCCGATCCATTGAGGCATGACTAGATAGTCAGTGGATGCTCCTGCAATCAGTCTAGAAATGGTGCTTACTGGGCGTTAAAGGAACTCGAAAGCTGTGAGAAGGGGGAAGTGAGGAAAGGAGTTTGGGAAAGACTTGCTTCTTTTGTGTTACATTTACGCATCTGTCCAGAAGAAACAGAGACGAAGGATTTCTCGTGTCGCCTGGCCGTAGATGCAGGATTTACCGCTATACCGTACATGGATGTTCCATGACACCTTCAACTGTGCTTGTTCACCGCTCGCTTTCGTTATTCTGCAACGCTTCTGCAGCTTGTTGAAGTTTATGTGGTATGGTATGAGCATTGTCGAACAGAGGCCAAGGTGGAAAACTGTCGACTTTCTTAACCGAGCATAAGAGCAAATCAAATCGAGCTATTAGATCCCCTATTCAGAATTACGAAGTACCTCATGCCTTGCCTACACAGAAATATGACCCGTCACAAGCTCCATCCAAAAGTGGATCGGCCACCGTTCCCGCAACTACGGAGTAGTTTCCGCAGATTCAGGGCCTTGGATACGTGTGTGCTATGCTTAGCACTCCCATAGTAGCAAGGCTAGGCATATTATCACTGAGTTGCGTTGCTGGGTGCACTGTGCTCAAATTGACCCAATTCGATACCATTTGGAAAAAGGGAGATAGCACCCAGGGTAGATGCAGCCATTATTATCATGCAGGCTAGACGACTTGCATAGGTTTGCATAATTGTCTAAAAATTCTCGATTAGGTTGATCAGGCTGCTAGTGATCTTGATAACTGGGAAATTTATGTATCAACCAGGTTATAGTTATCAAGGACCAAATAGGCCAACATACGGAGTAGACCCAGGGAAGTAGTGGCGCATATGACTGGGGTTATATGTGTTTCTTCTTCCAGAGAGCTCATCCTCGTAGATCATAAGCGGCTTGATGTCAAGCTAACAAAGTCCATGAATTACAGTGTCACTGTGCCAGAAAGGGCTTTGGGGTGACCTATGAAAACCTGCATTTACCTGCGGACAGTTGGCCTTGGGCATTCAGGCAAGCGTTTGTGGTAGTCTGGCCCAGTGATCTGCGTCACCGCTATTATATACGAAGCATCGAGATATCGAAATGTCGGAATATCGCATTTTCGTGTTATAAATGGGAGATCTAGAGATGGAAGCCCTACTCCAAAGCGAAAGCATGAATCTTCCATCAATGAATGTAACGGTTCTGACGACTTCGATCTTCAGAAGTATTCGATGTGTTCGCAAAAGCCGTGCACTTGATAACATACATTTCTAACATACCGAGCTGAATGAAAGCCGGTGTTTGTTCGATATTAATCCTCGGAAGCGCGGCCGATCCAAAGAGGGGACCCGTCATCTGCGGGTTGCGGAGGCTTCATGGGCAAACCCATAGTGCCGCTGGTTGTTTGGGCTGCAACGGCTTCGTAGGCTGTTTCTAGTGATTCCTTCGAGGTGATGTCGCATAGGATCGGGATTATCGTGCAACTTATGGTTTGCGAGGCGGTTTCTTCAAGCGCACTCTCGCGTCGGCCTAGGATGAAGATCTTGGAGACTTTATTGGCATCTAGGGCTTTGGTCAATATGCGTCCGAGGCCTTTTTTCTACTAGCTCATATGTACATTGTGTGCATCTTGTGTCTGTGGGATGCGATCGTTTAGTTCTCATCACTTCCGCCTCCGGTGATCACGACCACCCGGTCCTTGACTGAAATTAGCTTCGATGCCTGAAGAGATGCCATAATTGCTAGAGCTGGATAGCTCAATAAGCTTAGAAAAAGAACAAGAGGGCCCGGATTGATAGCTTCTATAGAGATTAGCCCAATTCAGTATTGTCATTTAGGAGTTTCCCTCCCGCCTGTCACAAGTCCGCGATGGACTTTTCAATGTCCCCATGAAGGAGTTTAATAACGTGATGAATGTGAGTGTTACCGGGTCTTATTACACGGTATTGGCGTTCTTGCCTCTGCTAGAAGCGGCGAATAGGAGGCGTCCTGCGCCGCAGCAGGATTTCCTGGCTGTCCCGAGTGCGCAGGTTATAATCACTAGCTCGATTGCTGGGTTTTTGCGCAAGGTGCCATTTAGCTTTGCGTACAACTCTTCCAAGGCCGCCACGACACATCTGATCAAGTTGCTTTCCACTTCGTTTGCTTATTACGGTATTCGGGTTAACGGTATCGCGCCTGGTCTTTACTACTCGGATATGGCCAATCATATCTTCCAGGCTTCTGGCTTTCAGGGTCGGGCTATTTCTGATGGGTCGTTTCCGAAGGAGATGATTCCTGCTACCCGCGGTGGTGGTGAGGAGGACATTGCAGGGTTGATTCTTTGGCTGGCTAGTGACTCAGGTGGTTATATCAATGGTTCTGTCTTGGTCACTGATGGTGGTCGGAATTCTGTTTCGCCTGCTGTCTACTGAATGGTCTTTTGTTTGGGCTGGTCCAGTTTTGGGTTTCAGTGAAGATGGAGATATGAGTGTTTGTTAGATCATGAGTGCAATGCAATAAAATGAGATGGATAAAACAAAAATAGGTTCCATCGCGCCAATCCCAAGGTTACAATCGACCGTCTTCAATAAGTCGCTGTCAATCGCCGGACTAGGTATTCGCCTGAAGTAATCGCGGAGTACTTCTTCTCCTTTTGAATTTCCTCGCCAAAGGTTCCCGGCAGTGCTTCAATAAGTTTATCGTTATTGGGCTGGCAGAAATACGCTATGCTGTACCGTGCAGGATAGTCAGATGCGTCGTTCTCGGAGCCTTCGAGTGTGGGCGGCTGAATTACCCGGTGACGGGTACTCTTGATGGTATCATTCGACCATCGAGCGAGCAGATCCCCGGCATTGACAACAATAGTATCAGCAATAGGAGTCACATCCACAAAGTTTCCTTTGGGGCTGCGGACTTGCAATCCACCGTATCGATCCTGGAAAAGCAGAGTAATTGAACCATAGTCGCTGTGTTCACCGGCACGGACTTGGTTAGGGTTCTTTTTGAAGACTTCTTTGCTGACGGGGGGATAGTGAAGCAGACGGAGATTATTGTCACCAGCATTGACAGAGTCGTCGAAGAAGTGCTCAGGCAAATTCATTCCCAATGCAATGGCCTGCATGATATGTTTATGTAGGGTCTTTCCCATTTCAAAGAATGACTGCATCGTTTGCTTAAAATCATTTCCTTCGTCATCGAGGTGATCGGGCCAGCGATTAGGCAGGCCCTCGACTCCCTCGCGACCAATTTCCATAGTCTCCTTCAAGTCAGGCGCAGACGCACGCAAAGTTTCGGCTCTATCTGTCTCATCGACAGTCATCAATTTCTCCCGCCCGATAGTGACGTAACCACGGTTCGACTGTGGAGTTGTCCAGCCTAGAGAATCCTTCTCACTCTGGGGGCGGGCGAAGAAACGGACAGATGAGATGAAAACTCTGGACACAACGGATGGTGGAATACCGTGGGCCTTAAGGTATAGGAAGCCGGATGTTTTGAAGGCCTGAGTTACGGAGAGAGCGACGGCATGTTTATCAGATGGTGTTCCTGTGAAGAATGGGCCAAAATCAATCAGCTAGAACCATTTCCATTAGCCGTAGCTTGAAATAACTGGGGATAGAACATACCGGTATCATCAACCCATCTTTATCTACCGCAGCAGACAAAGGATGGTCGGGGGACCTGTTGGAGGCCATGGTGCACACGGTTATTGGGAATTAGTATGAGCTCTGTTGCTGTAAGGAGCAACCGATACAAGTACAAAAGCCTGTGGAGTAAACTACTGTTTGAATAAAAAGAGATGATATAAAGAAGAGGGGAAGTCGGGAAAAGAGAAGATCATAGGTCACCTTGGCAGCTGCAGATGTTGTACATCAAAAAGATAAGCACGTCCAGGGAGATAAGCCATCAGATCAACGTCGACAAATGTATTAGGTCCGACTGTTTTAATGAACGTCTATTGAACTAGCTGCTATAGGATAATGTAATTTTTGACTGCTACGTTTGGGCTTGAATTGACAGCGCAGATCGATCTACACTACCTCCACAGTGACCCACGCATCGTCAGCATGGTGTCTGCCCTGACCAATCCTTGGGTCATGATCTCACGACCAAAAATAGCGCTCATTTCGCTCTTGCCACTCTAAATACGAAGCAAAGATGTAACTTGAACTAAATTTGCGGCTCACATGTGGCGATGAATGACTAGAATATTTTCACGAGGAACAAGCGGACTTAACATCCCGTACCACGCCAGTCGAACTATGAAGCGATTTGGAATCTCTGTCATCAACGAGCTTTGAGACCTCGCAATCCTCGCCGCTGTGATTTCTCATTTGAATGGCTGTTTTGTGATCCGCAAGAACGGCAGCAGCGGTAACAAGGCTGTGTGGGTCTTCCAGGGACTTCATAGGCGCAATGGAGTCTGGAATTGTGGCAGCTAGGAGGTTCCCATTCTTATCGAGCGACAGATCATCAAGTGGGTATTCTGTGTTTATTTTATCAACTTAAATCAGCTGGCCACCAACCAATTGGTGGACAGTCACGATTCCAGTCACTGAATGGGCGGTTTGGAGATGTAGGTCTGAGGTCGGGGCGCTGCCGTGGCAAAGGAAACCCCCTTTTGGCAGCGGTAAGGCACTTTCATTTGTCAAATCCACAACAGGTAAAGACTTCCCGCGCCAAAAAAAAAGATCCAATTCCACGAAGGTGCCAACCTTGGCGTTGCGGTCATTGGTAATCACGATCCCTGTACCATTCTTGCCAATGGCCAAGTTGTTAGGTGAGATGATCGCGTCGCTTGCTACAGTTTTGAAATGATTAAGTGTCTCTGAGGCATCACTCAATTTAAGTATCTCAATTGTGGAGTTCGCTCCAACGAGCCGGGCATCAAGTAACTCGCCTGTTGTGAGATGGATTGAGGGTCAATGATTGATCAACCAGAACCGAAGCCTGCCTTCAATACGGTGCACTTTGAATCCATGTAGACCCAGATCGCCTGGGGGTAACCACCGACCTTGATCTTGTGGAGGCTATACAGCCCGTCCGGGCCAGGTTGGTCAATGTTCAACACTGCGATATGACTCGTGTGGGACCTTGCGAACACGAGGAAATTGTTGCCACCGGGACTCTATCCCTATCTGGAGTCTTTAGTGCTACACGCTACGTACAGTGCTCGCTCTTGGTCGTCTAACCACAGACCATCATATCCTTCTAAGAGAAGATACTGAAGCCGAGCACAGGTCGATAGGCATTCGTCAATTGATTGGATCGTGAGGCCAATATCGATTGTGAGAAAAACAATGTTTTGAACATAGGCTTCGCATTAAACTCCAAAGGCAAAGAAAATCAGGGCCTAAATTCCAGCTCGCGAGCTGTGAAGTCGAGTCGCCATTGTGAAGGTGGGGAGGTGTTCCGGGGAGGTACCCACACTTGGGTGGGGCTGCTTGATGTACAGGGTCTACGAAAAGGCAACAAGGCATCAGGGCATCAGGGCATCACACTAACTTGGTAAGGCGTTCGCCACTTTTCATGCTCCCATCAAGGATGCTACCCTACACGACTCTTCTTCCATTTAAATCCAGCTTTCTCGGCTGAAATTTGTTTGAAGCGTGTGTGTGTCCATGACTAGGGATTTATTCTCCGTATGCTTGCCAACGACATCCATGGACCTCATACCCCGATACCCACAATCGGAAATTAGGGTTGGCGCTAACACAGCAGTCGATCAGCCTATTTTAATCCTGCAGAAAGGCTAGGCATGTTCTAAGCAGTGCTAGGACTTTAGAGAATCATCTATCAAGCTACAGTTCATGAAGAGTCGAGTTACAAAACATCGCAATTACTACGGTGTTTCGGTGTGGATGGCCCGCTTGTGAACCCAAATGGATAATAGAGCCTAGTAGATATAAATACCATGTACCATTACAGCGGCAATCGGGACGTTCGTCTTATTGTTGTGGTATTTGGAGCCGCCTACCTCGCCCTGGATTTGTTGAATGTTCTTGTGTCATCATTCACGTGTCCCGAGGTCCACGGGCACTGCCCCGGTGACGTAGCAAGATTACTAAGCCGTGGGTGCGGGGCCGCTTGGGGCCAGGTGAGGCCTGAGGCCAAAAAGCTTCGTCTGCCCAAACACGAAGTAAATATTCCATGACACTAGGACGATGAAAAACATCATCTTCATCTGATAAGGTTGGCTTTCTATAGGCAATTACGGCCTGTTGCCCAGGCGACTATCGGGTATATACAACATGGGCTACAAATGCAGGAATGGGGCGGAGAGGAGACTTCGGGACTAATCAGCCCACTTCAACCTCGGAGATCCATCCCACCTATGTTGTATTATTAAGCCGCTCGATTGGGAGTCACACATCCCAACGTTAAGGTTCCATTTCTCTCCCTTTCACTCTACTTCCAATATACAACGTACACCATCCCTTTCTCGACCAAACCCCTCTACTGCCAAAATGACGTACACTGCCATTGTTATGTACCCCAATGAGGCTGACATTAAGTTCGACGAGTCATACTACATCAAAACCCACATGCCACTCGCCGAAAGCATCTGGAAGAGCCACGGCCTGATCGGCTGGCGCGTCAACAAGTTTCCTACCGCGCTCAATGGCTCCCCGTCTCAATATCTGATCATGGCTACCCTTGAGTGGGAGAGCCAAGAGTCCTTGCAGGCTGCTATGCAGAGCCCTGGCACTGCGAAGGTGTTTGCCGATGTCCCCAACTTCACCAACGTAAAGCCTGTCACTCTGGCTGGTTCGCAGTTGTGATCGGTGGTCGAGAGTGTATGTGCAATTTCGTGTTTTATGAGTGTTTGAGTTGCTGAATCTGACATGTACAGCGACTTTTCAATGCATGTTATCAATGAACCAATGAGATCGGATTTCAACAGCCGAGGATTGAAGCACGTTGGCATTTCAATGAGAAACTGTATATACATCCTCTATCGGCCGATAACATGTTTCGCATTCAAATTGCATCTACGCAATGCGTAACATCAGAAGGCTGGTTGGCAACCAGAATTATCACAAATTGTAACATTGCGGGGGGCCTCTGGGCGAGAGAGGGGTATCCCCGCTTCACACCTCTTATCCATGTACGGAATCCAAATCCTCCCCTCACTTGGGTGCCCCCTGTCTCCTTCTCCTCTATTCTTCCTTTCTTATCTTTCCTCGCCAATTCCATCTCACACATTCCAAGCATGCCTCGTCCACTCGTAGTCGACGTCCACACTCATGTATACCCTCCATCGTATATGGCGATGCTCCGTGCTCGCAAGACAGTCCCTTACATTCACGACCCAGCGAGTGGAGAGCCGCGCCTGATAATCCTCTCATCGGACGATGACCCATCCGTTCCAATCGACGAGCGCGGCCGTCCCGTCGATACATCATACTCCGACATCACTGTCAAACTAACCTTCATGCAACAGCATGGCATTGACTGCAGTGTGATTTCTCTCGCAAATCCCTGGCTGGACTTCCTCGATCCTGTCGAAGCCCAGCGATGGGCTGAGCGCATCAACAACGATCTAGAGGAAACCTGTGCCAAAATCAATAATTCCACGGATCGGGACGACTTTCTCCCTTTAGAGGGGAGATCGACTTTGTTTGCATTTGCAACTTTACCGCTGAGCGCGCCCAGTACAGATATCATCGCTGGCGAAATCAGGAGACTTAAGACCCTGCCTCATATCCGTGGCGTGATTATGGGGACCTCCGGACTGGGAAAAGGTCTCGATGATGAACAGCTCGGTCCGGTTTGGGCTGCTCTGGAAGAAACCCAGTTCCTTCTTTTTTTGCATCCTCACTACGGTCTCCCTGATGAGGCGTTTGGTGGTGCTGCGGTGACAAAGCGCTATGGTCATGTCCTCCCCCTGGCTCTTGGGTTTCCGCTCGAGACCACCATTGCAGTTACTCGCATGCTACTGTCTCGAGTCTTTGACAACTTTCCGCGGCTTCAGATTTTGCTGGCGCATTCGGGTGGCACTTTGCCCTTTTTAGCGGGGCGCATCGAAAGCTGTATTCTGCATGAACGGAAGTTTATGGAGAACGGTGGCGATCTTCCTGGCCCGCAGAGGAGTATTTGGGAGGTTCTGACAACAAACATCTTCCTTGACGCTGTCGTGTACGGGACTGCTGGGCTCAAAGCTGCTGTTGCTGCCGGGGGAGGTACTGATCGTCTCATGTTCGGTAAGTTTCCTACTTTGATTTCTGGTGTAATTGGGCCTGTATGAAGCTAACATATTTTACAGGTACTGATCATCCTTTCTTCCCACCTCTGAACGAGGGTGAAAAGGATTGGATCAGTGTGACGACCAACTACAAGGCCATTGAAAGAACTTTCGAGGGGGGAAAAGAAGCTATAGCTGCTGTTTTGGGTGGCAACGCTGCTCGCATTTTGAAACTCGAATAAGCACAGATACTATCTAGCATAAAGATCGCCATATCTGGATATAAGCATACAAATAACAACTGGGGTATAACGTTAAAAAGGCAACAAGATATGGAGAATATAGTACCGCGAGTAGACATTGTATAATCCGGAGTGTTAGGTTGGAGCAAACACTGTCCTCAACACATCCCAGCCAACAAGCCGCCACAGCTCCTGTGTGAGCCAATCCGAAAACTTCTCCTGTTCCATATGTTGGTCATCAGCTACCTGAGGAGGTGGAGTATGCGGACGCCGCAGACCGTCCCGAAACAGATGATCATCAGGTCCGAATACAGCGCGGAGGAGAGTCTTTTGCAGACGATCTTTGGCATTTGTGGCAAATTGACTAGCAGCTGACGCCTCAAAGGGGGGTTGACGGGATTCTGAATTAAGCATTCTATCCAGAAGCCGAACGAGATACTTGGCTTCGAGTTGTGCCTCGTTTGGCATCAGACCCTCGTCAGTCAATGCTTCCAGTCCATCTGGAAATGTCATCCCGGGGCAAATACCCATTGGCAGTCGCAAGTCATGGAAAATATGGAGAGCTAGCATTTTTCCCACGCGATCAAGGACAAGGAAAAGAAACCCTTCCATTACTTCTTGGTCTTCAGCGCGAGTTAGATTGAGGGATAACGCCATCGTACAGAGCAAGTCTGCGAGTCGAGAGGCTATTTCATTCTTGGCAGGTGAGCTCTTCTCTTTTGTGCGTTTGTTTTGTTCGTCGGGTTGCACGGGGGGTTGGGGGGCTCCGCTTGATTTGGTATTTTTAGTGACTGCCTTTTGCTTGGATATTTCAGTGCAATGCAAAGTAAGTGCCGTCATCGTGGATTCGAACAGGGCTACTAGGTAGTAGACGACCTGTCCTTGGTGCTTCGTGTTATTCTCGACCCCAGCCACCTTGTGTAAGGCTTTAAGTGTGAGATGAAAAGCAATTGTCACGCCATTTATAACTGCATCTGCATCTGGAACACGGGCCTTCTCGGTTTGGGATGGTTCCTGTTCTGTGATACTACTCTCGTTCTGGATAGTTTGAATCAGTTTCTGCTCTGCAGATTTGCAGAGAATAACTACATCCACAGTCAGGGAGTTGGCCTCGGAACTGCTGTCTATCCTTCTATGTAGGGCCTTTTGAACGGCATAAAGCTGCCTGTTGAGACACAAGCCTGGGACAACATTAGTAATCACCTTGGCTGATCAATGAAGGAGAAACCGAATACCATCTTCTTCTCCTGAATCATCATCATCATCCATCAATGACAGACTTTTCTGCACATCTTTCGGTAACTTTGTGCGTTTCCTAGCCATGTTCGAACTATTCGCATCCTTGCCAACAGCAAGCGCCTTGCGTTTGTTTGCTGGCAAGGTCTCATTGCCATTTCCAGCTACTTTGAAACGAAGTTTGGCTAGAAGGCCCTCAATGCGTTGGTTAAGCTCGTGGATTTGGTCTTGTAGCTTGCTCTGTCCTGCCTCGGAATGTTCGTACGCTTGTTGCCAGAAGGAGACGCTATCGATGAACTTGTCCGTCGCAACAACTTGGCCCAAATCTTTGGTTTCTTTAATGAACTTTCGAATCTGCAAAATGTGTTCTAGAATGTACAGTCAATAGAAGCATGGTCCGTGTCCATAGAAACTGTATGTTCGCCTAACCTTTCACGCTTTGGCCTGGTGGCTTTCGCTTGACAACGGCCAATGCTAGGGCTAATTGAAGCTTCGTTGGAGGTATAACACCAAGTTTGGATGCTGACGTGGTTGTCATATTGTCATACTGCCAATGGGTTCGAAAGGGTCATGAGTGTGAGAAAGCTGCCGTCAACTGAGAGAACAGAATCTCCGAAGTGCACGTGGGCCCCAAATATATATCTCTACCTCGATCCTACATGTTTTCTCACAACAACACTGAAAGTCGCTTTTGATGTTCAAGAAATGAGACCATACTCATTACTTGGAGTACCATTTAGCCTATCTTGCCAATGAAGTATAGTGAGAATAGTGATAGATTTCCCGATGGTTTTGCAAATGGGACACAACATATGTTGTAGTTCCCGTATTATGCCAGTTGGCGGGCCTGAGGCGAGACCTATCCACCGCCCAAGCTCCAACGTTGAACCTACAAATTTCCGTTTTAACAACCACCTTACTTTCAAGAGCTCGGATTTAGGGCTATTTTCTCTTGGGGATAACACTTTGCTCTTATCCTATGCCAGTACCCCAGCAACTACAGAGTCGAAAACCACAACATCAAACCTTCAACTTCATCTCCGCAAACCTTTCAGGCGACATCAAGTCGCATAAATCACCAAGATGCCAAACGACGATCTCAAGGCGCATGCTGCCTCAAACCAAGATTTCTACGCTCTGCTCGATATTCAACCAGCAGCTACCGAAACCGAGATCCGCCGCGCATACCGACGCACCGCACTAAAGTACCACCCAGACAAGATTAAAAACCCCACCGCGGCGGACATCGACAAATTCCATTTCCTCCAGATTGCCTACGATGTCCTATCAGACACGTCGGTGCGACAGCTCTACGACAATGCGCGGGAAGCCCGGCAGCGCAAACAGCGCGAGCGGGACATGATGGGAGCGGCGAAACGGAAAATGCGCGAAGACCTCGAAGCGCGGGAGAGGGCAGGCGCCGCCGAATTGGGTGGTGCTGGTGTCAAGCAGGGTGTTAAGAGATCATGGGTGGCGGATGGGGATGAGGATGCGGAAGAGAAGCTTCAGCGGGAGATTGACAGGATTGCGGAGGATGGGCGGCGGAGGCGACGTGAAGCTGAGGATAAGGCTAAAAAGGAGTTGGAAGATGAACAGGATAGGATTCAGCAGCAGGAAGAGGAGGCTCGAAAGGCGGCGGATCGGAGTAGCCAGCGCGTGGACCGCTCGAAGGAGGGTGGTGGCGCGCAGGTCCCCGAGCTCGAGCGTGCGGTGAAAGTGCGCTGGGTGCGGGAGGGTCGGGGACTGGAACTTGACATTGAGCAGTTGGCGGTGCTATTCAAGCCTTTCGGGAAAATTGAGAATACCTTTGCGCTCAAAGATAAACGCCAGCGGATCGGGAAGAACAAGGAGAAATCGACCGTTGCGACGGGCGTGGTGGTTTTCACGTCTATTGTCAGCGCTCACGCTGCTGTTCTTGATAGCGAGAAGAAAATCCGTCAGCAAACTGGCCAAGATGGCGAATGGGGCCTGGTCGAGTCTGTCTTCTGGGCCTCTGGCAGTCAACCTGATCTAGGTCTCAATGTTTCATCCAAGCCTGACCAGGCTGAGCCCGTACCTGTACCACCAGAGCCCTATATCAACGTTTCCAACAAACCTACTAAGCCATCGTTCAATTTCCAAAGCCTGAAAACAGCACCCGCATCCGACAGAGCGCCCTCGTTTGGCTCTTTCGCTTCTGCATCTGCTGCGGCGGCTACTCCGAGCCCGGCGTCATTCAATCCATCCACCAAGGCTCCAGCCGCGCTTAGTCTGCAGGAAGTCATGATGATGCGGCTGAAGAACGCACAGCGAGAGAAGGAGCGCAAAGCCCTTGAAGAAGAGCTGATACGAGAAGACGAGGCTGCAGACGCGGCAGAAGCAGCGGCAGCGAAAGGCGCCTAGCTCTCGCGTTCCATGGAGGCTAGCTTCATTTCTGCATTTTTTCTTAAATAGGTTCAGCCTAAGTCTACCTCTGTATTTAGATCAAAAGATACCCCAGAGCACGTTGTATTTGCAATGTTGAGTTAAATAGAGATACAAGAGCTATTTACATCATATCATTTGGTCTTGTGTTATATATAATACATGAGTAGTGTCAAGACACATGGGCACTTTAGTCTCGGTGTGCTTCCGCTTCCTCTTCCTCTTCCTCTAATTGCTCGACAAATCCTCGTGCACGGGAATCAGGTTTCTCCTCTTTACCACCCGAAATGAAATCTCTAAGCCAAGGCGGAACGAACGCATGTACTCCGACCTCACTAGGCCGTTCGACTTCCGGAGCCCAGGACAGCTTGAAATGATGTTCATGAGGACGAGCAGGAGCCTCACCCATGAGCGCAATGTCGGTCATAACTTCAAGACGGCACAGCGCAAGTCCAATATTGCCAATTCCACGAAGGAACGTCCCCGCGCTGCGGTTTCGGCGAGTAGCCGCACCAGCCTTGACAATATCCGCTTCACCAGAAGGCAAAGTCAGTTGAAAAGATGGATCATATGTGAGGGTATCTGGGGCACTTCCCCCATCCTGACCCAAATCATATAGCTGAATGGGCAAAAGACGCTTCCGCGTAACTCCGCGGTGGTGAGTGCGAATGGTCAATTCTTGGCCGACATAACAGCCCTTGCGGAAATCGACACCACGAGCCATATCCATGTTACACTGCAAAGGCAAAGCCGATCCACTGATTACCTCTGCCTGTCCCTCCGCAACACCGTGCAGAATGCGACGGACGGTGTATGAGTCCAGCGGGACCTCGGGCCCAGCGACCTGCGCCTCATCCGGGAAGTAGGTGCACAGACCATCCGACCCGGGCGTGATAATGCGGGATCCGAAGCCCGGAGCACGCGTGTCAATGCACCCGGCAATATCGGAGGTGGGTGAGAAGGGAGACAGCGATTGGGACTCTAGACCGTATGCAGCCCATCGTTGCGGCTCCGCGTGGTTCTTCCAGGATGACCAGATTGTGCGCTCGCCGTCCTCCAGAGCACGGAGCTTGAGCTTCGCGCGCAGCTTGTGTTTTTTAAGGTGCTTAAGTAGAACCGGGACCTGGTCCTTGTCTACCTCCACTAGCCAGCCTGGCTCGGCACCCTGGGCCTCTGCGCCGGGGAGCGGGTAAATGAAGGCATCGTTCAGGACTCGACCTTGCGAATTGAGGAATGCGGTGTATGCGCCTGTACGTCGAGAGCTTCGGTTCGGGTCGTTGGTCACTAGCATGTTCTGGGTCATCAGGCCTTGGAGGAAGGTTGTGCTATCGGTGCCGGTGATAGAGATCAGTCCGCGGTTTGTGAGTCGGCTATACCCTGCCGTTGGTGGGAAGGAGGGATTTTGGCTCTTTTCGGTACGCTTTGCTGTAGTGGAGAATAGCCTACTGCGAGCCAGGCAGCAGGAACAGACCGAGGGGCGTGGGCGCATCATGGTTGGGTTGGTATAGCGGAGTCGATGTGAGTTACATCTATCTCTTCACAAAACGTCCAATGACGTTGAGCGGTGTAAGGTGGCAGAAATAACGATTCGAATCTACGGAGTCCTGCATTTGCTCGTTTATTTGCATCCACTTCGAACTGCTTTGTAAACCCAGAAGCAGTTTAAAACATTAGCTAGGCACTTGCTTATTTAGAAATCCTAATTTTAGCACTTACTTTACGGAGAATAGAGTAAGAACCTGGTATCAAGTCGCATAGTAATCCTATTCGATAGTTGTGAGTCCGGTTAGTCAGTGTAATGTGTCAAAACCTCAAACACGGCCCCTCTAGGCCATAAACAGGAACCTTGGTCTTTGTTATGGTCTAGTGGAAAAGTACGCTGTATTTCGTTCAACTTAATGTCCAATATCATGTTACAATACATCGTTGAAAACAGGGTATTAGAACCCATGAGTCCATACCAATTGAACGGTCTATATAGTCAGCTTTGTCCGCATATAACATGGATAAGAAAAAGAGTGGGGTTAGTTAGAGAATCATGCAAATGACCGTATCATTCATTGCCTTGTTGTAACCATCCATTTCTGTCATAGAGTATATGTTGTTGGTCGAAATGGGTCATTTGCTCCTTTCAGCTCAATGTAGCCCATTCAGTGGCCATACATTCACAGAGTGATTTTTCCTTGGATTTAGATCCTTCTGATATTGTTATCAGAAGAGAGATCAGTTGCTCAACGTCCTCGACGATACTTGAAAAACAGCTGGCTGGGAAGACGTGTGCTATGAAGCTTGTGAGTGCAACCTCTGCTTCCAAGCTCGACGCTGACATGCCAGTTCCATGATAAGTGGTGACCCAGGATACACCCAAAAAAGCCGAGATCTAAATCGGCTTCGCTGCGAATTAAATGCTGATTAGAATCTCCTCAAATTTGGTGTGTGTAAACGTGGCTTTGTTCCGGCTTTTTATGGCTACATTGATCGAATCGATCCGTCCGTTTTCCACCCTCCGCTTGAACGTTTCCTCAGTGATAAGTTTCAACCAAGTGCGATCCTACTCGAGTATTTGGCGGACACAGAAAGACTAAGAGAGATCCACTATGCCTTAGTTCACCACCATGATATGTACCCGAAAAACATTCTTGTTGCGTCTGGTGACAGAATCATCTGGATAGACTTTGATGTCGCGACAACTGTTCACAGCATAGGCACCCGGGAGAGGACGTATTGCGAATATGAAACCGAGTTTGTCAAGAGTTTTGGAAAGCTTTTGGTTTGTTTACCCTTCTTGCCTCGGTTATCATCATCTTCCAAAAGTTTCCTCCAGAGTGAGGATCAGGCACAGGGTCTCCCCCCCCCACTCGATTCTCAGGACCCACCGACCGCTCAGTTAGCTGGTATCCAGGGACGGGAAAAACTTGCACACGGACACTTCGAGGATATATTTGATGGAAAACGATAAGAAGTCTGATGGATTTGTTAAAACCTTGACTTCAACTGGCACGAGAAGAAAAATTTCGGGAAAGATATGCTTGGAACTGTTTTTCAAATCTCCGCACGAACCAGGCAGAACGAAGGGCGGTCAAGAATCATTTTCTAGCTTTGCGTCAAGTGCGCTACTTTTGGGGATCTGGTGAAACTGGAAGATCGTACACCCTCGGAAATAGGAGCATGATCAAAAATTGAGAGTCATCCAAAAGAAGACGCAAAGTAGTATTATAGGGCAAACTGCTTCTTGGCTATGGTCTAAGCGTAGACTGAGTGCTAAATAACGTATTCGGTAAGCGAGCCGGCCATATGTGTAATGCTCAGAGAGCAAAAAGCGGCAAAGGGCACCATTAAGGGAAGAGAACGCCAAGAAGTCGCGGAGGAAATCATTTTCGTAGTGAAAAGTAGAAGAGTTAAAGTTTTGATACTACTTTTATAGATGAGGATTAGTACTCGCCAAAAAACTCTAATAAAATGACATTCAGAAGCTACAATTGTTGAGGAGTGATATGAATAAAGGGTTCCAATATTACACTATTGCTATGTATGTCGCATCTGCCTAACTAGGAGCTATTGAAAAGCCACCTGGGCAAACGCATAATCAGCCGACTACGGGGCTACTTGTTGCCCTTGGCCACTCCCTCCAAGAACCCAAGCAAGAACGCCTTGTTGCTCGGCGAGGAGACCTGTGGACCAGTAGTGTATGCACCACCATCAGATGGCGTACCGTGACGTGAGATAGAGTCTCCGCTACTTGGACGGTTGCGGGACGACATCGGGCTGACAAATCCCGAGTAAGCTGCCGGTTGCTGGTTGACAGCTCGGGGATCGAAGGGGGTCGCAAAAACGGGTGTCGGAGACACAGGGGTCTTGCTAAAGAGAGACAAAAGCGAAGCCTTCTGCTCAGCAGTTTGGCTCGGTCGACGGTCAAAGTTGCCCTGTGCGGACAGACCCTGGGAATCAGCACCTGGCAAACTCAATTTTCGTTCAATAGCTTCTGCTTGAGGGGCTGTCGCCATCAATGATTCATATCCGGGTTTTTCGGATCGACGTAGAATCTGTGGTTGGAAGTTCTTGATAGGCTCAGGCGCCTCGGGCATCTTTGCAGGCAGAACCTGGGTGGCTTGTGCAACGGGCGTCAACGAGGACACCTCCCGTTTGGCAGAAGGAGGTCGTGAGAGAATGGTAATTGGCGAGGATAGCTGCTGTTGCAGGGGTTGCTCCCGCCTATTTACATAGTTCTTTCGGGTTGTTCCGACGGTTGACTTGTGCGGTTTGGCAAATGTCTCAAATTGTGTAATGTTCAAGGGTCCAGACGCGGTAGCCGATGCCCGACCTGGTCCCGGAGGACTCTTCACTGCACCAGCCGGGGGCATGGGCTTATTGTACTGATTGCGAGGACGCTGAAGAATTTGCTTCTTGGAGGGGGTCGCAGAGGGCACAACAGGGTTGCCCAACAATTCCGCTGGTTCAGACACACGGGCAGTTTGGGGACCTTTGAGCAAACCCAAAAGACTCTCCTGATGCTGAGACGTCGTACGCGCGTGGGAAGAGCCCTGCATAGGAGCCGCCAACGTCGCTAGACCCACACCCTTGGGAGTCTTAACCTTGAAGGCTTCCAATAGCGCCAGGGAGTGGCTTGTGAGCTTTGGTGGAGGCAGTTTGCTCGCAGGAGGGACGACTGGGCCCCGAGTTTGAGACAATTGAGCGGATTCAGAGAACTCAGGGTCACCTGTTCGTTGAAACGGCGCGGGCATATTGCTTGGGTTCAAAACACTAGGGGCCATAGGCGGCTGATTATGATGCTGGTATTGAGACATAGTGGTAGTTTGAGGGAATTGTGGTATCGCATGGGGTTTAGGATACCAATTATCCGCAGGAGTCGGGAATTCATTGCCAGGAAGAACATGTGGGCCATCCTGGGAGTGCTGGATATGAGGTTGAGATGGAATAGTGTGAAATGGTGTCGAGTTCTGCCGCATGAAAGGAGACGGACCCATGTTCTGTTGCTGCTGAGGGAAGCCGGGGAAGAAATTAGGGCCCAAATGAGGCCGCTGTTCTGCAGATTGGACGTTGGACTGAATTGTAAGAGGTGGCGCCATGGAATTACTACGAGACCCCTGATGGAACGTCTCTTGACGTCCACGCTGCAATAAGGCAAGAAGCTCACTCGCCTTAGACGGGTCAACAGTAGAATCCCGACTTGCCTCGAGGCCTGGTGTAAGAGTTTGCGCTGGTGCGGCGCCAATCTTCAGAAGGCGTTTGAGGTGGTCAGAAGCATCTTGCGCCGATGTAACCTCAGGTAGATCACATGGGATAGCCATTTCCGCGAGGGGCATCCCGGGGGTGCCATTGGCATGGCCATTTTCATCCACAGAAAGATATCCCTCAGCGTGTGAGACCTGATTTGTGCCAGGCTGGGCTCTCGCATCAAGCTTCTTCTGCTGCGCTATCCACTTCTTCAGTGGACTGAGAAACGGGGCAACCATGTAGAACTTGTTCGCATTTGTGACTGCGAGTCCTTCATCATGCTGTTTGTTTTTCTTCAGCGTTGGCAGCTCTGAAAGCTTGTACCACTCGATCTTGCTGATTTCCTTTCTGGTACGTGGCTCAAAGTAAGTATCACGGAGCACACCTCTGAAGACGTAGAGTCGCATATGCTGCTCTCTCATAGTAATCTCAATGTATTTGACATCATCGTCGTTTTTAACCAAGTTGGCCTCCCGAACGTCGAACCCAGTCTCTTCGTAGACCTCACGAATGGCACAATCTAGGTCCTTTTCGCCCTTGTTAATTTTACCACGGGGAAAACTCCAGTTTGCACCCTTCTTCCAACCCTTGACAAGAACAACTTCATCCATATCATGGTTCAACATGATCGCACCACGGACCGGCACTCGTGTCTTGTAATCAAGGAATTCCTGGAAGGCAGCCACATGATGGTAATGAGACCATGAAGACATAAGCGGGCAATGTTGGAAAATGCGCATGGCAAATGTTTTCAAGTTCATTGACGGTAGCGCAGGGTCGAGCGGGCGAATGAAGTCTTCATAGAACCATTGTGCCTCTTCAACTTGGAAACATATCCGTTCGACCGACTCAAGCTCCTCGCGCGGAAGATTGATAATGAAACGGACACACAGATCATCCAGCCCTATTAGCAACGGCCCACCGGCCTCAGTCAGCAGCCTGTCGTCATTCGGATCGATCAACAATCAGGCACTCACAATCTTCTAGCCGCAAATTTGTTTCGATCATATCGGTAGGTAGGCTTTGGCATTTCAAGACCTTGGTGGCTCAGAGATAAATGCCCACTCAATCCGACAGCGCAAACGGTCGAAATAAGCAAGCAATGCGGTGGAGGGACCAGCTTCCAGGGAGGATGGACCAACCCAGGGCTGTGTGGATACGGCGAATAGTTTGAGGCAGAGACTAATCTCAGGGGGATGTGCAGTATGCGAAGGTATCCAAGGTTATAATCAAACCAGAAAAAAGAGTTGATAAGGCGTTGGGAAGCAGAGCAACGATCCGAGCTGCCCAAAGTGGTGATCGGGTGACTAAGGTAACATGTGGCGGTGATGATCCAGAACAACGCGCCACATGTGAATGTGGCTGTGTTGCGGGTTCCAAGATTCTCGGGGTTATGACGTTTTGTCGCGCAAAACCTATGATCTCCCTGAATCCCTTAAATTCTCTGTGATTGCTGCATTATTCCACCTAGTTCCAAATTCAGGTACCTTCTTCAAATACTCATATGCGCCCTTTGTCCTCGCCGAAAATAAGTGAAACGAGCGCCTACTGAAACTCTTGTCCGTCCAACCAGGAAGGGTTTAGGGCCTCAGAGGATTAAAAGGCAATACATGGTCTTTTTTAGTTGCGCTTGCTCAACATTTGTCTATTTCTTCAGCGCTTCTCCCGAGAAGATTCCAATATCCACAGCTTTTTTACCTTCAGTAAAGCATTGTGATCTAAAAGAAAGATGTCAAAAGTGCTGATGTCTATGGTTGGCAGAAAGGTGCTAGGTGAAACCGCTAAGAATCACTTTGGTACTGAGGTGAGTCCGCTTGGCCGACCAAGTTTCAATTGGTTTGTAGAAGGGATCGGGCTGACCCAATTTTTTTCTATCTACCTAGGATCCCTACTTCGAAGAAGTCCCTGCTTCACGCCTTGGTCGTACATTTGGAAAAAAGACCCAAAAGCGTCGCAAGGCCATCCCGCCGGGCCTCTCTGAGCATGATGCCAAGGTCCTGACCAAGGTCAAACGCAGAGCCTACCAACTGGATTATGCTCTTTTCAGCTTGTGCGGAATGCGCTTCGGCTGGGGAAGTGTGATTGGACTTATTCCATTGTGAGTTTCACCAGGATCTATTGCACTAGCGCCAAAAAGAGACCAACGCTAACATATGAACTGCAGCATCGGCGATGCTAGCGATGCTGCGCTCGCAATGATGGTAGTAAGATCTTGTGAAGGGATTGACGGTGGACTTCCTCCTGCTTTGCGCGTGAAGATGTTAATCAATGTGATACTCGACTTTGTCATTGGCCTCGTCCCTTTCATTGGCGATCTTGCCGATGCAGTATACAAAGCAAATACTCGAAACGCCGTCATTCTTGAAAATCATCTGCGCCAAAAGGGTGCCAAAGCGGCCTCAAAGCAGAGTAGGAGAAGACAAGAGTCGATAGTCGAGGTTGACTACAGTCTTCCCGATGCATTTGACAGGCAGGAAGATGGAGTTTTGGGCGACCGTCCACCAGCCTATCACGAGGCGCAGCCATCGGCTCATGTGGGAAGGAGCAATGCTGCCCCCCGGCCGGCCAAACAGTTCCGGAACACGTCATTTGGCAGATGGTTTGGGGGAGCGGGCCACCCGGAAGATGATTTGGAGCGAGATGGAACGAGGTAGCTCGTGGTGCACGAAGATGTTGAGGTCGTAATTTCAAATACCCATGATTGCATGTCGATAATTTCAGACAATGCAGGATGTTGCCGTTAGTTCATTTAATTGTGGCACGAATCAACGATGATTCTCTTCAGCAAAGCTCCTCAGGCCGAGAGCGCATACATCCGTAGCAGAATTGAGAGCTATGGTTATCCTCTGCCTGATTTGCGACAGTGACTCCGGAATTACCGTTCACATTTCCCACTAGACCAGCACAAAGACCACACGTAAGTGCACTAACGGAGGTAGAGGGGTTGAGCTTGTTTGCAGTTCTGGCCACATTCGCCATGACACCAGGATACTTTGCGCCTTGGTTCTGAACATATCGCAGCATCAACTCGTCAATGGAAAGGTTCTTGGTAAGAACATTGTCGGAGGGCGGTTGATCGGGAATAATAATGTCAGAGAGCTCGACACAGACACTCGCATATTGGAGCAACTCAGCCTTATACAAATCACGAAGCGGGTACTCGAATCTTACGCCCCAAGGAGACATGCCGTCGGATACCTGCCAGGTGAGGGAAGCCCCACGTCCCTTGGCAACACCCGCAAGTGCTTTCGCAGCGAGACGGCTGTCCGAGTCACCCCAAATGACAGATTCACATCCAGATTTTTTCGCAAATTCAACGATCAATCTGGTCAGCAAAACAGTGTCGACATCGGCTCTGGAGGTGGGAGTGGAAATAGATGCACGGAAGGCAGCTAAGCGCTCTTCATTCGACCGAGACCTGTCGTCTATGAATTTTGATCCTGCATATTCATGCATGATCTCCTCCATCTCCGGGACATGGTCGAAGATGCTATGAAAAGGTATCCGACTGATGTTGTGCAACGAAAAATTCTTTTCCAGAGCTTCGTATTTCTGGTCGAAGAGAACGCCAGTAGCCGCAACGGTCGAAGGTTCGATGACCAAAATTTTGAAGTCATACCCCAGAGGCCGTCCGTTATCCAGACGAAGCTGTCGATCCGTATTCAAAATATGCAACAATACCGAGGAGGAAACTCCCAATGACAGAGGGAGAAGCAACTGGGTTTTGGGGCCATCTAAGCCAAAAGCTCTGTAGACGCTTAAGCGCGAGTGAACCTTGTGTGCTATAAATCGCCTAAGGCATGATCTAAAAAGAAGAAAATGTCAGAACTATAAGCTGGAGGGGTTGTAGATTGTCGACTTGTTGCATACTTGCAAAGCTGCCTCTTGCGGACCGTAAGCTCGAATTTTGCATCTTTGCATTCCATGCATGGTTTGTTCAATTCCTTTGCTGGCATGGTGGCTGCTGTGAATTTTTGACTTGTCACCCTGGACCCTGGACTGGACATTGAAAAAAAGTCCGTTCAAGTTGGAAACTTGAAAATAGTGGCGGTGCCCGCTTAGATAATGGCCGCGCGCGGCTTCCCCGGTTTGGGGTCAATCGGGTTCAACAAGGTGTTAACACCTTAGCCTTACAATTTTCCAACAGAACAACAACCAAATTCGACTTTCTAGCTCATATCCTTCCTTTAATGCTGTGTGGTCTTCAAGTCTTCATCTCAACTATCGGAGCATAGTCTCGCTCCAACTCTACGTCGCCATGAAAGGCTGGCTCCAGACCTTGGGCTTGACGGCCCTGTTGGCAAGTTATGCGCTTGCTAATGATGCCGAACTGGTATTTCTCTACGCATCATTTAATCGGTTAATGTCGGGGGCTAATGATGTTTTGCAGAAATCTGACGATGCACACCGACAACGATGCTCAGGGATGTACAGTCGCAAAGCTTGGGGAGGAGATGTTGACCCCTTCATTTTGGTGAAATTTACCAAGTCGGAAGCTCAGGAAAGTGATCCTTTGGCTAGTTTGGTGATATTTGAATGGTCCGATGAAGGATTGATAGGCCAGTACCGGTCCGACGATGATGAGGTATGTCTGTTATCACCGTAAGAACAACTGACGCGGCTAATCGTATGGTTCAGATCAAGGAAACAATTTGCGACGCCTCTAACGTGGAAGCAAACATCTGCACTCAAGAACAGCTCGGCTCTTTTGTCCTCACCAGCAATGCCACCGACGCATCCAAAAGCCCCATCATCTCAAAAGCAATCCACCTTAACAACCCCGACGCCGTGAAATACCCCGTCAGAAAGACTGGATTTTACTGCGTGAGTACGTACGCATACTCTGGGCAGGAGTACAAAGCAGTTGTTACCTTCCGCAACTCATACGGCGAACTCCCCGCTGCACAAATCGCAAAGCTTCCATTTTATGGGGCCTTGACGATCGTGTACGCTGTTATTGGAGCGTATGTTACTTGCAGAACCCATGGGCTCGATAAATTTTCGAGTAGATGCTTACGCACATTTTAGATTTTGGGCCTTCCTTTACGTGCAGAACCGTTATGACATTTGTATGCCGGGTTCCCTTTGGCTATCAGAATCATACTAATACTGGATAGTGCCTGTCCAAAACTACATCACTGCAATTGTGGTATTCTTGATCGTCGAGCAGCTCATGACGTGGGGATTCTATGGTAAGGGACAACACTCGATTCCTCGCTTAACTCCATCTGACTTTCCTAGAATACCAAAACCGTCATGGTTTAAATGGCGGCGCAAAGGCACTCATGGTCATTGTAGCAGTACTCAACGCGGGCAGAAATGCTTTCTCTTTCTTCCTCCTCCTGATTGTTTGCATGGGCTACGGTGTGGTCAAGCATTCATTAGGCCGAACCATGATCTATGTTCGCATCCTGGCCATTGGTCACTTCGTGTTCGCGGTCGTTTACTCGGTTGCCAGTCTTTCGATTACCCCTGATAGCGCTGGTCCTCTGGTGCTTCTGATTGTCCTACCCCTGGCCGGGACCTTGACAGCTTTCTATGTGTGGACCTTGAATTCCCTGAACGCGACGATGAAGGATCTTGTTGATAGAAAGCAAAAAACTAAGGCATTGATGTACAAAAAGTTGTGGTGGTGTATCCTCGGCAGCATCATTGTGATCTTCGGTTTCTTCTTCATCAACTCCTTCGCTTTCGCTGGAACCAGTGACGCCAGTTTTGTGCCCGAGCACTGGAAGGCGAGATGGTTCGTTCTTGATGGCTGGCTAAATTTGGTTTACCTGTTCGATATCGCATTCGTGGCCTATCTATGGCGACCAACTGTCAACAACCGCCGCTTCGCCATGAGTGATGAGGTATGGAGCTATTCCCTAAGTAACTAAGAGCCAAACTGGGGCACTAACATTTTTAACAGCTTGCTCAAGATGACGATGGATTTGAGATTCGATCGTTTGGCAGTGGCTTGGACGAAGAAGATGCCTATGATGCTCCCCCGGATTATCCTGGCAGCTCAGCCGCCGAGGGCCGTCGTGATCTCTCCCCAGTTCCTCCTAAGCCCTTTTCTTCGGAATCCCGCCATCGCGAGTCACTCGATGAAGAGACAATCTTCGCTGTCGGCGAAGAGGATGCTGAGAGGTGGTCCGATGAAGAGTCGCCTCGCAATTCAAGCGAGAGACAAAGACTCACCGGCAAAGATAAGGATTAGACTGAACATTGGCTCCTCTTTTTTTAAAAAATTTACGGTTGCTTTTCCTGGTTAGTGTGAAAGCCGATCAGGATCGGACGTCTGGTAAATTGATGGGTTGTCAATTTACTCAATGTACGGCCTACCTTTAGTGCAAGGATGCGAGCATGTCATGGCGTTGGTCTTTCCTTCACACTTGTGTCAAATACTTAGTTATCCTAGCTCGGTTTTTTAGTTATATAATTGGCTTATGCGTGTTTCCTGGCTGCAACTATTCGCAAATGTGTCTCGCAAGGCCCATCAGATAGCGAAAGGACGAATATATCTGCATGGAAGAATCAAATCTGGTGCCTCGTGGAGCTCGGTATCTTACATAGTACGGCTCCATGTTTGATGGAATCTATTGATCGACCATCGGCATGATGATGCCTTCGCTTCTCTCAGTGAACGTATGCAGCTTTTGGACCAAGAGCAACAGCTAGAGATGAACGAATTTGTGCGGTTCAAGAATGGCCAGTGCAAGAATACAGAGAGCTTTGACGATCACTATCCAATTGAGAGGCTACCTGAATTATGTCTAGATATGCGGTGGATTTACCTCGAGGACTAGGCCATATCTCCCAACAATTTACTACCTTTGGAGCACTGACTGTAGCACCATGTCAAAGCTTTGCCTGAGTGCTCCAGATGATGCCGGAGATAGCATCTTAATTGTTCGAGGTCTTGTTAAAGGTCTTTTACCTCAATGGTAGGGCTACGGAGTACAGGGAGATAAATTAGGAGGTGCAGCCCTCGACTATTTTTGAGTCATTCAGAGCCTCATGTGGAGCCATAGAAATCCTCTCACAAGCTATAAATTGTCTTACTCCATCAATGCAGTCAGTATTTCCAAGCTGAAAAGGACCCCCAAATGTTTTGACTCCATCCATCCCAACTGATAAAAGAAATCTTATCGCACTTGCCCCAGCTCCAACTTTCAAACACAACCAACAACCCTAGCACAAACCTCACCTGCACATGCGAGGCAGTATCACAATCTCACTGCAACCGGTGTCTAATTATACACAATGCCACTAGATACACATCCCCACTTTCCCGCACCCCCCTCCTCCACTTCCAACAAAGAACACGACAATGACAACACAAGCACAGCTACCGCGAAGCCAGAACCCCAATCAACTGAACCCAGTTCCAGGACTAGCACCACTCTTTCAGTCCAGCTGAAGCAAGAATGTAACGACCTGCTTTCCCAGATCGATGGCTACCAAGCCCTCCTCACATCCACACTACGGAATCCTCAGCTCGTTGAGGTGCGCCAATTCCGCTCCAGCGTAGTCTCCGAGCTGCGAATGCTGGAGAAGCTAGGAAGGCAGATTGAGGGGGCGATAGGAGAGACAACTGCAGGACCAGGAACCAGTGAAACGGAAGATGGCGTGACGTCGCATGACCCTGATTTGGAAATGCGACTGGTGCACGCGCTTCGCTCGTCGAATCTGCCGTTCTACCAGGCTGTCTGGAGGATCGCGAGTGGGTCTTGTTCGGGGTTGGTTGCGCTGGGCAAGAGGTTTTACTGGGATGGGGAGACGAAGGCGACGGAGAAGCAGAGTGCGGGTGGGAAAGGGAAAATTGGTGGGGCTGTGCACCCGGAAAAGCAGCGAAACAAAGATAAGCGCAAGAGTGTATTTGTGGATGTTGTGGCTGATGATGGGGAGGAGTGGGTGAAAGTATCTACTGTCTCGGAGAGCCGGCTTTTGTTCGAGATGGCGAAGAAGGGCTGGGAGGGTGATAGTGATGAGGATGAGTGGTCTGATGGGGGTAAAGGGCGGACTATTTTGCAGAATTTTGATGAAGAAGATGAAGGGGCTGACGATGATGAGTTGGAGCTCATTAAGCTGGCCCGGGATCTAAGGAAGGCGTCTGATGCTACGCGCGTTAGATATAGACATCCTCGGCTACGGGTTGTTATCCCTAAGATTGAAGAAGGAAGGATTCCTGAAATTGACGCTGTCTTGAACGAGATGCGGAGCTATGGTATTCGCGTTGACTGTCAGGGGAGTCTGCCAGCAGAGACTCGCACTGGACTAGCCCATCTCCTGCCTCAGCCGTTCAAAAACTTCACTTCGACCCTGAATGTCGACTGCACTTTGCTCCTTGCCATGGTATCTGACTTGTCTCACGTCAAGGATATCCCAACGTCACCTCATTTCCATAGAGCCATCGTTCGACAAATTGAAGTTGAGCGGGAAAAACCACTGCTCACTTCTGAGCTCTGGCCGGCTATGGATGCTCATGAGCTCCTATCCACCACAGAGGCTGCAGTGCGCTTCCGGGAAATTGTCGATACCATTGGGACAGAGACGGAGAAGAGCCGATCTCGCATGTTGCTGGGAGAAACACCATACGAACAACTCGATCGTGAGGCTCTTCTCCAGGAGTTTCAAAAATTGTCTGATTATCAGGTGCCCGCAAATTGGAAGCTCCCCATCAAAGTCGTTGAAGCTCAGCAAGTGATTGATGCGGCCAAGACACAAGGTAACCTTCATCCTGTGGTACATGAAGTTGGGAAAGGCCTTTCGGACATCAACCATGGCGTTTTTTTGTACGGTTGGGTCACCCGTTTGACAACCATTTCCAGCAATCGCACAATCGCCAAGCAAATCGAGGCTACCGTCGAGGACAATCGAAAAGGCGATGATAGCTTAGAAGGCCCTGACGTTTGGATCTGTGATACAGCGCGAAGTCTGGTTGGTAAAGACAAAGATCGAAAACCATAAGCATAGAGGATCAGCTGCTAGATAGGTGAGAATAGAAAGCGCATTTCTTGACCTTGACAATTTGTGAACACGGTGCCATTGTTCCGCAGGGCATCTAGTCATCCAGTGCATATCAAGACAGTGCTTGGCTGATAGTTTGGGAGGAAATCGGAGATATGATCCTTTCCGTCGCGCCATCAGATTCAAATTACTTCTCTGAAGATTTGCCGTGGTCGTCGGGGACGTAGAAGATAATCTCCTTGTCGGCACTGGCGACCATGTTGTAACGCGGGTTGTATTCCACCATAGCCGCGCAGCTTGGAGCAGACAACCTGGTCGAGGGCTGCAGTGTGATGTCCCCCCCGCCGATCTGTCCCAAATCCCACACGAGCATACCATGTTGATCACCATTGCCTCCAATGACGTATCGACCATCGGGACTGAAACAAGCATCACCTTGACCGAGAGGCTTGCCCGTCGTGGACACTGGTGCAGCACGACCAGACGCTCCACTCTTGCCAACTAGGAAGGCCTTAAGTGTACCATCAAAGGCATCTAGAACAAAGTGGCCGTGGTAGTCCGTCCCAAGCATCATATATTTTCCATCGTTGGAGAACTCCAATCGAGTCCACGCCCGTCCTCGCGTCGACGGTGTGAATCTCTCCTCGTATGGCGCGAGATCGAAGGTGGAGAAGGGCGACTTGTCAAAGTTGCGGAAGTCGTAAAGAAGCACTGCAGCTGTGGATTGAGAGGCGATTGCAATGACTGTACCCGACGGATCAAATGCAGCGAGGTATGGTGTCGCAAGATTCAGTTTGCCCTGTGCATTCCTCGAATTCAAGTCCCACAATGTCACAGTGTCATCCTTGGAGCAAGACATAAAGGCGTCGCTTGCGGGGGATTGAGCCAGGCAAGTTACTTGGTCATTATTGCCGGTAAAATATCGTATGTATCCCTCATTGTGGAGGTCCAGTAACCGCAAATTATCTGTTAATGGTGAGCTGGGTAGCCAAAAGCAGGCTATTCGGCCACGTACTATCAATCTTGGTACTCGCATGGAGGACCTGGCGAGAGTGATGCGTGAATCTCGCGAGATGAACACCGTATTTCTTGCTGGCAACAGATTTGTTGAATTTGCCCTCTCTCACATCATAAACATGCATACTGTCATCGTTACCGGCACCTATCAGAACATCGCCTTGGTCGTCAAAGTCCAAAGAGGTCACGTATTTGGACAGGTCTTTTTTACAAGGATAAAATCCCTATAGAACAGGATCTATCAGACTGGTGCCATAGCTTCAAAGTTCATTTGAACCTACCTTGGATGGGCGGAAGGTGGCAATGATATCCGTGATTTTCTGCGACTTGAGCGGAGCTTGGGCGGCGGGCGGACCCTGCTGCGGTGTTGATTGGCCTTCGGCCATGGCAGTGTGATTGACCGGTAAAGTTAGAGCTACTAGGAGTATAATATAGCGAAGAGTTGCAAAATGAAGTTATTTAAAAAAAGTCAATGGAACGGGAGGAAGAGGAAAGAGCTACCCACGACAAGCTCCGTGGTGAAGCTCCGCGACTGGGCTTTTTTGCGCGTCTCACCGCCTCAGCTGACATAAGAACTCCGGAGTCCGACACCGGAAGCCCCAGGATCAAATGACCAATGAACGTTTGACCGAGTTCCAGTTCCAGTTCGCCGCATTCAAATGCTTCGTACAACATAAGCTTTGATGTCCTCAGGGCGTGTGTTGGCTTTAACTTCTTTGATTTCTGAGTCTAGGTGAACAAATCTTGTACATTCATTCATATTTCTCTCCCGTGCATCAATTTGGACCTCCTATACTGCCTCAATAATTGCACATATCCTGTGAATCCCCGCTGCCGGCCGCATTGATCTCGTCTTGCGGGCGGGTCCGATCTTACTCCGCTTACCGACAAGCCTGAACATATCTTCACACGGCCATAATACCATTTGGAAGGCGCTATGTCTACTACTGGAGGGTATGTCATAAATTTGCGCGGGAGATGTGTAAAGCCTGCGCTAACAGCGACTGTGGTGGAACAGCGCGTTTATTGCAGGTGGCATTGCAGCATGCGGTGCAGTCACTGTCACCCATAGTTTTGAGACGGTCAAGATCCGGTTGGTTTCCTAATACTCCAGGTGTGCTGCCAGGGTACTGACAATGATGGCTGGCTGCAAGGCTTCAACTGCAGGGTGAATTGCAAACCAAAAACCAGGCAGTGAAGATGTACAAGGGCCCGTTGCACGGCATCAAAGTGATTTTGCAGAATGAAGGACCTCGGGGTCTGTTCCGGGGTATTGGATCTGCTGTATGTGTTATCCTCTCCAAATTTCAAACAAAGGCGCACCGAGCTAACATCCGAGGCATGTAGTATATCTACCAGGTCTTGCTTAACGGCTGCCGTCTGGGCTTCTACGAACCTATCCGCTCGAACCTCACATCTGCTATATACAGTGACCCCAAGGTCCAGTCCCTCGCTGCTAATGTCGTAGCAGGAGCTGCTTCAGGTGTCATTGGTGCCGCAGCGGGGTCGCCTTTCTTCCTTGTTAAGACTCGTCTTCAGTCCTATTCACCGTTCCTCCCCGTCGGCACGCAGCACAAATATAAGAACTCTTTTGATGGCCTTAGCAAGATCTACAAGGGCGAAGGCATCAAAGGTATCTACCGTGGTGTCGGTGCTGCTATGATTCGCACCAGTTTCGGTAGTGCCGTGCAACTCCCCACATACTTCTTTGCCAAGCGCCGCCTCACCCGCCACCTGGGTATGGAGGAGGGTCCTGCTTTGCATCTGGCCAGTAGCGCAACTTCTGGCTTCGTTGTGTGCTGCTTCATGCACCCCCCTGGTATGTCATCTCGAACACGGGATACATGTTCTTCGCTGAATTTCCTCTCTTTAGATACCATCATGGCTCGTATGTACAACCAGACAGGTAACCTGTACGGTGGTGTGTTCGATTGCTTGCTTAAGACTATTCGCACCGAGGGTCCCCTTGCCATCTATAAAGGCTTCTTCGCCCATCTCGCCCGCATCCTTCCCCATACCGTGAGTGACAGGAGTTGATCTTTGCATTGGCATTCGTGAACTAACCCTACCTCTAGATCTTGACTCTGAGTCTGGCTGAACAGACTAACAAGCTGATGCGCCGTGTTGAGAACCGGATTCTGCCTGACTCCTTCCGTGAGGGAATCTAGGTGACGCATGAGCTATTTTTTTTTGAAGAGATCCCCGTGCGAGATTTATTACTTGTGTCTGCATTGCCTAGCTGGAGTTCTTTTCGAAAGATGTGTGCTGCATAATTGCTTCTGACTGGCCACATAGATTGCGTTTGGCAGAGTAACCTGTTGCTCTCAAATTCGAAACTCTGTGCAAATTTTTTTCCCGCATAGGCCTTGGAAACATTTCGGAATTATGCCTTGGTATTTTTTTTTAGGTCCCTCTCACAGTTGGTTTCCTCGGCACAAATTGCGAAACATGAGAACACGCTAGCACGCGGTGATGCAAGGCACTCCTTTGCTATTCCCACTAGCCCACTAGACAAGAGGTGTGTGCACCGAGAGCTCAAACCTGGCAAGTGGAGATAAGCCGATGGGCACTTGCAAGGGATTACTCGCCACATTGCATTCAACCCTTGGGAACAGTGTCATTACTGAATATACTATACTGTACAACACCGACCTTGGTCTTCGTATCCCCCGTATGGAATAGACATGTCCCCATGCAGCTTGAATACAGAAGATTGTCAATCGAAGACTACTCAACCATAAAATGCTGGCTGCCTAAGCGTGACGGGGCAAAAATGATCAGCGCTTTCTTCTTCTTTGGGGATCCACTTTCAGAAACTTCCCTATGGAGTAAAAGGGTGAAACGATCCTTCATTCATATGACTTGACAGGAGCTGCCACATGTTACTCGGCTTGTTTAAACTAAACTATACATAATGATTGACGAAGAAGAACCCTTAGAACATTCGTAGATATCAACATAGGTATGGAGTACCTATACAGCAGATTGAACGCATGTGCGGGGAGCACACCCTTACGCTATGGATAATGAGCTATAAATTGGCGAATGATGAGGCTAACGCTTGGATCTAGACCCAATCATTAAATCATTTAGATCCGTAAATCCGACTGTTTTGCCTAGTCGCGTCACGCGTTTTTGTGGTCTCTCTGGCTTATCTGATCGCAATCAATAGTGGGGACTGAAAAAAAAACTAGAGACGCGTGGGAGTTGTTGATGTCTTAGGTTGTAGGTTCATGGAAGTAGTGATATGTAGATGTACAGAGTAGAAAAGCCCATGTAAACATGCACAAGAATGGAGCTGGAATGGAGCACGGTCAATGACGATCCTTTCGGATGTTGGGATGAGAAAAGAGTTGCCCAAATAGGAAAGAAGGGCTGGGAAACAGACCCGTGGACGCGCCGTACATTACCTAAGTGATTCGCGCAGTCACGTGCGACGTGACTTCGCACGTCGCGCTAAAGAGAAATCGGCAGTACTTAATCGAGTTTCTCTTCCCTCGTCCAACTTCAAATCTCCCATCACACTCTCAAAGCAGTTATTTCATTCTTACTTGCTGTCTGTTTGAATTGCCCAGTGATATAACATTCTTCACATACTTGTTCCAATGGCCGCTCAAGTCACTCCCTCGAAACAGGTATGTGATATCACACTTTTCGCCTCTTGCCTCTCGCGCCAGACGCGTTGTGAAGTTCGTTTGAGTTAATATTTGTTCTTCCCTAGGCTGCCTCCTCACTCGAGAACCTCAAGATGAGTGACTCACCCGTCAAGAAGCTCGACTTCCAGTTGGCTGGCAAGGAGAACGCGCCTGCGTCTCTCAAGGCAGTCAACACCCCCATTGAGAAGTCCACCGAGAAGTCCCACGCGTCCAAGGCTCTTACCATCAAGGAGATGGAAGCCTCAGAGCCCCTCCTCCAGGAGAACCCCCACCGTTTCGTCATGTTCCCTATCAAGTACCACGAGGTAAGTCACGTTGTTGACGCGTTTCACGCGTAAAGTGAAAATCGCCAAAACTGTCCTGCCACCTCATACATGGAAGCTAACCAGACCCCTTGTGTCAACAGATCTGGCAAATGTACAAGAAAGCCGAAGCCTCCTTCTGGACTGCTGAGGAGATTGATCTCTCCAAGGATCTTCACGACTGGCACAACCGCCTGAACGACGACGAGCGTTACTTTATCTCCCATGTCCTCGCCTTCTTCGCCGCCTCCGACGGCATTGTCAACGAGAACCTTGTCGAGCGCTTCAGTGGAGAGGTTCAGATCCCCGAGGCCCGTTGCTTCTACGGCTTCCAGATCATGATGGAAAACATCCACTCCGAGACCTACTCCCTGCTCATCGACACCTACATTAATGAGCCTAAGCAGCGTACCTACCTTTTCGATGCCATTGACACTAGTAAGTCGTACTCTGATCGACTTGGTTTTGTTGCCTTATCTAACTGAATCTTTAGTCCCGTGCATTGCCAAGAAGGCCAACTGGGCCCTCCGATGGATTAGCGACCACGAATCAACCTTCGCTTCGCGTCTGGTTGCCTTCGCTGCTGTCGAGGGTATCTTCTTCTCTGGCTCATTCGCGTCCATCTTCTGGCTGAAGAAGCGTGGCCTGATGCCTGGTCTCACATTCTCCAACGAGTTGATCTCTCGTGACGAGGGTCTCCACACTGATTTCGCTTGTCTGCTGTTCTCCCACATGAACCACCGCCCCGACCCCAAGTTGGTTCAGGACATCATTGTTGAGGCCGTCGGAATCGAGCAGGAGTTCCTGACTGACGCCCTTCCCTGCGGTCTGCTTGGCATGAACTCCAAGCTGATGTGCGAGTACATTGAGTTCGTCGCTGACCGCCTGCTGGTGGCCCTCGGCAACAAGAAGTACTACAACGCTACCAACCCCTTTGACTTCATGGAGTCTATCTCTCTGGCTGGCAAGACCAACTTCTTCGAGAAGCGTGTCGGTGACTACCAGAAGGCTGGTGTCATGGCCAGCACCAAGCAGGAGGTCAACGCTGAGGGCGAGAAGGTCGTAAGCGACGGTCTCAACTTCGATGAGGACTTCTAGACGGTGTCCTTTTCCCTTCCCTCTTGTGTTGTTTTATACCCTCTCCCCTTTCACGCGATATTATGCTTTTCTTATTCTGTCTTTTATTGATTGACGCAGTTACCGTTTGAACGCTTGCATCGGAACGGTCGTTTTTTTTTCCTTTTTTTTCTTCCCCCTGGTCCATCCTGAACTCAAATGTCCATGGATGATGGCGGATCCTCTGTATCTAGATCTTCGAATCACCTCCTCCATCTATCTTGGATTGATTGTAGTTGAATATAATGAAAATGTCCCCTATCAGTACCAGGTGTCAATTGGCCAGCCCCATTCCTACTTCAGACTCTTGAAACGCCGTTTCACATCACAGCACCGTCTGTGGATGTGCATAGTCGGTATCTTATTCCCGGTATCAAAAGACCTCATGCCCACATCTCTGAATGCATCATAACAAGTAACAAGCGAAAAGAAGCATAAGAAACAAAGTGATGAATGCGATTCTCAGAAACCCCGTTTGATTTACCGCTTCCCCTTCCCACCCTTCTTCTTCCCCTTCGCACCTTGTCCCTGCGCCTTGCCAACAACCGGCGCAGCCTCCTCGGCAGCGGCAGGGGCAGGAGCATCAACCATCTCCACATCCGCGCCCGCAGAAGGAGCCGCAGCCGATAACCCCAAACCCGCTACATCAGCACCGGCAGCCAGCTTGCCCAGACTCGTGATCAAACGGCCGACTTCCTGTGCCTTATTTGTGCGGTAGTGCAGACATATTCCTGTCGTTGGGTTGAATGTCTTCAGCGTGAGGGTTGCGATTGCGGTGGTTGGTGGTGCGGGTGTGGTTGAGGAAGCATCGCTGGCTTTGGCGTCTTTGCGGACTTTGGACTTGTGGGCTCGGATCATGTTTCCTCGTCGGTTTGTGGGGAAGTTGTATTTTGTTACGATCCGGGTCTGGGGATTGGGGCTGTTAGTTTGGTGGATTGACATTGGAATTGGGGTTTGCTGTGGGGGGACGCGGTGTGGAAGATTGGATGGCGGGTTGGAGTTAGGATGGGAGGTTCGAAGTGCTTACTGTGTCTGGGTACGCTTGTAATAACTGCGCTGACTGCTCCAGATAGGCCTGAGAGGTGGGTAGGTAGGGCATTTTGGAGTGATGGTGAGCGTCTGTAGAGCTCGCGGTTTGGGGTTGAGAGGTGTGGTGGGATGCGCAGGTTGGTAGGTGGGTATCTCGGTGTTGTGGGAAATTTCTCAGGGTGAATGATCGCGGATCAAAAGGAAATATCCGCTGAGAGTCAAGATTCGAGAGAGGAATTGGTGGGAGGGTTGGTGGGTGGAGAGAGTGTGGAGGTGTTGTCAGTGTGCTGGCGGCTTTTTCCATGTCTTGGCACCAAGACCGTTCACTCCGCAATTTGTACGTGCAATCGCAATAGTCGTCACTAACTGGCATTCTTCTTTATCAGAAAGTACTTCAACAACTTCTTTTCTCTGCCCACTTTCTGAGATCTTTTACGAAACGTCGAAAGGTGCCTATTTTCATCCTCTTCTTTGTGGAGAATGTGACCTCAGGACCTCCTTCCTACATCATGACCCTGTGACAGGATCATCGAAGTTGGAATACCTGCTCAAGTGATCAATGAAAATTGTACCAGAGACACAGATCTATTTAACATCAGGATCCACAAAAAAATATCTCTTGATCGTCCACGTTCATCATTCCAGGCTAGAAGTCAGCTGCACGAGGCCCCCAGATACTTGTAGTACATGTCAGCCTACCCAGAAAGTTCCTAGAAGATACAGAAAGCCACAGGGAAACTAGACACGCCAAAATTACAAGGAACTCTTGCAAACCCCAAGAGTCGACTCACATCTTCCGGATAGAAAATTGTTGCGTGCATAATCACCTCCGTTTCCACTTGGGCAGTGGTAGAAGCCTTGTATACCAGACTTCCGAATAGCATCATAGCCACTCCTTCAAACCAGGGTCCCGAACACACTTATAATCACCTACAGTCACTCGCAATCAACCCTCAAACCTATCACCATGGTATACCGCGTGATGGTCTGCGCACCACGCAAGACCAACATGACCCACGAGGTATTCAAGCCCCGCTACAAGCAGCATATACACATGGTAGCGGGAAACTGCGGCGATACAGCGCCGCTCTCGCACACGCGGTCGTATCGAAAGCACGACGCGAGATCTAATCCGAGATCTAATCCGATGTTGCTGACGGGAAGCGTCAATAAGACGTTCGATTCCGTGGTGACCACGTCATGGGGAGATGAGGCTAGGTTTGACATCTTCTGTCAGGTGTTGGATACATAGTTGTTGAGGATGTTAGGGAGATGGAGGAGGGCGAAGGGTTCGGGATGTCTTGTTTGGGTGGGATACAGAATGGATGAATGTCTACAACACCCTGCATGGAGGTTTGAGTGGGAATGAAGAAAGCTTCGGATGAAACATCCTCCAGTTGGACAACGATGCACTACACCTGGTCTCTTCAAGGATACCTCCATGTTCCAGTGAATCATCTCTCATTGCATCTGATACTGCACCCGCCTTGCTATCAAGGCCGAGCACCATTTACACATTAAACAAAACTTATCGACATCGTTATTACAGTAAACAAAAAACCAACACGCACCCATCCTAATTTTCCTCCCATATGTATCCATTCTGCCGAAACAAAACGCCAAATCCTATCATATCTCCCAGAAAATCATAGATCGTAGAAGTTTCTTTTTTGTTTCCCCCACGGAAGGCATCCACAGACATCCATAACCACACAAAAAGACTCAAGAAACAGGCCGATGACACTCCGAACAAATAAGTTTCTGCTTCCCATCCCTCCCCCTAACACCGCGAAAACTCGTCCCATGACAATTGTCACACTTTAGCACGTCTTCCTCGGCATCACCCATTGAAGAGGTATAGTCACTGCTCAACAAACTACCTCCCGAAGTACTCATATTGCGCTCGCGCGACGGGATATTATCCGGACTAAGCAAGTCATTCGAGTTCCGGGACTGCATAGCCAGCGCATCGTGCGCAATCTTGTTCCAGTAAGCGTAGCTGCGGTGACCCTGCAAACAAAGCGGGTTATCTTGTGCTTTGTTGGTGGTCAGGAAATCTGCGGAGGAGGTAACTTCGGGGGGAGGTTGAGAGTTGGAGGTTGAGACGTTTGCACGACCATTGTTGTTTCCACTTGCGCGGCTCATGTCTTCGCTTGTGCGGTTGCTGTCGAAGCGGAGTCGGTGTGGCGATGGGGGTGGGGATGCAGTGAAGACGGATGGTGATTCGTTTGAAGGGCGGGAAGATGCCAGTCTAGAGATTGCCGGGCGGTGTTGCGGGGATGGGGTGCGGGTTCGGAGGCCGGCACGAGAGACTTCGATGCTCGAGCGGCCGTGGCGGACGACGGAGTTGCGCCATGAGATGATGCGCTCGGGACGGGGTTTTGTGGGACGAGTCCTTTCCTGAGGAGGCGATGCTGCGGCGTGCGGAGTTGGAGCGATTGAGGATCCGGCGTGAGATAGTGGAATTGGCGTCCCAGTTTTCGAAGCGTCGTTTTTGATACGCACAGTCTTGTCGGAGGACTTTGATCTTGCCGGAATAGTCGGCGATCACGATGATCTCTCCGTCTGGATGCTTGGATCGTGCGAGGTACGAAGGGGAATCGAGGGCCATTTTGCTGACGATGGATAGGCGAGGTGTGGATGCAGACTGCTTTTGAGGGTCACGTTCTTTGTCGGAGCTTGTTTTCTTTGAAGGGTCGGTTGACTCCGGACCCAGTAGCGCTACCGGGGGCGGATTGCAGATGTCGTAGATCGGGTCTTCTGATAGCGCCAGTACCCGTTTCGTTTGAGTCGGTGCCATGATTGCAGCTGTTACCATGGCCGACTGTGTCTCGAATACCTCTACGGCCTGCTTTTCGGAATCTTGTTGCACTGTCCCAATTGGCCACACGTATGCCCTGCGATCCTCACTTCCACATATAATGTACCTGCCATCATTGGTGAATGTAGCTCTAATTTGGCTGCAGGTGTTCTCGTTCCCGCGGAATTTAGCCACCAGTGATCGATCTTTGAAGTCGTACAACCTGATGCGGGAGTCGTTGCTGGTAACCAGCAACTTGATATCACCCTGGGTATCATCCATTGCACCGTCCCGGGGAAACGTCATTGTATCAATTCCAGTGATTTTGCTACCCTTGGCGTTCCGCCCACGGGCCGATCGTACATGGATCTGCGCTGCTAGTTTCAGGCCCTCGGTGTCATAGATGTTCAGCATGCCATTCAAACATCCGGCGATGGAGTGTCGGCCATCCGGAGTGAATGCCACAGCCGTGATCATGTCGGGTACAGCAGTCACAAAAGCCACGCTCTTATCTGGGATACTCCAGAGTCGCAGTTTCGTGTCGAGAGATCCAGCAAGGAAAAATCGGTCGTCACGTGGGTGGAATTGGATCGAAGTCACAAAATCACTGTGTTGGAAACAGCAAAGACATTCCGGTCGAGAGACATGCCATAGTCGCACTGTCTTGTCCATTGACGACGAGAGAAGGAAGTTGTTCTGACTTTTAGGTCAGCATGGCAGTTTCCTATCGTGTTGACTGTTCTGAGAATGCATACCTTACTCCAGCTCAAATCCAGTATGCTCCCTGTGTGACTGTCATACACCTGAACGGGCTCTGGCTGAAACACAGGCGCCTTCAGGCCGGAATGATCTTGTGCATCTACGGGCGTTGCCTCTTCGTCTCCATTGGCATCCTCGCGCTCCTCTGGTGTAGTGATAACAGCCCAGACCCGGACCTTCCGGTCCTGGCCAGCGGCCGCGAGATATTTACCATCCTTAGAAAACGTGAGGGCCCAGACGGCCTTTCCAGTGTGATCGCCACTCTGCGACAAGGCCGAAGATATAGATATCCGTCGATCTGGGGGTTTGGGTGATGGGCCGCTGCCCTGCAGTTCCTGGGCCAGAAACACACGGTTGAACGTCTTATCCTTTTTGTAATGCGCTCGCACCTTCAAGTATTTTGACGGAGCAGGGTGTCGCGGTATGAATCCAATTGGATGCGAAGTGTCAACGGACATGCGGTATGCTTCAGGGTCCGAGGTCTCATCTTCCGCCTCCGACAGCTGATCTTTCTTCTTGTTTCCAATGATTCGACTGAGGAAGGAGACACCTTTTCTGTAGTTGAAAAGAGCAAACCACGGGTCAGTCGCTGGTAATAAATTGCATATGATGGCGAGAATCCGGGGGATGGATCTTCTCAAATGGAGTATGCGGGGAGGCGCAAAGAAACTCCCGGCACACAACTGTCGGCAACACAAACCGTCGGCGTGGTTGTAGTTCTTCATACAAGCTGACAAGGTCGGAAAACTCACTTCTTCTCTTTGGGGGGTTTTGAGGTAGGCAATGCATCCCCCCGTGTCGGGCTTGGCTCTGGTTGACCGTATTCGGATCCCACGGCCTCTGCTTCATATGACGCTCTGCCCAGTAATTTCAGGGGGATGGATTTTTGGGTATTGGTGCGTTTGATAATGTGCTACAATGACAGAACACGGCCCTCCTGTCAGCTGGGCTCCTGCATCTCCGCTGCATCTCAAATGCGGGGTTGCACCAAGCAGACAAGCACCTGATCGAACCGAGGGAAGTGTCTATTCGGTGCAGGTCTGTGAGAGCTTACCTGGGATAACGGATCTATGGCGCTTGACTCGGTCTTCTCGAGGGGGGTGTGCGAGGTCGGATCCCGTAAAGAGCTAGCAACAACCGACCGTCTGGAATTTCGAGCATCCTGTAGACTATAAGTCGAGCCCGAGGGAACATCCGATGTTGCCGAGCCTGATGGTTCCGTCAGCATCTTCCGTGGACAAGTTTTTCTTTTCTTTCTAGCGCGTATTCAGTCTAGAGTCAGTGGTCAATGGAGAAAATTTCTCTAGACCCGACCAGATTCCAATTTTCGAACTTCCTGGAAAGATCCCACGTCCAACTTACCGGGGAATGTGGAGGTTCCGGAGGGGGTCAAATCAGTTTTCGCGGGGGTCGTCGCGACTCGTAGGTGGAGATTACTGCTTCCCTCCGCCATGTGTTCAGTCGCATGAGGGGTGGTATGGAGTACTATTCAAATGGAAATGTACCCTATTCACAGAGACTGGAATTCAAAAAAAGATCGAAAAAAAAGGTCAAGATAAGCAAATTAAAAGCGGCAAACACCGGATAGCGCTGGATGACATCAAATGGGGGCGATGAGGGTGGAGACTTTGGACCCTTCAGTGCTGATCTTTCTTATTTGCTTGAGAATGTAACAATGGGCATCAGATTAAAAGAGTCTCGAACATGAAATTCTATTAATGGTGGGATGACAGCTTTCTTGCTCGGTCCTTTGCAATATCACACATCCCCTTCGAAGGTCAGTACTTGGTATATATACTTGGTAGAGCAATGCACCGATAAGAGAATCCTACCTGAACGGTCTCTTCAATCTCTTTCGCCGCATTGGCCCGGTCAATGCGCTGGCGCATTTCAACCATGATCAGGTCGCGACTACGTCCATTGACAAATGTACTATCTCCAGTCATTATGTGTTGTAGCCAGTTACGCAAGAAACGGAGACCCCTACACAAACCGCAACCCCGGAAACTTCTCCTCGTATTCCGCATTCAGTGCTCGTAATTTCTCCGCCCGTTCCTCTGCGCCTTCATTCAATTGGGCCTGTTCCTTCCTACTTAGCTCACTCAGATGTTCTGGGTTGGCGGAAGCCCGACCAAGACGTGGGTGCGATCCCAAGATGCCCAAGAGCACGTCTCGATCGGTAGGTGAATTTGAGGCAGCGAGTGTAGACATGTGACCCCCTACAGCATCAATGAGGCTGCTGTACGAAGAGAACGTCTGACTGGCCAGCACGGGAATCATTAGTCGGTGGAGCTCTGGGGAGGGTTCAAAGAGGGTATCCAGCACCCGAAGCTGGGTCTCGTGGGATAGGGAAGGGATCGATAGCGAGGGAAGGTCGGCCATGTGGTCGGTTTTTGCATAGAAGAGGGTGAAAGGGAATGGATTGCCATCACGGATCGAAGGATCCAGTTGATATCTGAGTTCCCGCTTTCGGAGGACCCCGAGGCGGAGCACAGCGGGAATAGTACGGGGAGGAAGTACGGGAGCACTTGGGAGGGTGTCTCTTGGTTTTGGAGATGGTCACTATTGTCATTCTTCATTATCAATGATAGTCTATTTATATATTTAGTTAGCGTGTCTCAATCCAAATGTTGCATTTAACATGTAAACCTCTGTCCGCTAGCTTGTTTTTCTTGACAGCAATCCCCTGGAGCTCATATATTTTCTCCTAGAGAATGTGCCTTTGGACTGTCTACCGCTTAACATCCCGAAGAATACAAGTACTTGAGTCCTTTTTTTTTCCGATTCAAGACTCTGATAGTGTAAATTGGGATGAACAAAAAGGTGGAGCCAAATGAGAACATGTTCCCCCTGAGAAGAGTTCGCCTAAAACCAACTTTGTAACTTAGTTTTCATGAAACAGCCAAATCTGCACTTCGGCCTTGATTGGGCACATCGCGATCTTGAGATCCGATCCCAAGTCGACTTTTAGTGTCTTTACCCGCTCTCTGGGACCACATTTCTCCCCTATTTTCTCTTCTTCACATCCATTACCTTCGGCATTGCGCCTCTTCTGACCTCCATGCGGCTCACGCTATGTCTTTGAATGGGCTTGATACTGCCCCCGTCGTGGAAGCCTACCAAAGTGCCTTGGCCGACGCGGGCGGATGGTGAGTGCCCCCTTTCCCCGGTGTTTCAACTTGCCCACCGTGCGACACATACATGAACCGGTACTGACGTCCCTATTTATGTTTCAGGTTTCTACTACACTACATTTCAAGAGATGAGATTGCCCTTCACGAACGAGGCACCGGCGGGGTGCCTGAAATCCGGAATGCCATCGATGGCTACGAGGAATGCTCGCCGCTCTATGGCTTCCTTCAATACCGGCGCAGAAAAGTGATCATCCGCTACATGCCGGAGGGGTTATCCCGGATCATCATAGGTATGCCCATCAACCACCTTGCCATAGGAATTGGGCTAAGATGTCCCAGCCCGAAGCAATGTCCAATTCCAGTCCGTCACCGACAAATTCACCCCAAACGACACCGTACTTCCTCTGTCCAAAGCCTCCGATCTCACCGAAAGCGCCTTGTCCTCCGCCTGTCTCCTCCATACCGCCTCGACCTCGGTCACTTCTTCTTCTTCAAGCTCTCTTCGCCGCGGCCGGTTGATGGAAATCACGGAAGATGCAGAGGAAAGTGGCACAAAAGATGAATCTCTCACATCGATCCTACCTCCCCAGTCGGAGGCTCAACGCAGACCGAGTGTCATGTCGGAAGCTACCCTAATGCCGTCACCAATTGATCCGCCCGCGGGGCCAGAACTACCTCCGACATCCCCAGAAAGCGAAAAGGCGTCAGTCGATCCCATGCCACCTCCATCTCGGGCGAGCTCCAGAGCCACAATCTCTCGAGGGAGTCCCATCGAACCTCCGTCCGCAAAAATGTCCCCCAAATCCACCCGATCAGACCGCTCTCGCTCCAGTTCCAGGTACCGAACTATCTTGGATGAATTCCCCCGTCCTTCCGAAGAGGCCCGGTTGTCCACCCAATCCAGGCGCCCCTCGCTCCGAGATTTGGAACGGGCCGCGGGACACATCCCAAAGGTTAAGCTGGGACCCCGACCGTCCGTGGATAGCAGTGGAAGGCCCCGCACAGCAGGTAGTTCTCGAAATGTAGACCAGCGCCCCGTTGCCTCCCTACCGACAAATATGCGCCCTTCTTCCGTGCGGAAGCAAAATGGGGATGCACGCCCTCGATCTCAGGGGAGCACTTTCGCAACTAAGCCCACCAGTCGTGTCCCGCCAGTCCCACCTTTGCTGGTCCCACCCCCCTCCATTCCTATTTCGAGACCTCAACTTTCCCCTGGCGCCAAATCACTTGGAGCCTTATCGACCTCATCGGGATTAACCCCTGAGAAAGAACGTTTAATGAAGGCTTTGCAGCAAAGAAGGAAGAATCTGGCCAAGCGTGCGGAGGAAACGAAGAAGAAGCAGACCTCGGAAGAAGAAGAACTCAACCCGGTGAAGGATATTGCCGAGGATTTGGATGACGATAAAGAGAACCTCATTCAGATTCACTACCCTGATTATGAAATGCTGCTGTCGGAGCCTGAGACAATTCAACAAGACCAGCAGGAGTTGCCTCCTGAGGCCGCCCCTGAGCTTGTTCCCGAGGCTATTCTAAAACCCGCCTTCGAGCCCGTTCGTGACTCCGCTCTTGAAATTGTCCACGCATCTGTTCCTGAAACTATTGTTGAATCCGCTCCTGAGCATACCATTGAGGCCGTCGCTGAGCACATTCCCGAATTTGCTCCAGAGCCGAGTGACCCAAAGTCCGAGGCTGTTCTCGAACAAATTGCCGATCTCTCTCCTGCTAGCGAGGAGGATGGGTCATTGCCTACGATCACAAGTGCTGAAAATTTCATCACAGCAGCTCTCGCTGCTACATCTTCCGAGACTGTGAACGCAGAAAAACTACAGACACCCCCTGAGGATGAAACACGCACTGAGCACGAGGTCTCCGCAATCCCTAGTCTCGCCCCACCTGCCTCTAATCCTGGCGTCCCACTTCAAAATGAACCTGCCCAACGACCTGATTCAGGGGACATCCCCGAAACCCATTTCGAACTTCCCCCCGTTGCATATGTGCCAACTGACGAGTTTTCTGAGGTGCCTGTCTTAGCAGAGGTCCGCCAGGCGGTTCCCCTCCCCTCCGCCTCCTCTATAACCCCTCCAAAAATCACTGGCACGGAAACCCAATCCAATCCCGTTTTTGTCCCAATCGAGGCGGAAGAGCCGACCCCTGATCACCCAATTTCCGATAAAGCCGAACCTTTGACCCTGGACCAGAGGCGCAGGGTCCTCCTGGAGCCTCTTCAAGTGCCAACCCTTGAATTCTCGGACGACGACAACCTCCTTTCCGACGATTCGTTCATGGAGGAGTTGACCTCGGCTACTGTTCAGGAGGCCAGACCAGTATCTGTGAAATCATCCAACGGCATCGATCACGCTTGGAGAAATTCGCGCGCCGTCTCTAGCCCATTCATGGGATCATCGTCGGGTATGCAAGCTCTCCCAGTGGGCCGGTCCATTTCTAGCTCTCATTCTGAAAATGGCCCGCCTCCGCCGGTACTCGTGGCCAAGAAGATCAACGTCTCCTCTGGAATTTCCAGTCGTATCAAGGCTCTTGAAAAGTTCTCGAGCCGAGAAGGCCCTCCCTTGGGTGCAAGTCCGGCTATAGGTGGGCCACCAGCCTCGTCGTCTTTCGAGAACCATCGCAAACGTACATCTATCTCGTTGCCCAGCGGGGGCTACGAACCCACCCCACCAAGCACCTTGCATTCTGCTCACGTCCCTGACAGCTTTACCCGTGCGGCGAGCTTGAGTCGGCATAGCCGTCAGGTGTCTGTGGATGTTGCTCGGCCCGCTACCTCTGTTTCCATAACGTCCCGTATCTTGCGCGATGCGGATACCCCTCCCGGGTCTCCCGGATTTGAGCCCTCGGAGTCTGATGCTGTCAAGCCCCCGACTAGTCCTTTGACAGTGGAGCATGAGACAGCCGAGGCACCACTCCCTCTGGCCTCGCCCATCGAGCCTGCCAGCATTCTCCACAGTCGAAGCATGTCAACGTCATCTACTGCATCTAGTCGCCAACCGACGTCTCGCCCCTGCAGCCGACCTGACAGCCATCCCGACAGCCATTTCGACAGCCGTCCGGACAGCCGTCCCGGAAGCCGCCTCTCTCTCTCCTCGCACCCGTGGACTGACGATAGCGTCCAGTCTGCCTCGTCCGCATCCGAAGATAATAAAACACCTCGCACCTCGCAAATCATGCGCCGCATGTCATCGATCACATCCAACTCTCGCCGCAGCATCATCGGCGCCCTCAGCACGCCAGTCAAGGAAGAGGAGTGTGTTCCCGCCTTGACAGATGAATCTGGTGAGACTCCAGAGTCTGCGAGCTCGCGTACTTCAGAGCCTATTGAAATTGGCGAGGTGAACGTCCAGTTCCCCAAGACTCTTCTGTGGAAGCGTCGGGTCATGCGTATCGATGAAGAGGGATATGTTGTTCTCACGCCTGGCACCAATGATGCTACCACTCGGAACATGACTAAACGCTACCATCTCACCGAGTTCCGCACTCCGTGTCTTCCCGATGAAGACATGCAAGAATTGCCCAACAGCATCGTGCTTGACTTCCTAGATGGAAATACGCTCCAGTGTGCTTGTGAATCCCGAGAGGGGCAAGCCTCTGCTCTTCGGGGTACGCCTCCATTTCCCTCTCCCTGCCATTCCACGAATAACTCGCTAATCGTCTACAGCTCTCATCGATGCTCACTGTGCCCACCAGCAATAAGTTTCACCTTTGGTCACAGGACAGGACTCCTCGCGCCGATTATCCTGTCTCGCATTTTCATTCTCTTCTGGGCTTGCTCACTCGCTTTTTCTTGTCTTTCCCAACTACACGCATCTTGCTACACCCCTTTTGACATCTATTTCTTATTTCTCTTCTATAATCCTCTCTGTATCTCTATATCTTTTCTCTCTCATCTCTCAATCTGGTGTGTATGTGTTGTGATATATGTGGCGTGTTCTTGGTATACCCCTCCGAGTCAAAAGAGCTTCTCTTTCTCTTCCTCCTCCTTCCCCCACTTCTCAAAATACCAATCTACTGCTCTTCGCCATGTATAGACAGACAGACAGTATTTCTTTGCCCCTCCTTTTTGCTCGCTTCTCTTAATTGGCTTTGCTCTTGCATACACACTCTATGCCTTTGCATAGAGTGTTGGGTGTTCTATTCAATGCACTTTTCCCTTTTTCTCATGGCTTTCCTCTAGAGGGTTAATATTCTAATTAAATATTCTAATGTTCTAATTTTCTGATTTTCTGATTTTCTGATTTCTCTCTGATTGCATGATTAACTTGGAAAGTGGATTTGAAAGGAGCGTTTCATTCGCTTTCGATTCTGCGTGTGCCATTTGTCTGATGTTCAACGGGTGTGCTGGCTGGTGGGTAATACCATTGAATCTCAGGTTGTTGCGGTGAGCCTAGGAAAGGACACGTAGACCCAACTACTTCCCTACAATGCTTTCTACAATAACTAGAATATGAGTTGAAGGAGAGAGTCAAGTTCTCTCCATGGTGCTATTTCAAGCGATGTGTCTACCTACTTTGGGTAGGGGGTATCAAGTGGAAGAAATAAAGCCCCCAAAGCGATAGAAGATCAGCAAAGCTTAGCATCTAGGCTGTGCATATCTAGCGAATTCATTCCGTAGGAGACATTAGCCCCTATCGACCTGTCCTTTCGGACACCCAACGCCTTTCTTTCAACCGGTGATGGGTGAGGCCTGAAATTTGCGAGTATCTCTGTCGACAAAGCAAATCGTTGGACAGAGTGTCTTGACAGCCGCGAGGAAGCAGCAACTTGAAAACGTGGTTGGGGGAATGGCCCTGTAAGTGTCAGGCGCTGTGTTATAGTCCCGTCTGCTAGCTCTGTCGTGTCTTATTCATCAAGGTTCAGCGATATGAGAAATTTTGGGTGTTCAACTGGGTTTCCGAGTTCCGATGAACGTCGTGGCTCATAACAATCATTAATTTCAGGATGACCGGATCAGGTGTAACCGTTCGCGAGGTCCTCAAGCTCCTGATCTTCATCATCCTCTTCATCCTCTTCTTCTAATCCCTCGGTCCCGAGAATGGATGTCTTTTCATCCAGGGGATATTCACCGTTCTGAACCGCGCTGTTTTCTTTGATAGAATAGAACTCCGGGAATGCAGTGCGCATTTGCAGCACATGTGCGTCAACGACGTATTGCATGAGGTTGTTAACAGGGAAGGAAGAGTGCATGCGTTTCTCCGATTCCATCAGCTCCACCTTCATTTGCATCTCCCACTCGTGTTCTCCAGCATGGTCGCCCACGAGCTTCTTGCGCTCGATTCGATCCGAGGTCGAAATCACCTTCTCGCATCCGAGCATGCGGCATGTCCAGGTATTAGATGTCTCGTCGATAAATTCGTCAATTTCCTGTGCCGTGTCTGGAGTTGGATCACGCTCCGGAGTCAGAAGCTTTTGAGATGGCGATGAAGATGTGGGAGGAGTCTGGAGTTTGTCTTTTTTGATATTTTCCTTGAACAGGCTCTTCATTAGAGAGGGGCCAACGCCGCTCGAGGCGGTGGACAGGAAGGAGCGAGTCCGAGGCTTTGTGGCTGAGAATGGATCTCTGATTAATTCATGGCCACGGGTTTTGCTGGGTGTCTCGATCTCGTCGACATCGTCGATTTCGTTGGTGTTCTCTTGGTCTTCCTCGTCATTGGATTCGACTGTCTCCCGATTTGTGGGGGCATTGCGGTTTCGCTTGCCGGTCACTTTATTAGAGACCATGTTGACTTTGGGGCGCAGCACGGACTTCTGAGTCCTGCCGTAACGTTCATCGTCACTGGACTCTTCCTGCGAATCCAGGGGGGTTAGGAGTGCAGCGGGCAGAGGGGCAGATTTTGTGGATGCATGTGTGAGTTCTCTATGGATGACATAGCGAGGCCATCGAAAGTCTTCTTCGTTCATCATTTCTAGTACGGCGCTGGCCCTGGTTACAATGATTTTCTGGGCATCTTCGTTGCTGAGAGAGAATCGTTCTGCCAAGCGTTCTCCCAGGAGGTCAATGTGCAGGCGACGTTTGGCCAGGTGACCTTCTTCTCTGAGGTCCTTGAGCAACTGGTAGATGGCATCGGCTTGTGATTTTGAGATTGCTGCAGGCTGATGCCGAGGGGTTGCCACTTCTGGTTCGTCTTGGGGTTCCTCAGTTTCGCTTTCCTCGGAGGGCGAAAGCTCTTCCATCAGCCTATTATAGTCATCCTAGAGTTATTATCAGTATGCCGATAGGCTATCGTAAACGAGAGCGCTTTTTCACTCACATTAAAATGGCGACGCAGATGGACGAAGACGTTTGTTTTCTTCCATTCCACATCCGCATCTCCTTGAATCATGCACCGAAGCAAGAATGCAGCGTGTGTCGCAAAGACCTCAACTGACTGTTCTCGGGTCTCACATGAGCCATATGTGTGGTAAGTGTACTAAGGGAGGATGAACATTAGGCCTCAGTTTGTATAGCGCCTTGCCGAAAACGGAAAGACTCACTTGTTCACAGAGACTCCTAAAAGAGGGATTGATCTGTCTCTTTCCTTGCTGGTGCTTATCGACCAGGAAATATAGCAGGTCAATGGCCTGAACCATGCGATTGTATGTGGGTGTGAAACCCTTGGCGGGCGAAATGATGTCGTACCAGCCCGCTTTACCAGCAACCCAGAGCTCAATACTCTTGTCTTCAGTTTGACCATAGGCATAGTGTGTAACTTCGTCAATAATAATGCGCTTGGGAGGGTAATCCGGGTTGAGCACTGGTGAGCAAGTGACTGGTCAGCAAGCTACTCGATAAACACGCATTGATAACGGAGATGTAACTGCACCGATACGCACTCAAGTGTTCCTGGTCCTCGCGAAGCGGCTCTAAGAAGCCGATCACTTGCACTGGGTTCTGTTCGGTGGCGTCCAGTAGATTTGCATATAGCATCTTCCCAGGCTTCAGGACCTTCACATCGGTCAGGCCGAACTCCCACCAATCGTTCTCATCAGTGATAGAGGGATCGGTGGGAGCTAGAACGGTTTCTTCGCGGGAGGTCATGGTGGAATTGGCATGGTGGGTGTCAAGGATAAGTTATGAAGGAGCAGTTAAAGGTATGCGAAGTTCAGTAACTGAGAATATGAAAGCAATAAGAAAGTGACTTGGAAAGCTTGTAGTTGTCAACAGTCGAAGTCATGTCATCGACCAGTAAATTACAGATACAACGGGTTACCAGGAATTAATTACATGGGGGTTCTGCCTGATTTACCGGGAATCCAACCACAAGGCTATCACGTGCAGACCCTATAATTACTACAACTAGGTAAGGTTTCAGTTGTCCACGGATCGATTGAGACACTACCTGGACGGTGTTGAATTTCTGTGAAATTTGCTATTCCGATATCTGAACTCTCATTGAAAGGTGCCATGGTCTAGTGGTATGACGACACATTGTGGTATACAATGATCTGTGTTAGCCCCGGTTCGATTCCGGGTGGCGCCAGTTCTTTTTTTCTTTCCCCTCTTCTTTCTCAATTTTTTTTTATTTGTATTAGGAACATGTTGGTTGATCGCAGGCTACCAAGTAACTAATCAGAGGCTTCTTGTTATACAAAATCGATCTATTCCATGACTATGAGACAAAGTAATCAAAACAGTGAACCTTTCATCCCCATCTTCGGTGAAGTCTAGAAGAGTATGTTGTATTTGCAAGGACATCAAAGAGATCGAAGCTAATGATCCTTCAAATCGCACTTGAAAATTCCGAGGGCTTTTCTCTGTATAGTACTTAATGTCTAAGAATTATCGATACTTTTATTAATATTCTAGAAACAGTAAAATTGAATAAAAGAGCAGTCGCCTGGTAGACCTAAGGAACTGCCGTAAAGGCGGGAGCTCGACCTCTACTAAATAACATTTTTTCCATCTTGGTTCGACTCCCATCTCTCCAGATGCCATTCCCTCCAGGGTTTCGACTTTTTCGCAGAACAATGTCTGGCGAAAAGATCCTCGAAGGCGTCTTCGGTGAGCTTAAGTCCTACCAAAGCAAGACATGGATCTAATTTCTCCGATAGCCGTCCACAAGCCGCAAGGCGTTACCTCCGCCGACGTGATCCGCACTTTACAGAAACACTTCAACCCCTCCAAGACATTCAGACCATGGTTAGAAGAAGAACGCGCGCGGCGTGACCGTGAGAGCCAATTCCAGCGTAAACGCCGTCGCCACCAACGCCTCGAAGTGAAGATCGGCCACGGCGGAACCCTAGACCCGCTCGCGACAGGTGTGCTCATCACGGGAATTGGCAAGGGCACAAAGTCCCTCCAGGATTTCCTGGCCTGCACCAAGAGCTACGAAACCATAGTGACCTTCGGCGCGGAGACGGATACCTACGACCGTCTTGGAAAAATCGTGCGTCGCGCGCCCTACGAACACATCACGCGCGAAACAGTCGAGAAGGCGCTGGAACAGTTCCGCGGGAACATCATGCAGAAGCCGCCCATTTTCTCTGCTTTGCGAGTCAATGGAAAGAAGCTGTACGAGTATGCGCGCGAGGGAAAAGTGCCGCCGATTGAGATTAAGCACCGGCCCGTTGAGGTCTTGAACATGGAGATTGTGGAGTGGTACGAGCCTGGCACGCACGAGTACAAATGGCCCGAGGAGGAGATGACAGGTGATGAGAAGGCTGTTGCTGAGAAGCTTCTTGATCAGGAAGCCTTGGTGTCTGTGCCACCGGCCGAGGGTGAGCTCACGACCCAAGTCCCCGAAGCTTCTTCTACCAAGCGGAAGTCGCCGCCTCCGGCGGATGAGGCGAAGGAGGATAGTGCGGAGGCTGCTAAGAAGCAAAAGGTTTCTGAGACCGAGGCAGCGCCTGCACTTGAGCCTACTGCCCCCGAACCTGCAACCATAGAGGTCCCTGTTGTGCCTGCGGAGGAGCCCAAGCCCCAGCCCCCCGCGGTGAAGATCAAGATGACTGTCACCTCGGGCTTCTATGTCCGCTCACTGGCGCATGATCTGGGTAAAGCTGTTGGTAGCTGTGCTCTGATGAGTGAGCTAGTGCGCAGTCGTCAAGGTGACTATGAACTTTCACCGGATAAGGTTTTGGAGTACAAGGACCTTGACGCCGGCGAAGAGGTCTGGGGACCAAAGGTGGAGAAATTTTTGACCGAGTGGGAGGAGAAGAGAGCCACCAAGGCTGAAGCTGACGCAGCTCAATAGACTACAGTCTCCCAAATGATGTAGCATTTGTAAATAGACTTGCGATCTGCAAAATCAGCCATTCAAGCCAATTGTTCTATGTATCATTCCTTGCCTTTTACGTGTAAACATAGCTTATAATATCTACAAGTTGTCACTTTTCTCTCTTAGAGCCGTTCCCTTGCCGCTGTTTTGATGCTATACCTTCAAAGTCTGACATTCGCAAGTCATGGAGATAAGAAATCAAAACTGCTATTTTTTGGTTATCCAGACCCAAGCAAGAAAAAATAATTACATGATGCACGATACAAATGCAATGTCACAACATAACCCATCACATTGAAACGATCAGTTGCGTCCCTTGGCTTGGACTCTCTTGCTCTTGCCGGGTCGCTTTGCACCACCCTTCATCTTCTTAGCAGAAAAGTTGCTCAGATCACCGCTAGAAATGGCATCACCGCTCTTAGCATGACGCTTTTTGCCTCCAAATCCGAACTTGGCATCCTTCTTCTGGCGCTTGGAGCCACCGGGGCCGTCGCCACGGCTACGCTTCTTCTCGGGCTGGGTAGCCTCGTCAATAGCAACGTCGAACATGTCATTGGCATCGTCGGTAGGGGCAGAGGTGTCAGCCTTGCGCTCTGTGTGAAAAATTCAGGTTAGCGACTGCGAAACTTATAGGAAGATATCAAGGGTGAAAACAAACTTTTCTTTAAGGTGTTGATCTTCTCCAACATCTCGCGCTTCTCCTTGTGTCTCTGCTGCAACTTGGAGTTCTGGACTTGCTTTCCGAACTTCTTAAGATCACGCTGGCGGCGCGCCTCAGCAGAAGCCTTCTTGCTGGCTGCCTCCTCGTAAAGCTTCTTCTTAATCAAGCTCATGTGCTCATCGTTCTTCACCATCTCCGCGAAGTAATCGCCCGGCCGGGTGAAGGGAATGCCGTCCTTCTTCAGCAGGCCACGGGCCTGGGTAGCAGCAGCTTGGCAGACCTTGTAGAAAGCCAATTCACGGTTCAGATCGTCATTGGCGTCTTCAACCTCGATCGGCTCTTTCGAGACTAGGGAGTTGTGCTCTGAGAATGGGGTGTTGGGGCCGATGAAGGAAATGCGCTTGAGGGCGGAGAGGATAGCGGCAGAGTTGTTGATTGTCAAACGTTGGTGAGGAACGACATCTTCACGCTCATCTTCTTCGAGGTCAGACAGTGGGATATCTTCTTCCTCTTCCTCTTCCTCCCCATCTTCCATCTCCTCGTCCTGGTCGACCTCTTCCTGCTCTTCCTCTTCTCCCTCTTCTTCCTCTTCGGCATCAGAGCTGGCGGCCTTTTCTTCCTCCTCTTCCTCCTCCGCGATCTTGTCCTCAGGGGCGACAGTAGCCTTCTTAGACTTCTTTTTTTCCGCGGCCTTGATCAATTTCTTCTGCTTCACGGCAGCGAAATCGCGGCCCTTGTGGGCATCGAGAGCCTGGAGTAACTTGCTGCGCTTGCCCATTGCTGCTTTGATGAAAACACAAAGGGGAAATTGTATTTTGTGTGATTTGAAAAGAATTGAAAGAGAAAGCAACTTGCTATCAAACCCGCATCAGAGAATCCACGGGATTTTTTTGAAATCGCGCCAGGCCTGATTTGGCTAGTGCTGCCGATAACACTACGCTAGTCCACTCACAGCACAATCTCGGAAATACACATGACCCGATCCCTTATCGAGTCCCACCGCCCTGTCAACTGTGTCTCGTCTCTACATACCTCAAGCAGTCTGTACAGCGATTGGATAGTCTCACAATGGTCGACGATTCCAGGCCTCCTTCTCCAGATAAGCCAGAGAGCTCCCCACTGGCGGGTGTGTCTCTTCTGTCCCAACCGGTACATACCTTCTACAAGCTCAACCCCCACTCATTGCCCTTGCTAAATGAATGCCCTTAGAACTCCGAAGCGCAAGGCCAGCTCACCGCAGCTGTAGACGATCTGCTTAATGAACTCCAAACCAAATTCGATAAGGTCTCTACGGAGATGTTCGGGAAACGTGAGCCCCTGCCTCAATCATCCTCCACAATGACCACCAATACACTTTGAGGCCTGCGACTGCGAACTAACCTATCTTTATGCGCAGTGGATGATATGACCAAGCGTCTAGATGAGCTAGAAGCATCTCTAACTGCCTCTGTGGGGGCCGGCGCCCCGAGTCCGGCAAAATAAATACGAACGCCTATTAACCATACTCTGATTTTGTGCGTTCATTTTTGCGTGGCGTTTTCGGCAAGAGAGCCATAAGTGCTGGACTTTTGGGCTGTCCAGCTCTGCTGAATCTGTGTACTAATATCCCAACACATACTTCATATCTGGCATACACGATGCTTTCTGGGAGTGTGCATTGAACGGCCAGGTAACCGACCTGTGTCTGATGCTGATACTTTTACTTTTACAATTTCATAGATACCCCACAATCAAACAAGGACACTCCTACAGAAGAATCAGTTTTCTGAACTTACATGCGTGGATCTAGTTCATAAATCACATGGGAGTTTTTGAACAGGCAGAAAGCCTCGACGTTCATACTTTGTTCGTACAATATGCAGTTTCAAGCCAACATTTCGTATACAATCCAGTACCTTTCCTTCTAATCCAAGCTTTTTGGCAGTCCCAGTCCTCATTCTAGAATCACCGTGACTAGAGCCTTAAGCCAAAAATCCACAAGGGAAAAATGCAAACATCCAGAAATAACATCGCCAAGCACTTAAAGCTCATCGCGCTTCTCCTGGCCAACAAAGCGTTGGAGAATGTTGCTACGAGAAAGAATATCATCCAACTTCTCGGGAGCGGAGCCACCCTTAGCCAGGATCTTACGGAGGCGAGTGAGCTCCTTGATGGCGTAGCCCTCGTTCTTGCTCAGCTTCTCCGCAGCCTTGACATAGTACTCGGCGTACTTGTCGCGCAGGTCGTTGGCGGCCTTCTTAATCTCAGTCACCAGCTTGTCAAACTTCTGCGCGGCGACGTTCTCGGTAACGATCTCGTCCAGAACGGAGATGGTGCCGGCCAAGCTGTCAAGACCGCCACCGACAGCACGGTGGGTACCCGCCTTCTCGTTGATGAACTTGACAAATGCTTCCTCAGAGCGTGCGCCGGAGTACGCCTCGGCCTCGGTCGAGCCCTTGGGGAAGAACTTGATGGTAGGGAATCCGGTGATACCCTGTTCCTTGCTCAGGGCACGAGAGTTCTCAGCTTCGGCGTCAACCTTGGCGATTACAACGTTGGACTCGAGGGCGAAGTCATTGGCGAGGGTTTCCCAGGTAGGAGCGAGGGTCTTACAGTCTGAGCAAGGGACGAACAATTAGCAAAACAGATCATGCGACTAGACCAAAGTAGGCCAAAGCCAGTTCGACTAGAGAATCAACTCACGTCCACACCACGGGGCAGTGAAAGCGACCAGCACATCCTTATCGCCACCAACGACAGTCTTGAAAGAAGCATCGTTCAGCATCTCAACGTTGCTGACCACCTTCTGCGCGCTAGCGCTACGAGGCTTGATGCCGGTCTTCTCGGTGATGAAGGCGGACAGGCTCTCGAGATCACGACCGCCATTGTACTCCTCAGGCTGGTCGCTCTTTCCGTCGAACCACTTCACAGTAGGGAAGCCCTGGATACCGAAGCGCTTGCCCAGCGAGCGGTTCTCGTCGGCGTCAACCTTAGCGATGGTGACCTTGTCTTCGGCGAAGGCGAAGGCCTGCGCAAGCTCCTCGTAAATGGGGGCGAGGTTCTTGCAGTGGCCGCACCAGGGTGCGAAGAATTCGACCAGTGCGGGCTTGCCGGCCAGGACGACTTCGTCGAAGTTGGTGGGGATCAGGTCTTTCACTGCGGAGTTGCTTGCAGTGGCGAAGCCGCTGAGGGCTGAGAGGGCTCCGAGGAGCAGGAAGCTCAAGCGTGCCATATTGTATAGAGATTTAAATGTGAGTACACTCTCGTGGAAAGTAACAATTCACAAAGAAATCGGGCGACGGAGTTAAGGCTCGGGGAGGCGATGACAAACACAGCCGAAGAGGCCACTTGGTGACTCCACATCTCTGCAGATCACATTCATCTACTTCCAAGGCTGACATCTTACGATATGACATCCATGAAATGGGGGGTTTTTTTTAATATCTCTTATTATGCTCTTGGCTGTTATCGAGTTTCTTGTTCGTTTTCTTGGTTTTTTTTGGTCTCTGTTGCTACCTGGGTAATTAGTAATACACTAGAGAAATGCCAATGTCGCATTTCCAGCAAGATCAGAGTTGTTGGCATAACTTCCATTGCAAGCTGCGATTGTTAACCCGGAATCCACGCGGTAGTTGCTTGGTGTCGTTGGAAAAGATTGCCCGTATCATCGTCTCTCTGCCAGCCATTTGTTTGCGTCTTCCCAGAGCTTTGCCTCCTTGAACTCCTTGCCCGTACTCTGTGTGCCTGCGTAAACCTATCTTGAAAATCAGCCTTTGCTCAACATATAAAATCAGACAATACGAACCGCATCCCACAGCTTGAATGCCAAATCCAAGTTTCCAACAAAGCTTTCGCTATGTTGGAACCATTCCTTGCCCTTTGCTTTCACGTCCGCTCGAGCCTCCGGCGAGGTTGGATTTGCCTGTAGGGGTAGGTCATCGAGGTAAGTCCGAACCGCAATTCCAAGTCCACAGTCGTTATCATCAATAAACGGAAGTCTAAAGAAATTGGTCAGAACAACAGTCCAGATCTAGCATAGTTGGTCTAGAAGGAACATACTTGATGGCCATTTTAGTCCAGTCGTTCCGGTCCCGGTCAGCGTCGCCACTGAGCAACAGACTAGCCAGCACCACCTCTATTAAATTCCTCAATGCAGAGCGCACCTCAGAAATCAAAGAGCGGTAGCAAAGAAGTTGACGACTCAGAGGTCCAGAATATCCAATGCTCTTGTGCTGAAGCTTGGCAACACATGCAACCCGTGAAACAAGCATGTTGAAGGTCTTGTCATCTTCCGACCCTCTCATAGGACCGCCAGATACATGTGAAAACCACTTTTTGGTGTTGAGGAGACCCAAGCGGATCATCTCAATGGCAATGAATATAGATTCCTCGAGGTTGTCCGCAGGATCAATAGTTGACAATGCATGCACTAGACACTGGCCCCACGGAGTGAGCTTGTGCTTGTCGTCAATGTATCCACGCAGTTGGAGGAAACGCCACATAACATTAGATAAAATATCCTCCTGCGTTGAAAGGGCCTTCGGAAGCTGTTAGCTATCGAAACCAACGTTAGATCTATGGGTAAGCTTACGGGTGTTTCCTTATTGGCAAATGACTTGGATACAAAGTCAGTGTCGCTTAAGCTCTGGACAGCGAACTCAAAGGATCCGCGAGGCGCCTGAAGCTTCCTGATACTTTCGGGGAATTGTTCTCCGTGGATCTTCCAGGAGTGGATGGTTTCCTTGACTGATGGGATACCCTTGAGGTTGATCGTCCGCTCTGAGTTCTCATCGAACCACGGGCGGATCCGAATGACTTTGGTTTGGTAGAATCGATGAAGCGAGTTTGCTAGAAGGCAAATAGACTGAGTGCGTATAGGTGTCAAAATTTCCCCCACGAGCTGGCGATAAATCTCGGTGTCTTCGGTGCCCAGCGGTAGCGAGATGCGAACTTCGCCAGTTGTGAGGAAGTTGGGTACATCCGCTCCAATGATACCTTTAGAGAGATAGAAGTACAGCTCTTCTGGGAGGCGCTGCCCGATAAGCTCATGCATATCCGACGAGGTATTCCCTTGATCCATGGGACCAACTCGACCTTCCACGTCAATGTAGACATGGTGCTTCACAATCATATACGCTCGCTTATACAGATCTGCGTATTGAAGCTCCTGCATACGGCGATCTTCTTCAAATTGGGCACACAGTGTCAATGCACTGCGTCCAGCTGCGTTGAACATCGGCAACGCATCACGAATGGTGGGGCTTTTCCCGGGGTAAGCAGGGTTCTCAAAAAGTGGGAGGGAGCGTAGGAATGGGGAGCCCAGTAGTAAACAGAAGTCCAGGAATTGTTCATTGGAAAGTCGACCCAGCTCCTCCTGGCAGGTTTGCTTCGTGATCCAGAAGAATTGCGCAGGCTCGGTGTCGATGCGAGTGACCAGCTTGTCAAGGTCAAACAAGAGAGCTTCGGAGGGGGCAAAGACCGCATCAACCACAGGGTTGCTCCCACGGGCGAGGTAAGAGAGCTGTTCAGATAAATTTGTTAGCTCTTAACATTCCAACCATGGTTGCATAGGGTATGCCACTCACCTGAGCCGCGGCACTGTATGGCGCTACGATGAATTCCACATCGTTCTGCGTCAAAATCCGTTGCAGGAACCTGTAAAAGATCTCTGGGGGCGGGGTGCCTGAGGGTCGGGTTGTGTCAGCGCTTGTAGGGAAGCTTCGCTGTGCCCAGTAGTAACGATAAGAGCCCCACGGGTCCATGACTGAGGAGGTATTGAAATAGGGATAGTGGGTGATCATACCAGCGCTGCTGAAGGCATCAACCACCTGGTCTGCCTGTTGCTGGTCGTAAAGGTCCCAAGCTTGTTCGAATGAGCGCGACGCTGCGGGCTGGGCGCGGTTCTCTTTCTTGCCGAAATCCAAGCCATTGAACACGAAGATGGTAGCGACGCCAAGATTCTTGATAGTCTGCAATTCCTTCTCGATAATAGCTTTCAAAGCGAACGGAAATCCGCCTAGTGCGCCTAACAGAGCTTCCCGGGTTGCCTGGTTCACGAGATGTTGGTTGATGTAGTGCGACGCATCGATGCCGACGACGGCGCCCTTCAAGGCTGAGAGGGGCAAGGACTGGGTGCGGCCAACGGCCCATTCATCGAGAGGACGGACTAGTCATGGAGATGAAAGGTTAGCTGGTGCGATTGTGGATTGTGGAGCTGTGCTTTTGCATACTCGGCATGGTTTTGGAGCTGTCTGTCACCTGAAAGCACGGCAACGCCGGGCATCAAGGCCCGAATGTGGGGAACAAGAGGTTAAATCAAAGGTGAGAGCAGATCAAAAGCTCCGTATTCAAAGAATTTGATGAATCGGAGCTGGGATTGTTTGGGTTCTAGGAATGAGGGAGAGGGAGATCACGGAGGGGGGGGGGGGGAAAGGCGGAGTTGGAGTTGGTCCTTTTGTTTTTTTGCCTTTGATGTAGCATATCGGGTTTGGTCGCTCGTCTCAACCACTTCTGTTTGGATATGGGTCTTCTGTTCGGTTTTATTCTAGGTTTAGCTCTTGCTTGCACTCGGGTTCCTGTTTATCTGCTCTTTATAGAAGAATGTACGGCTTATAATGAAGTCATCTGGAATATGTGTTTAAATAGAACCACAACAGTCCCACAAATCCACAAATCCACAGTATACTATAGAGTCAATAACTTACAAAAACTTTTCCAACTGTATAGACAATCTAGACTCATCTTCCTACTTACCAAGTTTCATTATGCATCCATAGATGTCTATAAGATCCAATGAAGAACTCCCAGGGGTATAAGCGGGGGCAATGACACGCGGGGTTCCCCGGGGGTAGTCCATTCAAGTCGGATACCGCCCGGGCTCGGAATTGACCCAGAAAACTGACTGGAGCCAGTCGTTGAACTGGTAATTGGATTGGCTGGATCCATTTTTGATCTTGTGAATACGCGGATGACTCAGTTGAGATACGCGAGAACTAGTCAACTAGTTGGATCCAATCACATGTGTAATAGTAGTAGGTTCAAACCCCATTCGCAACTATATATTCAATCCAATTTTTAATCGTTAAATTCCAAAAAACCCTTTCCTGTCTATTCTTCAAAATGACGGATACTACAGCCCCAATTGAGCTTCCTGTCATTGACATCTCCAATCCCCGTGACCCCGCCGTGGGGAAGGCCATGCTGGATGCCGCCACAAAGTATGGCTTTCTTTATGTCAACAGCAAGGGAACCGATTTCACTGTGGAGGATGTGGACTGTGGATTCGGATTGGTAAGACTTGCACTGTAATCAGTTGACATCTATATGTACCGTACCTGATCATCCATATAGTCAAAGAAGTTTTTTTCGTCTCCCGCAGAGGAGAAAGAGACTTGCCGCATCCAGCCGAACGTTTGTAACGAGACTCAAGACAAACCGGCATATTCAAATCTAACGACACTATCTACAGAATCGTGGCTGGTCCGGAATGCATACGGAAACCCTCGACCCCGAGCATCAGCGGGTAGGTCATGGCTCTGACTCACTGGTTGCCTGGTATAGAGTACGAAGACTGACACTAGATGTGGCAAACTGATAGACCGGTGACTTCAAAGAGTATGTAACAACCATATATCCGAACCTTGCAATACTCCCAACCCTGAACTAAACACCCAATCAGAGCCATGAACTTCGGCGACTTCAAAGACGGCAAAGCCCAGCAGCCTCTGCCACCGTCACTAACCCCCCACGAAGCGGAGATCAACGGCTTTGCCGAACTCTGCAACAAAACTTGCACCCGAATTCTGACTCTGCTAGCTTTAGGACTAGAGGTACGTAACTCAACTAGATCTATACTTCCACCAGCCCCCACTTTCCACACAACTCTACAAATCAATGATGTATACCAACTACCCAAACCCAGATCCAAGAAGACTTCTTCACAACCCGTCATGACCCAAGCACAGGCCCGACAGGCAGCATCCTACGGTACCTGTATTACCCATCGATCTTCTCGCCAACAACAGCAGCCTACAAGCATGATAAGGACGTGCGAGCCGGCGCGCACTCCGACTACGGCAGCGTCACGCTTCTCTTCCAGCGGCCGGGCCAGCCAGGTCTAGAGATCCTGACTCCGGAAGGCAACTGGGCGCCCGTTCCCATCGTGCCCGGCACTGCAGCCGAGGCCGAGGGGTATCCGTTCCCGCCTATCTTGGTGAACATCGGCGATTTGCTGAGTTACTGGACGGATGGGCTGCTGAAGTCGACGGTGCACCGTGTTGTCTTCCCGCTTTCTGAGCAGCGCAGCCCGAATCCGCAGGATCGGTATACGCTGGTATATTTCTGTCATCCTATTGATGAGACGGAGTTGGTGCCTGTTCCTAGTGGGATTGTTGCTGCGCATCGTGAGCGGACTGGGGGTGTTCCTGCTGAAGGGAAGGTTGGGTTTGGGGGTGGCGCGGGCCATTTGGTGCCTGGGAAAAGGCCTTTGACGGCGCATGAACATCTTATGTCCAGGCTGGAGGCTACCTATGGGTTTACTAAGGAGAAGTGAGGGTGAGGCGAGATCGGAGAGCTTCAATGTTTGATCCGGTAAGCCTAGATCGACGACATGTAGCATACGGGTCATTGAGTAGATTTGAACAGAGTCGTTCGTGAGACTGGGAATAAATTGTAGAACGCCGGTGCCGTTGTGGGATAGTGCAAACGCAGATAAAAAAAAAGTCCTCCGGACATAAATCAAAATCATAGATAGAATGTGCACCTGAATGAAATGCTCCAGATGACCATAACACGGCCAAGGTGTCGGCAATGATGCTCATCTACTAACATAAGAAACTCGTGACAACGCAATTAGTTATGAGAAAAACCATAATGAAAAACCATAATGGTCCCAAAAAAAAACAAAAAAACAAAAGGGCAAGAGGAATTCACCTCTGATGAGGAGGTTGGAATGAGATATACAGTCATGAGAAATGATCAATGTGGATATGAGCAATGAAAAAGGGATCGCAAATGACAGCCCTACGTCATTGAATCAAGATGAAGGCAAGCTGTGCGAGAGAGGGAATATGGAAAGGCTAGACGTGTAAGGTATCTTCGGGTCGAAATGGAAACACCATCAGGCTCTGATATACCATGCGAGAGAGGGGCCTTGTAATAGAATGAAAGGGAGACGCAAGACGGATATGACGCTATGCGAGTCGATATGCATTGAAATCAAAATGAAACTCCTCTGGGGTCATCGAGTCGTATCAAGGGGTCGTATGACACCAGTGCCGGTGGTATACCCACGCGGACTTCTGGCAATCTTTGCTGCAATATTTGGTGCGACGGCAACGCCGACACTTGGCAAACTGACGCTGGAACTCTTCCCACTTGCCACACTTGTAATAGGCGCATTGGCGAATGCCACCTCTGGCCTCATCCTTACGGCAGAGGTTTCTCATGACCACGCACGCCCAGTATTGCATGTCCTTAGTGTGATGTCGAACAGTAAACTTCTCCACCAGGGGGAAGATGTTGAAATCATCGGGAATCAGATACTCGTCTTCTTCCTCGCACACCTCAATTGGCGAAGACGGATCGGCGTCCTCATCCAAAAGATGAAGTTCGCGATCAATCTTCAATTTGGGGACAAGGTGAGAGGACTGGAAGTAGGTTCGAAGGTTGCAGTATTTGGAGACGTATGCCAGTAGCTGAAGGGACATCAGAACATCCTCATCCCGAGGCATGGTTGTCAAAACTCCTTGAGCTGCGGGACGGTCACGAAGGTACACAGCGTAGGGGCTAGGAGGGAGAGTAGGAGAATTAGGATTATTGGTGGCTTGGGTAGGGGAAAGACCGAGTCCACCATTGGCCTGTGTGTTGCCGTTATTAATGATGCTGCCGTCGACAGTCGAACGATGAGTGATGTTGAAAGTCTCCACCTCCGGACCGCCTTCCTCGGAGGGATCAGTGACGGTCAGATCATGGGTGTTGGAGACATCGTCAAGCATCGTTGTTTCCCGCTCGTCCACACGGTCAAGTTCCATCCGGTTCGGGAGTCCTACGATGGTTTCAGCGGGCTGTCCCATGGTGCTATCATCCCCCATGGTCGAATCTTCGCCGTTGGCATCATCCGATTCGCCGGACGCCGACTGCTGTTGGCGGATCAAAGGACGTTGGCGGGCGGCAATGGTCTGAGGAAGGCTGCGAGGTTGTGAGTGGAGGGGGCCACTTGGGGTGGTCGGAGAGTCGGGTTGGGAGACGATGCCAGTCTGCAGACTGGGAAGCATGCTAGGAAGACGCTCGGCATCCCGCACAGGACGTAATCCAAACCCATCCGTGGTGTCCATAGAGGGGACTGCCGTGGCAAGTGGTTGCATTGACCGCAGGCGATTGCTAGCACGTGAGAACCGCCCGTCGTTCAACCGGTGGTTGTTGGCTTCTTGGCCAAATGCACTGCGCTCTGGGGGGGAGGTCAAAGGGACACGAGGAGGAGATGTGATATCCATGGCATCGGACTCGGTAGGTTGGCTGTCTTGGTAGAAAGGTTGGGGGATTTCGATGCTCGACGGAGGGGCTTGTCGACGTGGTTGATGCGACGGGACCTGTGGGTGCGACTCGGTCTGGGTATCTGCATCCAAAGGGGTAAAACGAGTGGAGACATCGTGGCTGCTGCTGGGCTTTGACTGCCTAGAAGACGTCTGCTTCTCGGAATCGACATCACTGCGCGATCGCACCTTATTCACCACCTTGATGTAGTTGTTCAGAATGGTGGCAATGACAGGGACCATGTCGGCTTCCACTACTCTTGTCCTCACACCCTCAGAGCCCCGCACGCCAATGTTGACGACACATTGGAAGGCGAGGCTCCATTTCCACATTTCCAATAAATCCTTGCTGCGACCCTCTTTGAGGACGCATACCAGTCGCTCAATGCCGCCATCGACAGTGAGGATGTCTCGAATCCGGGCGGACGAAGTTGTGAGGTATGCAAGATGATTGAGGGAGTTGATGAGCGGTAAAGTTGATGTGCAATCAAGGGCACGACGGTCATAGAGGGTAGTGGTGATGTTGACCGAGGCTTTATTCACATTGGGAATACTGAAATTGACTTCCCGCATGATGAATGAATGACTGACAACTGGGATGTGATGAAAGAGCGAGAGATTGAAATGTAGTATCGATCGATGCAAGATGACATCCAGATATGGATCAAATGCAAAAAGATGAGGACCTTGACGGTGTTGTAGAATCCAAGCCAGATAGGATGATGCCCACTACGAAACAGGAACTCGCGCTGAGAGGAATCAATCCAAAGACATCAGGTGAATGAAGAGGGTATGGGTTTGAGAATATCGCAGAGGAGATAAAATGACCAAGACCAGAAGGGGGCGAAAGGGTAACCAAGACTCAGACTCAGACTCAGACTCAGACTCAGAGGGTGAGACTCAAGGTAACGGGAAGAAATGAAAGAGAGACCAAATGCAATATGCAATGAGACGATAGATGCGTCTGCGCAGTATTCGATGGATGATGATTGTCGATGGAGGGGAAGAGGAGAGAAGAAGGCTTTTGCGAAGGCAAAAGCGGAGAGCGTCAGGTGCCTCCTTAATATTACCAAATATGGGTTGTACCCGACAAGTATTTGGCGCCACCTTGGGGGTTTATACCCTTTTTCTCCCTTTTCCCACTCCCTTATTGATTTGGTGATTGCATCTGTATTAATACAAGGCAATAATTCGTTCTTTGAGTTCCTTTCATTTACCTCACTTTCTATATCTTGCAATCTCTTCATCTTCATCTGCCCTCGACCCTCTGTCACATTGTGGACCGACCTCGGAGTTGCCACTTGATAAAGATTAAAATCTTCACACACCATACTACATCCTTGTCATAGGATGGGTTGATTTCTGTCAGATCAAAAGATGTACAACATGTATTGAGAGACGATCGTTGCCAAACTCTCGATGTGATGCTGCCTGATGTGACAGACAGCACCACGAGCGGAGGCTGTAGATCTTGAGCAGTGACCATCGCAATCTACCAATGACCCTGATGAACTATTTGAATAGCTTCGGTCTTTTGTTCTGACTCGAAGCAGTTCAGTCCGGATTCCTTTCCCCAGAGACGGAGCAACCGTTAATACAGAATTTCTCACAAGTGTGATTCGACGCTCGAAGTGAGTTGTGTTACATCTAAATTTCATTGACACGAACAGCTTAGAATGAATGACTAAATGATCAAGTCTCGAGATCAAAGAATTGAATTCCTTCGTGTACGTTGAAATTGTTCTTTGCACGTCTCCGCAAAGTTTGATACGCAACCCACATTCCGTCACTAGCGATCCTAACACATATGATAGTCCAAATGGGATACGTGAAAAGGGCTCGAGAAACTGAACCTGAAAGTGTTTCCGTCTAGCCTGGATCTTCTGGCCCCTGATAGCTCTACCTAACTATGATGTGTAATATTGTGGAGTCAACTGTCCCATCACGTTTCTGATACTCCCTGGCGCCGTTTCATCAGCCCTGGACAGGGTAGTTTTCTTTTCGAGAATGTGTTTAAACTTAGCAACAAACAGTTTTCAGCAACTTGCCGAGGACAAATCGAATATCCCGGTTCATGTGATGACACTGGCCTCTATCACATATTGACAGGGTTGATTCCGTACACGCGCCTGCAACTGTGGCGCGCACAGACGGCGAACTAATATTAGAACACCTTCGAACTGCCGGAAATTGATATCCGCTTGTTTACACGCCTTTTTCTGGGGTTTCAAGTTTATTCGTTTCATCCTAGGAGCAGGGCTTCGAGAAATCCTGCACACATTAGCGACTACATCGGGCAGAGATGGAATACCACATTGTAGACCCTACCCAAGATCGTCAAGCTCAGCCCCCACTAACTAGTTCGGCCCTAGAGGTCCTCGAAATTTGGCACTGAGTCCCCTTGGCAAAATTTCATGATCTGAAATGTGTTCAACGGTTCATTAGTTCTCGGTCCACCATCGGTGGGGTCTTCAACAGGATGACTCAACTTGACAGGGTGCTCGTGTGCACCTATGGGAGTTATTTCAGTGCTGGCGAGGTCCACCTGGGCCTTCTACCTGCCGTATACCTTCATCTTCATTCCGACCGTCTTGCTTATAGTAAAGGCGCAGCTCGCTCCGTAGTTTATAGCCTCATTTCTATAAACAAGCCGAGCTTAATTGCCGAAGTATAGTGAGGTAGGAAAGGCATTCTTTCTACGGTGTAGCACGAGACGGCTATGCAAGAAGAATCCGGGAAGTTTCCAATCTCGACAAGTGGAAGTTGTTGGCATTCAACTTTCCCCGGGGATACAAACTGCACCGCTCAGAGTCTTTTGTCATTTTGTCGTTCAACAACCGTTAATCTGCAAATTTCTCAATTTTTATTTCATCGCCGACGATCACAACTAACTAACTTTGAGACATTGTTCGAATAGGCCACCGGCACAATTCTGTGCAAGGGGTAATGTTGTGAACCTGCGAGTAAAGCACGTACCTACAGTCTCGTGCTGACACAAACAACGTGCCCTTTGAAACTT